CTATATGGGCTCTTGCATACACCATAAGGGGAAAAAGGGCAGATTTTGGTTTACAACATCCTAGTGAGGCCCCCCTCACCTGGGGCTGCTAAACCTGCCAAAGAGAGCAGGGGCTTGTCAGTGCCAGCCCCACAGCTCTGAAACTCCAGAGAGCTCTGAAACTGATGGAAAGAGCCACTTTTCCAAGGAAGCAGCCAGTTCCTGCTACGTCCTGTTCGTCAGCCGAACTCTGAAGGAGCTGCCACCGCCTTGCCGCTCTTCCCAAACCTTTGGCTGGCGGGATTTCCGCCAAGGACCGCATACGGTTCCATCACGCACGTCATAAATGGTAAATGTTGTTATCGTTTAGTCGTGTCCGACTCTTCGTGACCCCCTGGACCAGAGCACGCCAGGCACTCCTGTCTTCCACTATCTCCCGCAGTTTGGTCAAACTCATGCTGGTAGCTTCGAGAACACTGTCCCACCATCTTGTCCTCTGTCGTCCCCTTCTCCTTGTGCCCTCCATCTTTCCCAACATCAGTCTCTTTTCCAGGGAGTCTTCTCTTCTCATGAGGTGGCCAGAGTAATGGAGCCTCAGCTTCAGAATCTGTCCTTCCAGTGAGCACTCAGGGCTGATTTCCTTCAGAATGGATGCGTTTGATCTTCTTGCAGTCCATGGGACTCTCAAGAGTCTCCTCCAGCACCAGAATTCAAAAGCATCCATTCTTCGGCGATCAGCCTTCTTTATGGTCCAGCTCTCACTTCCATACATCACTACTGGGAAAACCATAGCTTGAACTATACGGACCTTTGTCGGCAAGGTGATGTCTCTGCTTTTTAAGATGCTGTCTAGGTTTGTCATTGCTTTTCTCCCAAGGAGCAGGCGTCTTTTAATTTCGTGGCTGCTGTCACCATCTGCAGTGATCACGGAGCCCAAGAAAGTAAAATCTCTCACTGCCTCCATTTCTTCCCCTTCTATTTGCCAGGAGGTGATGGGACCAGTGGCCATGATCTTCGTAAATCCCCGCCTGCAAGTTCAGCCAGTGGGTCAATGCTGCTCGTGAGGCAGAGATCCGCTTGGAGTGCCTCGGAGGATCCCTTCGGCACTGGCCCAGCCCTAGATCTCAGGAGCTGGCAGGGCATGCCAGGCCTTGCCCAGAGCTTGCCAACCCACATTCCTGGGCCCACTGGCTGGCATGTGCTCACAAGCCCATCCGAGGGCAGCCTCTAGTGGCAGAAACGCAAAAGGCCGCCTGCCTGGTGGGCAGTCCTTTTGGGAACAAGCCAAGACTCTCGGAAAAAACCGTTTCCTTTGGAGCAAAAACCTCTTTGAGCCACTGAGAGCCAAGGAGCATGACTAACTTAGACCTGTCAACTGCAGCAGGGTCTACTCAGAGTAAAACTCAGCTACCCTTCCTGGGGGTTTTAAAAAAGCGTCCGTCCGTCCCTCCAAAAAATCCTGGCTGCTTGTAGTCTGCAAACGCAAGGTTTGTTTTGTTTCCGTTGTCTTATTATTTTCATTTGGGAAGGTTGCAAATTTTAACACGCTGTCGCTCGTTATGCCTTCCGGCGGGGTGAGCATATCGATTGGCGAAAGGCGTTTTAAACGAAGAAATGAAGTGCTGCCGGCAGAATCTTGCAACGAAGCTTCTTGGGTTTCCAACCTGGGACGTTCCCTTTCTGTACACTCTGCTAAATGGGCCTTCTCCTCCCGCAACCTCTTTTCGCTTACCTGGCTCCCAGGAGAGGCGGCATAAGCTGATTCTTCCAGCAGGAAGAAAGAGGGCAAAAACAGAGAAACTTCAAGCCTGGTCTCACACTAGCCTGCATCTCTGTGGAAGAACACACTACCATCGTGCCAAGTTAACATTGCCAGCCACACACAGAACACACCTTGGGGGCTGCTACCCCTGTTCTTGTTGCTCATCGCACCCCCAGCAACCCACCAGCCGCCTTTCCAGGTCTCCACTCTCTCTCCTTACACCTTGCCCCCTCCTCCAGTGTAAGGTTACCAGATTTTTTTCAAAGAATCCGGGGACACTTTTTTAAAAAAGATAATTTTTTTTTATTAAAAAAACGTTTTTTTAAAAAACATTAAGAAGTCATATTTTCTCTTCTGAGGTCTCCTCTGTTGTAAACAAAAGTTGCCCTTTTCCCTTATGGGGTATCCAAGAGCCCATATAGAGTCCTTACATAGGTTCCCTATTGGTAGGAGAAAAGAACAGAGGCCAACCAGAGAATATTGAGAAGCAAAGCAGCTAGTAAGCCTGATCTTTATTGATCTGTTGCAACAGGGTGCTCCCCTCACCCGCAGGAGAGAGGAGGGACCCAGAACAATGGCGCGCAAGGCCTTATAAAGACTTTTGAAATTGCCACCCTGTAGATTAAGATCACCCCCAGAAACATCATACATACATCACAGAAGGTGTGTAACCTAAGACCACCCCTCAGATACATCACACCTACATCACAGAAAAGGCGGTCTAAAACAGAAATTTGAATGTTGTTTTTCTCCTGTCATTGTTTATCTCCTGTCTGGCAGGTTACTTGATTGGATTGCCTGGGGAGCCTGGCCAGTCTTTTGTAATGATAAATACTTAATTCCTGGGCCAGGTCACAGGCTCACACCCTGTTCATATCTTAAATGTGCCCTTAAGACAGGATTTGTGAAGAAAGAGACAATGGGAGGTTTCCCGCTTTGACCTTGCAGAGAAAACATTTGCTCAGTTTGGGAATCAAAATGGTCTCAGGTCGGTCTTCCTGTGCTGATCTATGTACGTGCTTGGTTGGTACGCTTATGAACATTAAGGTAAAGGTAAAGGTACCCCTGCCCGTACGGGCCAGTCTTGACAGACTCTGGGGTTGTGCGCCCATCTCACTTAAGAGGCCAGGGGCCAGCGCTGTCCGGAGACACTTCCGGGTCACGTGGCCAGCGTGACAAAGCTGCATCTGGCGAGCCAGCGCTGCACACGGAACGCCGTTTACCTTCCCGCTGGTAAGCGGTCCCTATTTATCTACTTGCACTTAGGGGTGCTTTCGAACTGCTAGGTTGGCAGGCGCTGGGACCCGAGCAACGGGAGCGCACCCCGCCGCGGGGATTCGAACTGCCGACCTTTCGATCGGCAAGCCCTAGGCGCTGAGGCTTTTACCCACAGCGCCACCCGCGTCCCTATTTATGAACATTACCATATATCTAAGATCTCAAAATTCCTATCACACCTGGGCCCCAGCCTGCTCTCTTGGAGTCCTAGCCGCCATGGAGTAGGCTTGGGTCGGGCCTGGGCTCGGCCACATGTCCTTGCCCTCCCAGTGCTCCCCTACTTTTTCTAAGCGGCGGCAGTGGTGCGGCAAGGTCAGGGCTCCCCTCCTTCCTCTTTCTCTCTCTTCCTTCTCCTTCTCCTCTCCTCCTTCTCCCTGCGTCAGCTCCGGGGTTTTCCTAGCCCTGGAGCGCCACTGGGCAGTTGGCCGGGTGGCCGGGCGCTCTCGCTCCCAGCTCGATTTGGGTTGCCGGGAGGGGGCTGTCAATGGTTCCCCCAGTTGACGCGCTGGGCGTCCCCGGTTCCCTCTCGGCAGTGGTGGTGGCAGCGGCAGTCTCAGCAGCCCGGAGCCAGCCTCGTAGCGCAGTTGGCTGTGGCTGGCTTCAGGAGCTGCTCGCTGCTGTGGCGCCCGCCATTTTTCCTCACCAGAAGTCCCCATATGATGTCTTGTGCCGTTGAACCAATCATGCAACATTCATTCCCTAATAATAAATCTACAACACTAAAAATATAAATCCGGGGATGATGATGATGATGATAATAATAATAATAATAATAATAATAATAATAATAATAATAATAATTTATTATTTGTACCCCGCCCATCTGTCTGGGTTTCCCCAGCCACTCTGGGCGGCTTCCACATTAAATGAAATCCGGGGACATTCCGGGGACGGATTTTGTCCAGGGACGGATTTGTAAATCTGGGGACTGTCCCCGGGAAACGGGGACATCTGGTAACCATACTCCAGTGTCCTCCTAACCCCTCTGTGCCCTTCCACCCCGGCTTCATCCATCCCTCTGCTGCCTCCTCTTCCTCTCCACCCCGCCCTCCCTGACTTCATGCAGATCTGGGGTTGTGACTCTGTGCGACGACAGCCTTGCATTCCTATATGTATAGGAAGATACTTCATTGGGTTTCATTACACACACACAAACACACACACACACATACAAATGAAAGCAAATGTGGCCCAGTGGATTCAGAGCTGGGAGAGAGCAGGGTTCGAATCCTCCCACTCAGCCATGAAGCACCCTGAGTGACCTCGGGTCAGCCACTGTCTGTCAGTCTAAGTCTACCTCATAGGGTGGAGCTGCTATTTGTTGTTCCTCAACCGGCAGCCTCGCAAGGGTGTGACTTTGGTAGGGAACCCCTAATGTCTTATGCCGTTAAGTAGAATGACAGGTTTTCAAGGTACTGCCCGGCGCTGCAGTAGTTTTGTTTTTCGACCTAGCTGTGGAATGCACCCATTCAGCTCTGGAAGAAAGGTTGGTACTGTTCTTCACCCTCCCATGGCATGCTCTCGGTCTCTGCCACCTGACACACTCCAAGATGTAGCCTGGTCTCCATCCTGCACCCAGATTAAGCCTTGGAATCCCTTTTGGGATGTGGTTCTAAAAGATGCAGTTTAACAACCACAGAGCACCTCTGAGCATATACAGAGTGCGGCCAAAACCTGACGGGGTGGAGAAAATTAAGACGCCTTTTGTGTCACAGCAGAGATGGGAAACTTGTAGCCGTCCAGGAGCTGTTGGACTCCAACTCCTATCAGCCCCAGGCAGTGCGGCCCAATGGTCAGGGATGATGGGAGTTGGAGCTCAGGAACAGATTCTTCTGCTGTCCTAGAACAATCCCGTCCCAACCAATCAGGAATCACATATTAAATGTACTGTACCCACAGAGGTAAAAAGCAGGGCTGGGGATCCAGTGGTCAGGGAAGGTAGGAGCTGAAGTTCAACGATGTACAGAGTGGGGCCAAGTTTCCCACCTCTGTGTTAGAGGGCTTTTCCCAGCACCCTACGTATTTTAGAAACCATTTTTCATTTTATTTCATCCTTTCATCTCGTTACAATACAGCGATCGATAAAAAGCATTTAAACAATTCATCCATCAGAACAGCAGCAAGAAAACATCGAATAAAATTAACAGAACACACACACACACACACACACAAAGAACACAAGTCATCATAGCAGCATTAGGTCAAGTAAGTTGCATTTTGCCAAGGCAAACCATTGCTCCATGTAGCTCACTATTGTCTAGCCTCAGGAATGGGGGGAACCTGCGTCCCTTCGGACACTGCTGGACTACAACTCCCATCATCCCTGACCATCGGTCCTATTGGCTAGGGCTGATGGTAATAGGAGGAAGGCAGCAACTTCCTCTTGGTCTGTGGTGATTGGCAGCTTTCCCCAGCCAATGGTGGCTGGTGCTCATTGGGGGCTAGTGGGGCGGAAGCAGGGAACCCAACAGCAGGTGGCGCCAGAGCCAAGGAGTGGCTAAGTCAACTCATTCTAGTTCCGTCCCCGTCCTCCTTCCTGTCGCGTTCCACAAAGGCAACGCTGCATATTAAGGCCATATTCACAAAACACATTTAAAGCGCTACGATACCGCTTAAAACAGTCATGGCTTCCCCCCAAATAATTCTGGGAGCTGTAGTTTGCTCTGGTTGCTGAGCGTTGTTTGGAGACTCCCCTCACGGAGCTACAATTCCCAGAGTTCACTGCAAAGATGGATGGATTGCTGAACCTCTCTGTCAACTGCTGCTCTGGGAAGGGAATTGAACTACAGTTCCCAGAATTCTTTAGGGTGAAACCACGACAGCCCCTGCCCTGTAGGATAGAGCTTTCCTCCCCCCATACGATAAAAAGAGTCGGCACTGAGCAAATACTTCAAGAGTGGTCGTTCCACAGTGGTGCCACCACAAAAAAGGCCCCGTCTCTGGTTGCTGCCATTGTGTAATCCCCAAAGGTGGGAGTCATTCTGCGCACGACCTCAGGTGATGAGCTTAGCAAGCGAGAAAGTTCATTTATGGTAAGGTTACCAGATATTTTTTTCAATGAATCTGGGGATTCAATGGATTTTGTATGGTGACTGATCTGTAAATCCGGGGACTGTCCCCGGGAAACGGGGATGTCTGGTAACCTTAATCTATGGGGGAAAGCGGTCCTTTGTGAATTCCAAACACCGCCCTTTTGTGTGGAATTCACACGCCCAGAGACCTACATCAGTCATAAAACCAACAGCAACAACTCCATCCAATAGTATATAAATACAAAAGGATTAAGTCTCTCGCCTCTTCCAGCGCCTGTCCCATTTTAAAAGGAACTTGAAGTTTCCAATTTGTTGTGGCCCCCGTCCGGGGGGTTGCCTGTGCCCCCGCCTCTCCAATCCTCTGCGTATTTATTCACGGCATAAATCGAGATCTCCGTATCCTTTTCCGTCCCTGGGTGATGCTTCTTGGCGGTCAAGGTCTCTTCCTCGTCCTGGGACGGCAGGTGGTGAAACTCCACCCCGAGCTCATACAGAGCCGTCCCAATGGTGGCCCCCACCATCGGAGCCACGACCGGAACCCAGCACCAGTAGTTTCCAGCACTGGAAAGATAAAGCAGAATTGTGACTGGTGGCAGAGATGCAGCCGTGTGGAGACAATTTGGAAAGGAGGTGAGCGTATCACAGAATCATAGAATCACAGAGTTGGAAGGGACCCTGCGGGTCAGTCCAAGCCCCTGCGATGCAGGATTAATTTTTTTATTTTTCCCCCCAAGGTGGGTTTCGAACCCACAACCCTGAGATTAAGAGCCTAATGCTATACCGACTGAGCTATCCCAGCAGTGGCTTTATATGGAAACCTCCCTACAGGGGGCATGGCTGTGGACCCTCCAAATTGACCGTTGCTCTGCCCTGCTCAGGGACGTGGTGGCGCTGTGGTTTAAACCACAGAGCCTAGGACTTGCCAATCAGAAGGTCGGCGGTTCGAATCCCCGCGACAGGGTGAGCTCCCGTTGCTCGGTCCCTGCTCCTGCCAACCTAGCAGTTCGAAAGCACGTCAAAGTGCAAGTAGATAAATAGGTACCTCTCTGGCGGGAAGGTAAACAGCGTTTCCATGCGCTGCTCTGGTTGGCCAGAAGTGGCTTAGTCATGCTGGCCACATGACCCGGAAGCTGTACGCCGACTCCCTCGGCCAGTAAAGCGAGGTGAGCGCTGCAACCCCAGAGTCAGTCACAACTGGACTTAACAGTCAAGGGTCCCATTACCTTTACCCGCCCTGCTCATCAGCACAAAGAGACCTTGTATGTTGTCAGGTGGCTGAGGATCAAGACAGGGAAAAGTCCCTACCAACTGCTTCTTATTCAATATTCACAGAGAAGGGCTCGGAAAGGCAGCCTCTTGGAATAATGGTATTGCCCTGAGTGAGTCTCCACCCCCTCCCTCTCTCCCATCACGCATCACCACTACAGGTGGTGAAAGGTGCCCTTTGCCTTTGAGCTCTTTGCTCTCCTACTTTCAAGGCTCGCCAGGTTCTAGGAGAAGGTTAGTGTCAGGTGTGCGTGCAGGAGCCAGGCCCTGTGACCAGTAGGACTTTGCAGGACTGGGGCCTTCCTAAGTTTGTTCTGAAGAGGCAAGGCGCGCCCACACAGCACCTGGCAGCAAGAGCCGGGAAGGGATATAAGGTCAGCATTTTCCCTTTGGCTCTTTGCCACAGCAACACGTTCACTGCCTTGCTGCGTTTGGCTCCTTGACTCCTTGCTTCTTGATCCTCAGACCCCTGACTTCGTGACTCCTTGCTTCCTGACCCTCGGACCCTTGGCTTCTTGACTCCTGGCTCTCTGACCCTCGGACTCTTGGCTTCCCGACTCCTGGCTTCTGGACCCCCATTCCTGCTCCCACCCCGCCATCTTGCCCCCGGTCCTGAAGTCCCCTGCTGGGACTTCGATAGCCCATGAACCAGACTGTGACAGTGGGTCTGGAATGCTTTCTAAAGACACTGTGTCCGTCAGCTATTGCCCCTCTGGCACGTCTTCTTCTTCCTCCTCTCCCATTATTTCCCAGCTTTCCCCCCTCATCTGCCTCTGAGCTGTGACCTCCTTCAACCCCCTGTAGTAATTCTGAATTGTCACCTTCTTCTCTGGAAAGGTCAGGCTGGGGAGAAGGTCTCCACCATTCCCCAGTCCCTGACACACACACACATGCAACTGGGCGCCGCCTCCTCGCCCCTCGCGCACTCACCTGAACACCTGAGGCCCCCATCCGGCCAGGTAGGTGAAGAGTCGTGGGCCCAGGTCCCGGGCTGGGTTAATGGCGCACATACAGTTGGCTCCCATTGCCAAGCCGAGAGCGGTGACCAGCAAGCCCACCGCGATGGGCTCCAGTCCATGTGGGACGCGCCTGTTGCGGGAGTCGATAATGGCCAGGATGCTCAATATCAGCACCCCGGTGCCCAGGACCTGATGAGGGGAAGAGGGTGGAGGGAGGACAGGACATCAACCAAAGCACAGGGGCATCGGAAACCACCAGAGGCCAGCCTATTCGTTTATCTAGGCCCTGGAGACTCAGCACCAATCTGAGAAGGGCCTTCTCGGTAGTGGCACCAGCCCTGTGGAATGCCCTCCCACCAGATGTCAAAGAAATAAACAACTATCTGACTTTTGGAAGACACCTGAAGGCGGTCCTGTTTAGGGAAGCTTTTAATATTTGAAGAATTATTGTATTTTAATATTTTGCTGGAAGCTCCCCAGCGTGGCTGGGGAAACCCAGCCAGATGGGTTGGGTATAAATAATAAATTATTATTATTATTATTATTATTGTTGTTGTTGTTGTTGTTTTGTTGTTGTTGTTGTTACAGTGGTACCTCAGGTTAAGACCTTAATTCGTTCCAGAAGTCTGTTCTTAAGAAGAAACTGTTCTTAACCTGAGGTACCACTTTAGCTAATGGGGCCTCCCACTGCTGCCACGCGATTTCTGTTCTCATCCTGAAGCAAAGTTCTTAACCTAAGGTACTATTTCTGGGTTAGCGGAGTGTCTGTAACCTGAAGCATCTGTAACCTGAAGCGTCTGTAACCCGAGGTACCACTGTATTATTATTATTATTATTATTATTATTATTATTATTACTCACACTTGGAGGTGCCGGGATTGAACCTGGGACCTTCTGCATGCAAGTCTGGTGCTCTAACCACTGAGCCACGGCAAATGAATGGAGCAGCGGCAGAGCAATTGGACATATGGGATGCATCGCCCTGAGCGAAGGATGCTTCTGTCTCTGGGCACTGCTGGGAGTTCTAGGGACGGCTGGCCCTACCTGGTCGAAGAAGCCGTTGCCAAGCGACAGGTAGGGAGCTGGGTAGGTGGCAAAGATGGAGGCGGTTTCACGGGGTCCGGTGACTGCAAGGGTCCCATTGCTATAGCTGTGGATGGCGTCTGCGGAGAGAAAAGCCAGTGACCATGAGGCTTAGCTTTATAGGAAGAGAAGCCGAAGGGGGAAAGGAGAGCAGCAGCCCTGCTCCGTCAGTTCAGCTGAGAATCCACCTTCATGTGATTCCTGACCAGTTTACATTCCCAACTGGTCATTACAAGGACTACCATGTAACTTCGGCATCTGATTCCACTGCATTTTGGTTCATCCTCTCCCCTCCTCATCCCTTTTTCCTTTTGTGCTGTGTCTCTTTAGATTGAAAGCCTGCAGGCAGGGGTTTTTTCTCCCTACGTGTCATCGTTCTTACGCAGGGGTCAGCAAACTTTTTCGGCAGGGGGCCGGTCCACTGTCCCTCAGACCTTGTGAGGGGCTGGACTAGATTTTTTTGGGGGGAGGAAATATGAACGAATTCCTATGCCCCACAAATAACCCAGAGATGCATTTGAAATAAAAGGACATGTTCTACTCATGCAAAAACACACTGATTCCCAGACTGCCTGCAGGCCGGATTTAGAAGGCGGTTGGGCTGGATCCAGCCCCCAGGCCTTAGTTTGCCTACCCATGTTCCTACGGCAGAAGCGTTTTAAGTAAATGAATAAATATGCAGTGAGCCTCACCGCTTGCCATTTCATACCCTACGGCTGCCAAGGAATGCTTTCGGGTGTCAATAGCAAACTTCGCAGCGCGATTATGGCTTTTCTAGTATATCTGGTATATCTTTAACCCAAAGATTGGCTTTTACATCAGCAGAAGATGAGCTGGGCAGAGTCAATGAATACAGACACGGCGAGGCAGGGGAATGTGTCATAAGCCGAGCTTGAAATGCGCCTTTTATTTTCCCCATTGTGAAAACTCTGGGAGATAACGTTACCGTAATAAAGCATGTAGACGGTGCCTGCGCCCAAAAAGGCTCCCATAGTCTGAACGACAGAGAAGATGGGCAGTTTCCACCAGGGGCATTGGCCAAGCAGACACATGGTGAGCGTAAAGGCTGGATTTAAGTGTCCTCCTGAAACAGAGAATCGTAGAATTGTAGAATCATAGAGTTGGAAGGGACCATGAAGGACATCTAGTCCACCCCCCTGCGATGCAAGAATCTTTTTAGCCCAATGTGGGGCTCAAACACACAACCCTGAGGTCAAGTCTCATGCTCTACTGACCCCCGTGTTTGAAATCCTGTTCCGTATGGTCTCTCACTTCTGAAATTGCACTAGGTCTTGCACATGCCCTTTGCAGGACTAGGAACTTAGGCTGCACATACACACCATACTGTATATTTAAAGCAAATTATTCCCCCTAAAGGGACGTGGGTGGCGCTGTGGGTTAAACCACAGAGCCTAAGACTTGCTGATCAGAAGGTTGGTGGTTTGAATCCCCATGACGGGGTGAGCTCCTGTTGCTCAGTCCCTGCTCCTGCCAACCTAGCAGTTCGAAAGCACACCAGTGCAAGTAAATAAATAGGTACCGCTCCGGCGGGAAGGTAAACGGCGTATCCTGCGCTGCTCTGGTTCACCAGAAGCGGCTTGGTCATGCTGGCCACATGACCTGCTGTACGCTGGCTCCCTCGGCCAATAAAGCGAGATGAGCGCCACAACCCCAGAGTCAGTCACGACTGGACCTAATGGTCAGGGGTCCCTTTACCTTCTACCTTTTTATTCCCCCTAAAGAATCCTGGGAACCACAGTTTGTTCAGGGTGCTGTGAATTGTAGCTCTGTGAGGGGTAGACGCCTCTCCGCTTGTGAGAGTTCACCCATCGTTTCAGGCCTATAAAGGTCCACTGTTCCTTAGACCTTGTGGGGGGGCTGGACTATATTTTGGGCGGAGGGGGGGGGGGAATGAACGAATTCCTATGCCCCACAAATAACCCAGAGATGCATTTTAAATAAAAGGACACATTCTATTCATGTAAAAACATGCTGATTCCTGGACTGTCTGTGGTCCGGATTTAGAAGGCGATTGGGCCGGATCCGGCCCCCAGCCCTTAGTTTGCCTACCCATGGTATAGATAATACTACACTCACCTCTTCTTCTGAGTAGTGGTGCAAATCAGCCCCAGGCAGAGAGAACTAAGCGTGTCAAAAACTAGTGCCCATTGGAGACTGGTAGGGTGGAAGGCAGGGAGCCTAACAGCAGGTGGCGCCAGAGCCAATGACAGGCAGGGCCAGCTAATTCTAGATTTGCCCCATCCTCCTCCTCCTCCTCTTCCCTTCTGAGTTCTACAAGGGGCAAAACTGAGACTAAGAAAGAGCAAGAGGAGGGAGCTGGCAGGCAGGGGCACTCCCTGGACCGATTGCAAGTAGGAAAGGGGCTGCAGACCGAGGCTGGCAGAGGAGTGTCCCATGCCCCCTAATGGACACAGCCTCCGGCCACCCAATGCCTCTTGGTAAAGCTCCCTACCAGGACTTGATGGAAACAGCCCTTTGAAACCCAAATGTTTGTTCCCTGCACCAGAGCCTCAGCAGGTACAATGGCACTGGCCATGGAGGCTCCATTGAGCTATCGGGGTTAATAATAATTACTGGTAGCTGGTCATAAGGTGGCTGAGTCATAGCTCCGGGAGCTAAGGTTGGCAGAGATAACAGGGACCAGAGGCGATAAGGAGCTTGCAGTCGACAGAAATCAATCCCCGGAGAATAAATCTTTGGCAAGCACCTCCACGTGGCTTCCCCAGGTCTGGAAAGTCTTTTCAGAGGAAGGACGGGGGAAGCAGGACCGGCCCAATCCCCAGCAAGCATCCCCATAAGTGACAGAGAAGAAATCTGATGCGGGTCTTAAACAACTTCATGTGCATTTTGTGAAACAATGCACAAAACTGGGACGCAGCCATCCTCTGAAGTTTGTGCTTCGCCACATTTTGCAATGCAGCCAAGCCGCGTGTACAAAAATGCATACACAGGGGTAAGGTAAAGGTAAAGGGACCCCTGACCACTAGGTCCAGTCGTGGCCGACTCTGGGGTTGCGGCGCTCATCTCGCTTTATTGGCCGAGGGAGCCGGCGTACAGCTTCCGGGTCATGTGGCCAGCAGGACTAAGCCACTTCTGGCAAACCAACGCAGCGCACGGAAACGCCGTTTACCTTCCCGCCGGAGCGGTACCTATTTATCTACTTGCACTTTGACGTGCTTTCGAACTGCTAGGTGGGCAGGAGCAGGGACTGAGCAATGGGAGCTCACCCCATCGCGGGGATTCGAATTGCCGACCTTCTGATCGGCAAGCCCTAGGCTCTGTGGTTTAACCCACAGCGCCACCCACGTCGCGTATACACATGGGTAAAATGTGCATATAATAGCACATTAGGGAAGGTGGCTCTGCAAAGATGTCTCTGTTAAGATGAAAGGCTCCAAAGGATAAAAAGAAGAAGATGACTTTGACAATATAAGGTGTTGCTTTAATTTCTTATGTGAATAAATCTAGCCGAACTATAACTCCTCCATCAGCCCATGGGACTTTCTGGAAGGACTCTTTAAAGTTTATATGCTTGTTCATTATTGCAACAGCTGCGTTGTGAATCTGCTTATTGTTTGTTACTATGGACACACCTTCCAAATGTCCCCATTTTCCAGGGACGTCCCTGATTTAGAGAAGCCATTTTGATTTGATCCTGGAATGTCCCACTTTTCCTTAGGATGTCCCTATTTTCACCAGAGAAATGTTGGAGGGTATGGAGTTATCTGACCCCCGAGTCGTCTGAAGGCAATCTTGTATAGGGAAGGTTTTTTATGTTTAATGTTTTATTATGTTTTAATACATGTTGGAAGCTGCCCAGAGTGGCTGAGGCAAGCCAGTAGGGTGTGTATAAATAGTAAAATTATCATTATGGAAATAGGACATCCCTATTTTCATCAGAGAAGTGTTGGAGGATGCTTGCACATTTTGAAAACCTTTGAATAAAAATATTTACCCATATTGAAAAAGATGTCTCTATCAGGCAAAATCATATACAAAATTCATATACAAAATTCAGAAACAGGCAGAGAATTTCAAAGGATGGTCGTGTCTTGGCTACGGTATTGTTTCAGAAAGAGCCACAGAGGTAGGTTTTCCGCTTCTGATCTTTTTAACCTGCACAGTTTCAAGCCTAAATTTTGTTCCAACACTAAGGACTAGCAACTTGCATATTTGAAAACAAAACAGCTAGAAAGCCGCTATGATCAGCAAGCTGCAGGCTGAGTTCAACACTGTATTCTGCGCCTCAGATTCAGGGTCGGATTTGGGTTTGATGAGGCCCTAAACTACTGAAGGCAATGGGCCCTTTATATGCCCAGCTGTCCTTTGTCAACAACAAATTGTCCCTGTTTTATGTGTTGAATATATGCTATATGGTAATTTAGGGACCTCATAGGTATCTAATGCCATTTTCCACTGTTGCTGTATGTACTGTAGGTTTTATTATATTTCTTTTTTCTCATATTTTGGAAATGTACATCCAGGTTTTTTCCCCTTTAATTTTTTTTGGGGCCCCCAGGAGAGTGGGGCCCTGAGCTATAGCTTGATTAGCTTATACATAAATCCGGCACTGCTCAGATTTTCCAGGCTTAACTTGTGTCCTTGCCTTTGCAAAACAAAATAAACTATGAAATTTGCTGCTGCTGCTTCTTTTTTAAAAAGGATTTATAGATAGTAGGGACACGGGTGGCGCTGTGGGTTAAACCACAGAGCCTAGGGCTTGCCGATCAGAAGGTCGGCGATTCGAATCCCCATGACAGGGTGAGCTCCCGTTGTCTGGTCCCTGCTCCTGCTGACCTAGCAGTTCAAAAGCACGTCAGAGTGCAAGTAGATAAATAGGTACCGCTCCGGCGGGAAGGTAAATGGCATTTCCGTGCGCTGTTCTGGTTCGCTTAGTCATGCTGGCCACATGAGCTGGAAGCTGTACACTGGCTCCCTTGGCCAGTAAAGCGAGATGAGCGCCGCAACCCCAGAGTCGGCCACGACTGGACCTAATGGTCAGGGGTCCCTTTACCTTTACCTCTATCTTTACTGGAGGTGAGAGGGACGCAGGTGGCACTGTGGTCTAAAGCACAGAGCCTAGGGCTTGCTGCCATTGCTCGGTCCCAGCTCCCGCCCACCTAGCAGTTCGAAAGCACGTCAAAGTGCAAGTAGATAAATAGGTACTGCTCCGGTGGGAAGGTAAACGGCATTTCTGTGCGCTGCTCTGGTTCGCCACAAGCGGCTTAGTCCTGCTGGCCACATGACCCGGAAGCTGTACGCTGGCTCCCTTGGCCAGTAAAGCGAGATGAGCACCGCAACCCCAGAGTCGGCCACGACTGGACCTAATGGTCAGGGGTCCCTTTACCTTTTTATAAGGAGATAAACACTGCAGCTCTCCCCCACAATTGCCCGAAATTTTGAGCGAAGCCTGGACCAAGTGCCTGCCCCATCCCCGGGGCTCGTGCACGAGAGAACCTCCCCTTTCTCACCGGAAACTCCTCCCGAAACGTGGATGGCTACCATCACAGCAATTCCACCTGCTAGGGCTGAGCTAAAATAGCCACCCTTCGTCCCTTCGCTGGTGGTGGCTTGCGCAGATGCGCTCAGAGTAATCACCTGGGAAAGAGAGAGAGAGAAAAGAATGAGGGAAAAGACCTTTGGGAGAATCTTTGCCCTGGGTCAACACTCCGGCATCATGCCCACATTGTCCCTCCCAGGTGGTGATGGCAACCTTGTTTACCCTGGCGCCAATCATCTTCCTTTTTTTGATGGTCATGGGGTGGAAGCGATGGGCTATGGCAGCGATGGCGAAACTTTTAGAGATTGTGTGCCCAAATTGCAGCCCCAAACCCACTTATTTATTGCCAAGTGCCAACATGGCAATTTAATCTGTATATTTCATTTCCCCCCCATGTGTTTCACGTTTCTTCTTCATGACTGCTGTTGTAATAAAAAATCCTTCATAAAAGCTATTGCATTATGGTCTTCAATAAATTATCTTTGCATCAGTATATAATTTTATGGCATAACTCAGTGCTTTCTTTCTTAAAAAATGTTTAGGGGTACTCTCGTTTTGGCTCAAGAAAATCACCACCAGGGAAAAATAAATACAGTTCAAATCGGGGGAAATAAAGACAGTGAATTTCTTGTCCCGTTAAATTCGCAAAATGTTTAGGGGTATGCGTCCCCCTGTGTCCCCACAGGGGGAAAAAGCACAAGTATTACTCCAAAACTAAGTGGTGTTAATGAGCCATCAAACCTCGGAAATACAGTGGTACCTCTGGTTGTGAACGGGATCCGTTTCGGAGGCCCATTCGCAACATGAAAAGAGCACAACCCGCAGCAGCACGTCTGCGTATGTGCTGGTTGCGATTCGCCGCTTCTGCCCATGCGCGTGACGTCATTTTGAGCATCTGCGCATGCATGAGCGGTGAAACCCGGAAGTAACCCTTTCCAGTACTTCCGGGTCGCCGCGGGACATGACCTGAAAGAACATAACATGAAGCGGACATAACATGAAGTATGACTGTACATTTTTCCCAGAAGGTTTCACAATTTTGGCCACTAGTGTACACTGGAGGGTGTACGAAGAGCCTCCCTCTCCCAATTTTTAATATGAGATAATAATGATTGTCTGCGTGTGCACATACAAATATGAATAAATAAACAAACCTATCCAGATGGACAGGGCATTATTATTATTTTGCCATTTCTTTGGCTGCTGTTTGATTGCACGGAATGAATTTCTCTTGTTGGCTTCCGCAAGAAAGCCCAGCGAACATGTAAACCCCTTCTTAGGTTGCTTACTGACCTGGGAGTTAAGCCATGCTGAAATCAAGGCGGCTTACTCCCGAGTAGGAAAAACAGACTGGCAGGAGGCCCTGGCGCATCAAAAGTCTGCTCAGCCTCTCATTCACTCACCAGGCCCTAGTGCCACCCCCGGCACGGAAGCTACGGCTCTCATAGAATCATAGAATCATAGAGTTGGAAGAGACCACAAGGGCCATCGAGTCCAACCCCCTGCCAAGCAGGAAACACCATCAGAGCACTCCTGACATATGGTTGTCAAGCCTCTGCTTAAAGACCTCCAAAGGAGGAGACTCCACCACACTCCTTGGCAGCAAATTCCACTGTCGAACAGCTCTTACTGTCAGGAAGTTCTTCCGAATGTTTAGGTGGAATCTTCTTTCTTGTAGTTTGGATCCATTGCTCCGTGTCCGCTTCTCTGGAGCAGCAGAAAACAACCTTTCTCCCTCCTCCATATGACATCCTTTTATATATTTGAACATGGCTATCATATCACCCCTTAACCGCCTCTTCTCCAGGCTAAACATGCCCAGCTCCCTTAGCCGTTCCTCATAAGGCATCGTTTCCAGGCCTTTGACCATTTTGGTTGCCCTCCTCTGGACACGTTCCAGTTTGTCAGTGTCCTTCTTGAACTGTGGTGCCCAGAACTGGACTCTGCTGGGGCGACGGCGCACGTGACCACAGAGAGGGCTCTGAGTGCCCTTTCTGGCAAGCGTGCCATAGGTTCACCACCACTGGGCTATGGGGTCCTGGATTTTGGCTGCCAGCTGGCAAAGTGATAAAAATGTACCTAGAGAGAGGAGCGTTGGAAGTTGCACTCTACGAAGCCCATAATAAATGATAATAATTTTATTATTTATATGCCACCCATCTGACCGGGTCAGCCCAGCCACTCTGGGCTTCTCCCAACAAAACACACTAAAACATCAACCATTAAAATCTCTGAACAGCGCTGCCTTCCAATGTCTTCCAAACGTCAAATCGTTGTTTCATCAGGACTAGGGAGTCCCTCCCCCCACCCACTTGCCTGCTCCCAGAAATCGTACTTCTCTCTTGTCAGGATTCAACCTCAATCCACTGACCGCCACCCATCCTCCAACCATCACCGCCAACCCATCGGAACATCAGTCGTGGGACAGGGATGGGACAGGATTTGGTATTTCAAGCCGAATTGATCCAGTCGGAATACTCCAAAACGGTATAGGAACGGTATAGGTATCTTTCAAAATCCCAGACAAACCACCGCTCCAAAATTAAAGCTTAAAAAATGCACCTATTAGGAGAAGCTGTGCAAAGAAACGAATCTGAGGAGCTCAATCGCTGACAAGGAAGTTAAAGGCGAAGGTGAAGGAACCCCTAACCATTAAGTCAAGCTACGGATGACTCTGGGGTTGCGGTGCTCATCTCGCTTTCAGGCCAAAGGAGCCGGCGTTTGTCCGCAGACAGCTTCTGGGTCATGTGGCCAGCATGACTAAGCCACTTTTGGTGAACCAGAGCAGCGAGCGGAAACGCCATTTACCTTCCCGCCAGAGTGGTACCTATTTATCTTCTTGCGCTTTGATATGCTTTTGAACTGCTAGGTTGGCAGGAGCTGGGACCAAGCAACGGGAGCTCACCCCGTCATGGGGATTCGAACTGCCAACCTTCTGATTGGCAAGCCCTAGGCTTTGTGGTTTAGACCACAGCGCCACCCGCATTGTTACACACCAGCAAAATCAGGGGGGGCTTACTTCTGAGTAAAGGGCATGGGGTGGAGAGGCTTAGCAATGAGTCTATTAATTATTATTATTATTATTATTATTATTATTACTATTACTACTACTACTACTATTTCAAATGAGGAGAGGAGAGCCCAGGTTATCTCCCTGGGCTCCAAACAAGGGAACCTGAACTCCAGAACTATTTTTTGCATTCCAGAAGAGGTGGAAAACAAACCTTTTGGACCCTGAACTTTGCCCCTCTGGCTCGCCCGCTCCAGGGTCAGGTGCAATGCAATTAAGCACCCATTGCCCATGAAGGCAGGTCCAGCATTAACAGCAAGACATTAAAGCGTGACAGGTAGCCAGACAGGAACCCCATTCCTAAAAGAATGTCTTCAGAGACAGAACTCAGAGACAGATGTTGCAAACAGCCAATCTGCAGTGGCGTGCGGCAGCAAGAGCATTAATATCACCCAGGGCAACTGATGAACACCTTTTTTTAATAATCTTTATTAATTTAAATTACACACTTATACAAAGAATTTACAAAGAATTTACAATCTCATACTACAAAAAGAAAATTAAAGAAAAAACAATTAAGAAACAAGAAAAGAAGAAAATACAGGGAAAAAATAAAGAAGAAAAAGCAAATTTACATACATAAAAAAACACCTTAATCTTCCTAATTAATACTTAATTAAACGGATGAACTCCTATTGTTTCCTGGGTGATAACAAGGTCTTCAAGTTTTCTTTTTATTTGGTGATGGATTAGCAGGGAGGAAGTCAGAGAATCTGTGGGGCTGCAGTTTTGGATTCTCTTTTGGGAGCTGGCTGTGTGTGTGTTGTCATGGTGGACTCCTGTATTTAAATCATTTACACTCCCAGCAAAAGCCAACCCATGCCTGAACTCTAGGAGGTCAGGTTTCAGGTAGGGAAGATGGGAAGATGCGATAGGGAGCTGACATGCCGGCACTGACTAGTCATCTTGACACCGATACCAGGGAAGATCCCAGAACGGATAATTAAACAGATAATTGGTCGGTGAGCAATCGGGAAAGGATGCCGGGAGCATGGGTTTCTCAAAAACAAGTCATGACAGGTGATTCTCGTTTCTGTTATTGATAATTACAGGTTTCGTGGATCATAGGAATACTGTGGACATAAGTGTACCTTGATTTCAGTTAGGCTTTTGTCAAAGTCCCCCATAATATTTTTGCAGAGAAGCTGGTAAAATGTGAACTGGACGAGATAACCGCAAGATGGATTTGTAGCTGGTTGACTGACAGAACCCAAAGACTGCTCACGAATGGTTCTCCATCATCCTGGGAAAAGTGACAATGGCAGCATGCCACAGGGGTCTGTCCTGGGCCCTTTGATGTCTTTATAAACATCTTGGATGAAGGCACTGAGGGGATGCTCATCAACTAAGCAGATGGTACCAGTGGCGTAGCGTGGGTTGTCAGCACCCGGGGCAAGGCAAGTAATTTGCGCCCCCTAACCCGTGGATTTGCGCCCCCTAACCCTAGATGTTGCGCCCGGTGCGGCCGGCCCCCCCTGCACCCCCCATGCTACGCCACTGGATGGTACCAAACTGGGAAGGGCAGCCAATGTCACTGAAGACAGAATCGGGTTTCGACATGGCATTGACAGATTGGAGAACTGGGCTCAACCTAACAAAATGGATTTCAATGGGGACAAATGTTAAGATTCTGAACTTAGGCAGGAAGAACCAGCTGTACAAATATAAGATGGCGGACACCTGGCTTGCCAGTAGTAGTAGTAGTAATAATAATAATTTATTATTTATACCCCACCCATCTGGCTGACTTTCCCCAGCCACTCTGGGCGGCTCCCATTCAAGTGTTAAAAACAATAAAGCATTAAATATTAAAAACTTCCCTAAACAGGGCTGCCTTCAGATGTCTTTTAAAGATAAGATAGCTGCTTATTTCCTTCACATCTGCTGGGAGGGCGTTCCACAGGGCGGGTGCCACTACCGAGAAGGCCCTCTGCCTGGTTCCTTGTAACTTGGTTTCTCACAGTGAGGGAACCGCCAGAAGGCCCTCGGCGCTGGACCTCAGTGTCCAGGCAGAACAATGGAGGTGGAGACTCATCAATGGTTCCTCTTCATCCTGGAGAAGAGTGCCTAGTGGGGTGCCACAGGGTTCTGTCTTGAGCCCGGTCTTATTCAACATCTTCATCAATGACTTGGATGATGGGCTCAAGGGCATCCTGATCAAATTTGCAGATGACACCAAACTGGGAGGGGTCGCTAACACCCCAGAGGACAGGATCACACTTCAAAACGACCTTGACAGATTAGAGAACTGGGCCAAAACAAACAAGATGAATTTTAACAGGGAGAAATGTAAAGTATTGCACTTGGGCAAAAAAAATGAGAGGCACAAATACAAGATGGGTGACACCTGGCTTGAGAGCAGTACATGTGAAAAGGATCTAGGAGTCTTGGTTGACCACAAACTTGACATGAGCCAACAGTGTGACGCAGCAGCTAAAAAAGCCAATGCAATTCTGGGCTGCATCAATAGGAGCATAGCATCTAGATCAAGGGAAGTAATAGTGCCACTGTATTCTGCTCTGGTCAGACCTCACCTGGAGTACTGTGTCCAGTTCTGGGCACCACAATTCACGAAGGACACTGACAAACTGGAACGTGTCCAGAGGAGGGCAACCAAAATGGTCAAAGGCCTGGAAACGATGTCTTATGAGGAACGGCTAAGGGAGCTGGGCATGTTTAGCCTGGAGAAGAGGAGGTTAAGGGGTGATATGATAGCCATGTTCAAATATATAAAAGGATGTCATATAGAGGAGGGAGAAAGGTTGTTTTCTGCTGCTCCAGAGAAGCGGACACGGAGCAATGGATTCAAACTACAAGAAAGAAGATTCCACCTAAACATTCGGAAGAACTTCCTGACAGTAAGAGCTGTTCGACAGTGGAATTTGCTGCCAAGGAGTGTGGTGGAGTCTCCTCCTTTGGAGGTCTTTAAGCAGAGGCTTGACAACCATATGTCAGGAGTGCTCTGATGGTGTTTCCTGCTTGGCAGGGGGTTGGACTCGATGGCCCTTGTGGTCTCTTCCAACTCTATGATTCTATGAGACGCTCCTTCAGGTATTCTGGACTGAGGCTGTTTAGGGCTTTAAAGGTCAGCACCAACACTTTGAATTGTGCTCGGAAACATACTGGGAGCCAATGTAGGTCTTTCAAGACCGACGTTATGTGGTCTTGGCGGCCAGTCCCAGTCACCAGTCTAGCTGCCACATTCTGGATTAAATGCAGTTTCCAGGTCACCTTCAAAGGTAGCCCCACGTAGAGCGCGTTGCAGTGGTCCAAGCGGGAGATAACTAGAGCATGCACCACTCTGGCGAGACAGTCCACAGGCAGGTACAAGTGAAAAGGATCTAGGGGTTTTAGTAGACCACAAGCTGAACATGAGTCAATAGTGTGATGCAGCAGCAAAAAAAGCTAATGCTATTCTAGGCTGCATCAACAGAAGTCAAGTGTCCAGATCAAGGGAAGTAATAGTCCCTCTCTATTCTGCCTTGGTCAGACCTGGAGTCCTGAGTCCAATTCTGGGAGCCACAATTTGACAAGGAGATTGAGAAGCTGGAAGGTTTGCAGAAGAGATGATGATGATCAAGGGCCTTATGAGGAACAGTTGAGGGAATTGGGTATGTTTAGCCTGGTAGAGACTGAGAGGAGATATGATAGCCATCTTTCGATATCTATAGGACTGTCACATAGAAGATGGAGCAAACCTGTTTTCTCCTCTTTGGACCTAAACCAATGGCTTCAAGTTACAAGAAATGAGATTGTGAGGTTTGGGAGTTGAGTTGAGTTGAGGTTTGGGAGTTGAAGAAGGAAGAGGGAGATTTAGGTGTGGGTTGGTAGAGTTGTATTGTGAGAGAGTGAGAGGAATTGTTAGGTGGAGTCAGATAGTTAGTTGGAATAATCAGTTTGGAGTTGTTAGGAACTAAGAATAAGAAACTGCCAAGAAAAATTAACCGTAACCATAAGCTTGTTCCTGCATTTAAAAATAAACTTGATTATTTGTTTATGTCAACAACTGACTGGACTCCGTGTGTCCCCGTGAGATACGGGGTGGTGGCAGCGGAAAAAGCAATCGCAGTGGCGGCACAGGGTCAACAGACCGTCAAACGTCCGGGGGCCCTGTGTGTGATCGCCACAAACATCAGGAGGAACTTTCTGACAGTAAGAGCTGTTCAACCGTGGAGCGGACTTCCTTTAAAGCTGGCAGTGGGCTCTCCTTCCTTGGAGGTTTTTAAACAGAGGTCAGATGGCCATCTGTCAAGTATGACCTAACTGAGATTCCTGTATTGCAGGGCGTTGGACTAGACGACTCTCAGGGTCCCTTCGAATTCTTCAGTTCTATGGTTCCAGCCCTCATAGCTCTACACAGAAGTCAAACTTAAACAGGAACATAGCAAGCCACCTTCTTCCAAGTGAGACGATTGGGCCCATCTAGCTCAGTACTGTCTACACTGGCAGGCAGCAGCTCTCCAGGGTTTTCAGACAGGGAGCGTCTCCCAGCCCTGCCTGGAGTTTTCAGGGTTGGAAACTGGGAAAAAGCAGGTGCTCTACCGCTAAGCAAACGCCAGCCTTTCTCTGCAACATAGGGATCGTGTACGAGTTCAGACTAGGGTTACCAGACGTCCCCGGATTCACAAATCTGTCCCCGGACAAAATCTGTCCCCGGATTTTAATTAATGTCCCTGAATTTATGCCTGGGGACTTCTGGTGAGGCAACATGGCGGGTGCCATGGCAGCAAGGCAGCACCAGAAGTCCCGGCCACGTCAAAGTCCCAGCCAGCCAATCTGCTGGCTGGGGGGCTATTTAAACCGAGGCGTGAGCCAGAGAGCTTCCTTCTGGCTCGCTTCCTTGATCAACGCTCGCCCCGAAATCGCACAGAGCCACCCACAGCAGAAGAGCCTGTGGCGTTCTTCTGCTGTGGGCTCTGCGCACCCAAGTTGGGGGGCAGCGAGCGAGGCGCTGAGGCGGTGAAGAAGAGGAGAAGCCTAGAAAAGAGCTGTTCTGCACTGCAAGACAGAGAGAGAGAGACAGAGCCTTGTGTGTGTGTTTTAATGCGTGTTTTCCCAAGACCAGCGAGCGCTTTTACTCAATCTCTCTCTTCCCCCCCCCAACCTCTTTTTTGGGGGGCATTTGTGTGTTTGTAGATGGGCCTAGGACTTGCCGATCAGAAGGTCGGTGGTTCGAATCCCCGCGACGGGGTGAGCTCCCGTTGCTCGGTCCCTGCTCCTGCCGACCTAGCAGTTCGAAAGCATGTCAAAGTGCAAGTAGATAAATAGGTACCGCTCCGGCGGGAAGGTAAACAGCGTTTCCATGCACTGCTCTGGTTCGCCAGAAGCGGCTTAGTCATGCTGGCCACATGACCCGGAAGCTGTACGCCGGCTCCCTCTGCCAATAAAGGGAGATGAGGGCCGCAACCCCACAGTCGTGGGGACCTAATGACTGGACCTAATGGTCAGGGGTCCCTTTACCTTTACCTTAGATGGGCTTCTCTGCCTGCCTTATGTCCAGGTGCATGCCTGACAACTTTGGGGTTCCCCCCTAAAAAGGTCAAGAACTCTGGGCAACCCATTTCCTAAAATAATAAAGCATGAAATTTTTTAAAAGTACCTCCTAGATTCCTTGAAAAAAATCTGGTAAGCATAGCTCAGATTTCTTCTTCTAGCTTAGCATTGTTGACACTGACTGGCAGTGGCTCTCCAGGGCTTTATTCAGCCTGGGGGTCCTCTCCCCAGCCCTGACTGGACTGAACCTGGAGCCTTCTGCATGCAAGACAGATGTCCTGTCCCTCAGCTGCAGGTGCTTTGCCATCTACTGTTTCCCCCGCCCCAAAACCAGGAAATATTTGCAACTTACGATCAACATGAAGACCCCCAGGAGCTCTGCGAGGCACTGGCGGAGGAGGAGGCTGCGGAGACGGAGGCAAGCTTGCGCTTTGGCTAAGAAGCGGGTGTAAATCATCGCCAGCCGGGAGAGAAAGCTTTCCGCAGGCAGATCAGAAATACAGATGTGTGCGTCGCTGCATGGGAGCTGCTCTCGGGCTACCGGTGATAATAACTAATTATTCTCGGAACTCGTTGCTTAAATGCCCGGGGAAGTTATGTAAGAAGGGAGAACGGCAGCGTGCAGGCGAGAAAAAAGGGCATGGATCCCTCCGGCACCAGCCTCTCCCCAGACTTGGAATTATGACCCCTGTCGTCAGGAGCAAAAGGCGTGCTTGACCCATATGCCAGCGCTACTGGCACGGTGAGGCTGTGCTGGAGTTTTGCACATGCCCTTGCAGTAACGTAGGGAGAGAGAGCCAGATGGATCAGGCCTGTACCGCCCCCTCCTTGTCCAGCATCCCTGTTCTCGCTAGACAAATGCCCCAGTGGGAAACCTGTAAGCAGGATTCGAACCCAGCACCTGGTTTCCAGCAACTGGTATTCAGAAGTATCGCTGCCTCGAACTGTGGAGGAAGAGTGTGCTGGGCCCGCGGGTAACCCGTGAAACGTGGTCCAGGACCAGTCCAGAATCCAAAGGTTCCGCTAGGAGTCAGTCCGACAGGGCCAAGGCAGGAAACCAGGCAGGAAACCAGGCAAGGACAGGTACAGTGGTACCTCTGGGTGCGAACGGGATCCGTTCCAGAGCCCCGTTCGCATCCAGAGCAGAATGCAACCCGCGTCTGCGTATGTGCAGGTCGCAATTCACTGCTTCTGCGCATGCACGTGACGTCATTTTGAGTGTGAATGCGCGAGCAGCGAATCCCGGAAGTAATGTGTTCCGTTACTCTCGGGTTGCCACGGAGCGCAACCCGAAAACGCTAAACCTGAAGCAACTTTAACCCGAGGTATGACTGTACAGGATCTCAGGCGGGATCTAGCATACAGCAATGTCGCTCCCGCAACCTGGGGCGGGGTCCGACAGCCTTTTATCTCTGTCAGGGTAACGGCCGGTCCTGATCCCCCAGCGACTCACCTCCCTGTCTCGCCCGAAGGCAAGCACGCCTCCTGCGAGTTCTCAGGTCTCTCCTTCTCTCAGACCTCAGTCTCTGCAACTCGGGAGATGTCGGTGGGTTACTAGACCCAGAGGCCGCCTCAGCCTCCCCTGACCCAACCGGTAGTGGAGCAGCTGTAAGTGATGGCCCAGCTGAAGGCAACAAGGTAATCCCCGCATCTGGAGCCAGGGCTCCAGGATCCGGTGCAGACTGAGACTCCTCTGGTTCCGAGCCCGAGTCCCAGGCCATCACAAAGAGCACAGCAGCTGTAACTAGAAGCCATGAAGACAGTTTCCATGAATTTGTCCAATCCTCTTTGAAAGCTATCTGGGTTAGTGGCCATCACTCTTGTGGCAGTGAGTCCCACAGTTTAACAATGTTATCTCTTATCTGTATTGACTCTCCCAACAGTTTTTGACTTTTTAATGGTTTTATTGTACGGTTTTATGCTTTTATTGCAATAAACCGCTTGGGTGTATTTTTTATGATATAGTAGTATCCTTTTTTTTTTTTACATTCTAGTGTTACGAGAAGAGAGGGAGAAAAACGTCTCTCTATCTACTTTCTCCATGCATGGTGTAATTTTGTTAACTTCAATCGTGTCATCGCTTACCTGCCCTTTCTCTAAACTATAAAGTCCCAAACTTTGCAACTTTTCCTCACAGGGACACCTCTCCATCCCCTTGATCAGCAAACTTTTTCAGCAGGGGGCTGGTCCACTGTCCCTCAGACCTTGTGGGGGGCTGGACTAAATTTTGAAAAAAAAAAGTAATGAATTCCTATGCCCCACAAATAACCCAGAGATGCATTTTAAATAAAAGGACACATTCTACTCATGTAAAAACACGCTGCTTCCCGGACCGTCTGCAGGTCGGATTTAGAAGGTGATTGGGCTGGATCCGGCCCCCAGGCCTTAGTTGCCTACCCATGCCCTTGATGGTTTTGCTTGCCCTTTCCTGAACTTGTCCTCAACTCTACAATATCCTTTTTTTGTGGTCCACTGAGGGTGTCACTTCAGGTGTGGTAGTGCACAAACTGTCCTATGTCCTGTGTACCCATTTTCCCTTTTTGTGTACACAACAGACAGACACACAAAGAACACGAAAACATAACTTGGCCCGGCCAGAAAGATGGAAACATCTCAGCCAGGGGCTTGGCGGTACAAACAAAATGGCCGCACTCTGGTCAAGGGGAATGTTGGTTGACAGATGGTTTCTTCCTGCCTTTTTCTTCCTAACTGAACACTTGCTTTCATCTCAAGCTTTATATTAAGCAGCTCAGGGAATCGTCTCCAACGAAGCTCTGCTTAAGAGTAGATCACGGAATATGCAGAGATGGCAAGACTGACAACTCTGATAGAGATACAAATCCAGAATCTTTCAACGAGGAGAGAAAACTTTTTCTAGTCTATTCTAAAAAATAATTTTCCATACACAAAGTCCACAGCAGGATTTGAAGATTAAGGCGGGAAATAGCAGAATATATCGAGAAACCTGTTAAAGAGGATGAAACTGGAAATGATGGGATTTTAAGACACAATTGTATGCAACTGTAACTTTGAGGATGAGCAGAAAGTCATTTGTATTGTAGAATAAGGATTATAACCCTTGAGAGATCAAATGTAACTTTGAATTCTGAAATAAAAGAAAAAAGAAATCTTGGGGAGGGGGGAAGGGAGAGTGGACCCACGGGAATGATTTTGGTATGGCAAACATTTTGTAAAGGTTATATTTAAAGAAACGGACACTAGGTGGAATATACAGGTTTTATTTTTGAAGTTTGCCTCTGGGCACTTCTGTAGGATGGTATGCAGAGTCGTGTGGGCTGAGGACAAAGATGGCAGCCATCTTTACTGGCTGGGAAAGGTTCCCCACGCCTACTGGCAGAGCTTGGAGGGAAATTGAGTCACTAATTAAAACCAAGTTTCAGAGACATTAAAGAGCCCAAGAGGGTGATTAACGAGGGCAAAGGAAGAGGATCTGGCAATCGGCAAGAGTGACTGGTTTTGCGGGAGGGAACAGGTATCTTTAGACCAGGGATGGGGAACATCTCAGGTCTGGAAGTCAGGTGCAACTCTCCATCTCTATCTGGCCTGACAGATTCTCCCTAGGCCCAGGCGATGTTGCAAGAGGGGTGGGGAGGGTGCGGTCCACCCTGGCTGTCATGCCTGGGAGGGGGGTGACAAAATCCCCCTGGGCGGATCGGCGTGGCGGCGCTTGCACTCCCGGTGGGCGGATTTTCACAATTGGCACGATCGTCGTAGTGAATCTCCGCCAACCGGTCGTGCAAATATGCCCGGTGTGCGGCGCTGGCCGTCAGGGATGTACCCTCGCGGCGGTCAGCGCCATGCGCCAGGCATATTTGCAGGATCGGCGAGCAGCACTGGCACCCCTGGGAGGATTGTCGCGCCACTGATGGCATCCCCGGGAGGATCGGCATGGCTCTGGGTGCACATCATTTTTGCCGCTCCAGGTGCCCGAGCGGTTTCCTCTGCCATTGCTAGGCCCCGCCCCCTCTTCTCAGGCCCCGCCCCCTCTTCAGCCCTTCCTTGCGTGTTCTTGCCTGGCTGGAATTTGCCCTTGAAACCTGACCATGCCTCTTGCTTCCCTGGGTGGAGGATCGGGAAAGGGTGTAGCGAGTGTGTACCGAATGCAGCCTACTGTACCAAGGGGAACTTTGAATTTTTGCTCCACCCTCTTTTGCCTTGGGCCTCGTCCACCTCTGGTACGTGTCTCCTCCTGCCCCAGGTACAGAGCCTGAGAAGAGCTTGCTGGATCCGGCCAATGGCCCATCGAGTCCAACCAGTGGCTTGTAGGAAACCCTTAAACAGGGCCTGAACAAAACTCTCCCCTCCTGCGGTTTTCAGAAACTGGTAGTCCAAACCTTTGCTGCCTCGACAGAGTGTAATCTTTGTGGCTGGTAGTCACTGAAAGCCTCACCTTTCATGAATTTGTCCAGACTTTTTCTTTCTTTTCTTTTCTTTTCTTTCTTCTCTCTCTCTCTCTCTCTCTCTCTCTTTCTTTCTTTCTCTTCCTTCCTTCCTTCTTTTTTAAAAAAATAATTTTATTAGGATTTATAAATAGACATACAACGCTTCATATCAAATACCTTTTGGGGGGGAGTAAAAAACTAAAATATTGATCTAAATACAATAAGAACATAGGAAAAAAGAGAGAAAGAAAAGCAGGAAAGACGGAGAGAGAAATACAGAAGACGAAATAGGTTAGAGATTTTTTAAAAGAGAGAAAAAAATAAAGTTCAGAAATTAAAGAACTTCCGACTCTTTGTCTGGCTGCTGTACATAAACAACATTCACTTCAGCCACTCCAGTTTAGCATCCTATAAAAGTCACGTTCTATAAACAAACATCATCTCCCATCCTCAAATTCCAGTCTCTTTTTTCATTGGGTTGTTATTTTTCTTCCTTTTCAGATTTGAGGCCAAGCTCCATCAGCCCTTATAAGAACAACTCTTTCAGAATGTGTGCCCTGAGTTTGTTTTTTCCCTCTTCCCTCCCTGTCCAGGTTGTAAGCCTGCGGGTAGTGACTGCCTTGCTTTGACCGCGTGTAAGCTACTCTGGGAGCCTTTTTGGCTGGAGAGCAGGGTGCAAATGCTCTAAATATATAAGCAATCTGACACGACACGATGGATGCGACAGGGTTCTTTTTCGGTCTTCAAGAGGAACGACTGAGCAGGAGGGTTTGCCCTTTTCATTCCTGCTAGAGGCAACGGCAAATAAGCACACAGAAAAAAACTTAAGCATAAATAAAGGCTATTTAATGTTATATTTCCGGGAGATGGAGCCCGCGCCGAAGAAAGAGGAGGCCGCAGGGAACTGAAAACACGCAGGAAGGAAGCAATATCTGAAATGGAGGCCTTGTCCGCAGAGGGCACAAATCTGAAAAGAAAAAACAACAGAAACCCAATGAAACAGAGAAGAACACAATGTGCCTCCCCTCTCCAACTTGCTCTTTCTCCCCCCAAATCTCCATTTTCATTCTCACAATAATCCTGCAAGGAAGTTTATGCTGGGAGCTTGTGACTGACTCAGTGACCTTTTAGGATTAAGTGGGGATTTGAACCCAGGCCTCTCTCCGGGCCTCGTATGACCCTCCAACCCACAACACCACACCATAGCTGTCAACTTACAGATTTGAAAATAAGGGACCAGCAACCTCGAAAATAAGGGATCAGCGGCCAAAATAAGGGATTTTCGGGGCACATGTATGTTCATCTTCTGAGCCCCTCCGAGCCAAAGGCAGAAAGCCCAGCCAGCAGCCAAACGAAGCCTCAAGCGGTGGTTCCCACAGCGCAGCAACCCGGCAAAGGGGATGCAGCAAGGAAAACCACCATCACCTCTCCGCTGGGAAGCGCTGAGCAAAGGCGAGTCCCCAGGCAACGCGGCCGATTTGATTGGTACAAGTGCCTTATTGGGTGAGCAACGCAGCCAAGCAACACAGTTGGAGCCTCCCTCCTCCCTGGCTGGCAGGGAGGGAGGGAGAGAAGCTGCTTCCTTTGAAACCCGGGAAATTTAAGGGACATCACCAATAAGGGACAGCAGCGGGACACGGCGCTGGGATAAGGGAGTTTCCCGCCAAATAAGGGTCAGTTGACAGCTATGCACCACACTGCCCTCCTTGCTCCTTGAGCACCCAAACTTTGGATAAATTACGCCATGGGCTTCCGTAGTCCCTGGGGCAAGATCTGTAATGCTACACCAACAACTCAAGTGTCATGGAAGGCCATAGGCTTCTCGCCTATGAACTAGGCCCATGTCCCAACCAATCAGGGATCCCATCCCTGACCATTGGGGCTGCTGGCTGGGCCTGATGAGAGCCGAGGGTCCTGCAGAGCTGCTGGTTCCCCATCCCAGCTCTAAGGTTGAAGGCGAGAGCCCCCGAAGCTGTCTGTCTCAGCCACAGGAAAGAGTGGAGGCTGTTCCATTTGGAGAGAACGGGGGCACCGCCTCACCAATCTCAGCCCCCCTTCAGCCACCCCCACCTGCCTGCCTTCTTACTTGCATCCATGTGTGGCGCGGGACTGCCTCTCATTGGTCACAGCTGTGCCTCTCGTTGGCTCTAGCGCCATCTGCTGTTGAGCTCCCTGCCTTCCACCCTACCAGTCCCAATGGGTGCCAGCCTACCACTGCATAGGAAGACCTCAGAACTTACCCTCTAAGGCCACCCACCAGGCAGAACTATCGGCTCTAGAACCAACGGCGGAAAAAGGTGTCCAGGATGGAAGCGGAGTCGCCTAGGTCCTCTCCGGGGCGTGAACGGAAGGGTGACAGGTCTCCTGCAGAAGGAACCAGCCCGGTTAGCCAGAGGTGGTGTCATGGATAGGCTGGATGCCAAAGAGCGGTGGAAGGTACCAGATGAGAAACCCCCCAAGGAAGAAGGCTTCAGAGCCAGGGGATGGGTGGTGGGAAGGCGATGGGTGGCCAGAGGGAGAAGACTGGGAGGAGGAAGTGTCCGAAGATGAAGAGGGAACAGGGTTTAGTGAGCAGGAAGATGCAGTGGCAGAGAGCGGTTCAGACTCAGAGGGAGAAGCGGAGGCTGGAGAGGAGGAGGTGGCCAGGCTGCTGAAGAAGCCAGGGAGTCTCCCCCTCCTGCTGTGTGACCAGCTCCTCTTCCCTCCTGGTCTCCCAGAACCAGAAGAGGCATGAAGAGGGTGAAGCAAAGAGTGACGAGACAAAGGAGTCTCAGATTGCTGAGAAAGGGCCCTGGGGAGGAGCCTTAGAGAGCGGTGGAAGGGGGGGGCCTTCCGCCCTCACAACTGGCTCACTGGGGCAAGACCTGCTGGGAAGAGCTGCTGTGCTCGCTAGGCCTGGACTGCTTTGTTTCTTTGAATGAAGAGTTAACTTTTCTGGCACATAAGGACTAGAAACTTAAAAAAAGAAAAACCGGAGAAGCAAAAGTTGAGATTCTTAGGAAGCTTCTGTGTGCTTCTCAGGAACGGCAGAACACACACTATGCCGAATCTCTGTTTCTCGTTTATCCTCCAAGGCCAGCATGAGGTGAAAGTTCTCTCGAACCAGGCTCCCCTTCCTTGTACTCACCTGAGTCTCCTTGCCGGCCACCGTCAAATCCCGGACGTGGCTCCCCTCCGCTCTGGCGGGTGACAACTGTCTCCTCGTGACCCTGACTGTCACGCACCGTCCTCCTCTCTTCCACTGTCTGAAGCAAGAGGATGTAAGGGATGGGTGAAATTTGGGGAAGATTCCTGGGGTAGAAGTATAGACTCTGCTCGTTAAGAAGGGGATCCAGTAGGATCCAGTGTGAGGAATGGCATGCCGACATTCAGAGGAGAACTTTACATTGCCAGGGACCTCAGGAGTCAATTCCTCCTAAACTGTTTTGAAGATTAATAAATTACTGAGCCCATTGTGTAGTTTGCCATTTTTCAGTTTAAAGCCAGGAGGTCCTGACAGATGTCAATCAACAGCACCCCTGCTGCCAGGTTAAAAAGTAAACTTCACAATGCAGCTCGACGCTCTCTTCAGTTCATCTGAATGCAGAACATATTGCTAAATTGTCAGTACATACATATCACTATATAATAAAATTGTCAGGGTGTCATCACGTTGCAGTTCGCATGGCCACCAACAGGTGGCCCCACAAAGTGACAGAATAGAACAATATTACATATTGATATGGTACCCTTCAACCACCACCCAAGGCCAATTAATGCAGATAAAATATTCAACGCAATGAAATAAACCTATCCATCACCATTGCTTCTCAACCTCTCCTTGGCAGAGAATCTAGTTTTCAGGAGTGAAAATCCAATGGACACAAGTACCATCTAAGTACTCCTGAAAGTAGATCTTCAAAATGAATGGGCCTAAGTGAGTTATGTCCATGGATTTTGAATGGGACTACTCTGCATAAGATGGGACGCGGGCGGCGTTGTGGGTTAAACCACAGAGCCTAGGACTTGCTGATCAGAAGGTCGGCGGTTCGAATCCCCGCGACGGGGTGAGCTCCTGTTGCTCGGTCCCTGCTCCTGCCCACCTAGCAGTTTGAAAGCATGTCAAAGTGCAAGTAGATAAATAGGTACCGCTCCAGCGGGAAGGTAAACGGCGTTTCCATTCGCTGCTCTGGTTTGCCAGAAGCGGCTTAGTCATGCTGGCCACATGACCCAGAAGCTGTACGCCGGCTCCCTCGGCCAGTAAAGCGAGATGAGCGCCGCAACCCCAGAGTCGGTCACGACTGGACCTAATGGTCAGGGGTCCCTTTACCTTTTTACTCTGCATAAGGCTAACCTGGTATACACACCCAATCATGCACGCGCGCACACACACACACACACACACACACACTGGATTAAAGAAGCTTTGGCACATACCCCATCTGGTGCTACCACTTTTGTGATTGAGACGCTTTTGAAATACGACCGGGGCTGGGCTGGTGGAAGAATAGTCTCGAGCCCTTTGGACGTGACCTGCGAGTCCAGATCTGTAATAGAAATGTGACCGAGTATCAGCTGAGCCAGTTTTTACACTCACACACCCCTCTCCATTCTTCCCGCAAGACATCCAAGTTTCCACAACAACCCCCCCTTAAGAGAACAAATTCAGCATGTCAAAACACTTTTGCTTGGAGTGTGAATCATTTTTAACCGAGAGAGAGGCTTCTATGCTTTCCTCTGCAACAATAAGGACTAGGCACTTGAATGCACAAGAGTTGTCCTGGCAAAACAGATACGGCTAAGTCCAGTATTTGGTTCCCCACAGAGGCCAAACAGACACCTCAGGGGAGATCACAAGGAACAGCCCCCTGCTGCCATACCTAGGGGTTGCCATGTGCCTGGAATTTCCCGAATACTGCATTTAGCAGCAGCGTCCTGGTGAAAATCAGAGAAATGTCTGGGGAAATCCAGTCATATGGCAACTCATGTCGGCAGTGCCGTTTTTTGGCGATTTCCCATAAAAATAGCTCCGAAACGGTAGTTTTGTTTGCGATTTTGCCCAAAAAGCTCTATAACCTTGGGCAAAACTAAAAAAACAACAACCAATAATTTTGCTCCCCCCCCCCGAAATGCTCAACAACTTTTCTGTCCGAATTTTCACTGTTTGAAATATGGCAACCCTAGCTATCCCCCTCCCCCTGAACACATACTCAGAGATAGACTGCTCCTGAACGTGGAGGGTTTATCTTCCCAAAACAAAAGGATAGATTCTTGCATCACACAGCTAATTACCGTATATTTCACTCCATAAGACGCACTTTTTTCCTCTTAAAATCTAAGGAGAATTCTCTGTGCGTCTTATGGAGCGAATGTGTGGTCCCTGGCGCTGGGGGGGGGGGGACGGGACCTGGGCTTCCCCCGTCAGTCCCGACAAGCTCCTGAGCAGCTCTGGGGTAGCCCGCGAAGCCTCTGCAGGGCAACGGGGAGCCTTCGTCCCGCTGCCCTGGGGAGGCTTCGCGCGGCTATCCCTGGCTTTTGCGGGAGGTGGGGGAAGGTACAGAGCGAGGCTCTCTCACTTCCCCCACCTCCCGCAAAAGCCCCCAAGAGCCGCATTTGTCTTGAATCCCCCCCCCCCAAAGTGGGTGCACCTTATGGTCAGGTGCACCTTATGGAGCAAAAAATACGGTACATACAGTCGCATATATACAGACACCCAGCCATTTCCAAAACACTCATGAATAATCTGGGTGGTCTCAAAAGACCCAGACATGTGGCTCTTTGTTTTGCCCCAAACCAAACACTGTTCCCTCCCTGACGTTTGCCCTCTGACCTCTGTCTTCCTTTGGGGCATCTTTCAGTTCTGGGAGAGGTGGATCAGTCTCTCGCAGCTGTAAAAAACGACGACAGAGAACGCAGTCAGTAAGGCCTGTGAAAACTGTGAGAGTGATGGGAGAAGGAAAAAACACATGCAGAAGGAGAAGGCGGAGTGATATGGCAGAGCAATTGAAAGACTGGCTATCCAATTGGCGTTCACCCATGACAGAGCCTTTTTAGTGATGGCTCCCCAGTTGCGGAATGCCCTCTCCATCATTATTAACTTCCGGGAGGAATTGTAAAAACACTTCTCTTCACCCAGGTAATTGGTTGCCAAAGACGACTGTTCCAAGCAACCCTGAGATCACTGCAAGGAGTATTGTTTTCAACTGTAATTGCTTTTAGAATGTTCTAAATTGTTACTGGTTTAAGAATGCTTTTGTTATACAGTGGTGCCTCGCAAGACGAAATTAATCCGTTCCGCGAGTCTCTTCGTCTTGCGGTTTTTTCGTCTTGCGAAGCACGGCTATTAGCGGCTTAGCGGCTATTAACGGCTTAGCGGCTATTAGCAGCTTAGCGGCTTTAAGAAAAAGGAAACAAACTCGCAAGAACTCGCAAGACGTTTCGTCTTGCGAAGCAAGCCCATAGGGAAATTCGTCTTGCGGAACGACTCAAAAAACGGAAAACCCTTTCGTCTAGCGAGTTTTTCATCTTGCGAGGCATTCATCTTGCGGGGCACCACTGTAGCTGTATATAAAGGTAAAGTAAAGGTAAAGGACCCGTGGACGGTTAAGTCCAGTCAAAGGCGACTAAGGGGTTGCGACGCTCATCTCGCTTTCAGGCCGAGGGAGCCAGCATTTGTCCACAGACAGCTTTCCGGGTCATGTGGCCAGCATGACTAAACCGCTTCTGGTGCAACGGGACACTGTGACAGAAACCAGAGCGCACGGAAATGCCATTTACCTTCCTGCCGCAGCGGTACCTATTTATCTACTTGCACTGGCGTGCTTTCAGACTGCTAGGTTGGCAGGAGCAGGGACCGAGCAACAGGAGCTCACTCCGTCGTGGGGATTCGAACCGCCGACCTTCCGATTGGCAAGCCCAAGAGGCTCAATTGTTTAGACCACAGTACCACCCACATCCAGAGTAGGAGGCATAGCTATACATATAGTTTGCTGCCTTGGACTCCTTGGAAAGGAAGGCCAGGATCTAAATTCCATCCATCCGTGGAAATTAACTCCCTGCCTGCAGAAAAGTAGCCTATCAGGGGGGAAATGCTATCTGTGACGTGCTCATTTCCTACGGGAAAGGCTTTTTTTGTTTGTTTTTTTAAGCATGTGTGAGAATGTGCAGAAATATCACTGTGCCCCTCAAAATTTAAGGGGCAGAGCTGTAGCTCAGTGGTTGAGCATCTGCTCCTTGCATGCAGAAGGTTCCAGTTCAATTTGTGACACCTTCAGGCAGGGCTGGGAGAGACTCCTTGTCTAAAAATCCTTAGCAGTCACTGCCAGCCAGTGTTGGCAGAACTGAGCTAGACGGACCAGTAATCTGATTCAGAACGAGGCAGCTTCATGTGTTCCTACCGGTCATGTGACGTAGTGCCACCCCAAATTTTACCACCTTAGTCTTCCAACTCATTCTGCATTATGGGCAGAACAGGTCAAACCAGGTAATTCCTTTGCAATGATCCCTGATGTCAGCTCAGAGGCGAGAGGTGGAAGGGCAGTTGGGTTACAGGGAGCCTCCGAAGATCTTGCGAAGCAGTTCCTCCTCTGGCGAGGAGGGAAGACCCGCCTCCAGTGGGGAAGGGGCGCAGGGATCAGAAGATGGCAGGGAGACCCTCAACACAGAGCCTGAGCAAAGCGGAGGGGAGGCAAGTCCCCCTTTGCCAACGCCCACTTTGCGCAGTAGGTTTGCGCGCAAAGAGGGGAGGAGAAGGATGGGGGTCACTCCCAGATTCTGCTAGCGACTGAGCAGATATGGACTTGCGACGCTCTGAACTGTAAATACTTTGTACAGATAATAAAGCCTGGAAATGACAGGCTGGAGTCTTGCCTGTTTGCTCTTGAGCAACCACACCAGCACCTGAAACCTGACTTTGGGGATTTTTTTAAAGAGCAGACTGTCCCCATCTCTCTGGCCACCGCCCCTGCCCAACCCCAAACATCAGGCCTCCTCTGCCAGAACTGCAACCATTCCACTTGGCTACCTCAGCGGGAGAGAAGAGAAGCAGGGCAGCTCCTACTGGAACCTGAGTTTGCTTTTTTCCTCTTCCCTCCCTGTCCCTTTTCCCTCGTGTGCTGTGTTTTTTTCTTAGGATGCAAGCCTGCGGGCAGGGATTCTTTGATTTAAATGATTATATTTAAATTATTAAATGACCTTTAAAGCCCTTCACAGCCTAGGACCCTCGTACCTACGGGACTGCCTCTCCTGGTATGCCCCACGGAGGACCTTAAGGTCCATATATAGCAACACCCTAGAGGTCCCGGGCCCTAAGGAAGTCAGATTAGCCTCAACCAGAGCCAGGGCCTTCTCAACAGTGGCTCCGGCCTGGTGGAACTCTCTGCCTCATGAGACCAGGGCCCTGCAGGATCTGATTTCTTTCCACAGGGGCTGTAAGACAGAGTTGTTCCGCCTGGCCTTTGGCTTGGAATCAGTTTGATTCCCTCCCCCTCTTTCTTTTTTTCCTTTCTCCTCCTGTGATGAGGCTGCATCCTAATGTTTTAATGTGGTATTTTAATCTTGTTTTTAAAACTGTATTTTAATCAACTTGTTTTTATTATTGGTTGTTAGCCGCCTTGAGCCCAGTATTGGCTGGGGAGGGCGGGGTATAAATAAAATTTATTATTATTATTATTATTACTACTACTATTACATAAGGCAATCTGGGAGCCTTTCCTGTAGCAGAATGGGGTACCAAACACTCTAAACCAATAGGCAAAGATGAGGCATCGTATCAGGGATGGTCCCGGGTTCAGAGCACCACACACCCCTTGGAACGGCTGCCAGGGTCTCCTCTCTGGAGCTGTGGGGCCTGAGTCGTCCTCTAGGGCTCTGCTGCCGAACCTCTGGCTATCCGGATGTTTCAGCATGAAATCCCGCAGAGTCTGCCTCTTCTCAGGTGATGGTGCCGGTGGCTCTGGGAAATCTGTGGGCAGATAAACAACTGTCAGGGAACTGCCATCAGTGCCGGAGGGAGAGAGCAAAATCCAGAGGGATTCCGGAGAGCGTCCCGGGAGTGGGAGAGGCAGCCCATCTTCTGGGGAAGAGAATCAGCGTAGCACCAGTGGAGAAGGGGGGCAGATGGGGGAAGCGGCGAGGCGGTTCCATGACTCCTTGCCGGGGACCAGCAGGGAGAGGAAGGGTCCTCCGCTGCCTACGCCCTCCTTGCGCAGAAGGCTTCCGCGCAGGGAGAGTAGGAGGAGACTGGGCATCAAAGAGCTTCTTTGCTGGAAGAAGTTTAAGAAACGCCCACTGACGGATTCTGCCAGCGATTGAGACAGCCACGGGTGAGTGGTTGTCCGGACAGAAAAGGTTCACTCAGGCAATCCAGCCAGGTGTTTGCACTGGCTTACGCACGAGCAACCCCTAGAACCATTACAACAACAATTGTTCATTTTGATTTTATTTATTCTGGGGTTAAGGCCGTAGCTCAGGGGCACAGAATCTGCAGAGAAACCGCTGTCTGAAAATCTAGAGAGTTGCTCCCCTTTATTCAGGACCATGAGGACTAGAATCTTGCAGTCTTTTTAAGGGAAGAGAAGAAGGTTCCAGGTTTAATTCCCACTTGCCCATTTCCCTCCAAACCGGGCCATCCCTAGCAGGACGCAAACCCAGTTGAAACCGCCCAAGATCTCACCTACCAAAGGGCCCAGAAGGCAAACTCCTCACTCCCATCTCTTGGAAGAGGTTGTTGAAATCCTGGAAGAGCTCGTCAAACCCGAAGGTGTCGTGGAAACGCATCCCGCCCAGGCTGAATGTGAACCCGAACCCAAAGTCCCCGGGGTGCCTCGCCCCAAAGCCATCTTCATCGTCCTCATCGTCATCGTCCCGTGTGATTCCCCCAAAGAAGGGGTCGCGGGGCCTGTAGCAACAACGGGGATAAGGGGAGAGGTGTTATGGGGCGGGGGGTATTGCTTTAAATGTTAACGTGGTTGCTCAGCCTTAGCGGGGCTTATTTACTGTTTAAATAAACAAAAATCAAAATAGCATGTAACGCACGATGCAACCCACAGCTCGTAACTACATAAAAATGGCTAAAAACGATTACATGGTTGGACCCAGTTTTAATCTCCACTTTGGGATAAAATGTAGGGGGGGGAGCTTGGGCCAGCCCATCTCCCTCAGCGCAGCCTACCTCGCAGGGTTGTTGCAAGGGGGGGTCGGGGACCCTCCAGCTGCTTTTGGGGAAGGGCAGGATACCCATAGGGGATGCGGGTGGCGCTGCGGGTTAAACCACAGAGCCCAGGACTTGCCGATCAGAAGGTCGGCGGTTCGAATCCCCGCCACGGGGTGAGCTCCCGTTGCTCGGTCCCAGCTCCTGCCAACCTAGCAGTTCGAAAGCACGAAGTGAAAGTAGATAAATAGGTACCACTCCAGCGGGAAGGTAAACGGCGTTTCCGTGCGCTGCTCTGGTTCGCCAGAAGCGGCTTAGTCATGCTGGCCACATGACCCGGAAGCTGTACGCCGGCTCCCTTGGCCAATAAAGCGAGATGAGTGCCGCAACCCCAGAGTCGGCCACGACTGGACCTAATGGTCAGGGGTCCCTTTACCCTTTACCTTAGGATACCCACACATCATTAAAACGTCACCAAATAGGCGGATTGCTTGGAATGAGGCCTTAGTAAATACAGTGGTACCTCGGGTTACATACGCTTCAGGTTACAGCCTCTGCTAACCCAGAAATAGTGCTTCAGATTAAGAACTTTGCTTCAGGATGAGAACAGAAATCGTGCTCTGGCGGTGCAGCGGCAGCAGGAGACCCCATTAGCTAAAGTGGTGCTTCAGGTTAAGAGCAGTTTCAGGTTAAGAACGGACCTCCGGAAAGAATTAAGTGCTTAACCCGAGGTACCACTGTAATGCGATCGCTTTGCCAGCTGCAAGGCAGGCAGAAACTCGCCCGGTGTAGCCCCAAGGTGTTGGGAGGGAAGCTGCCCCGGTGGGATTTCCGCCTGCCAAGCTTTGAAAAGCTCAGAGGAGGAGAGGGGGCAAAATATTTGCGCATAAACTAAGAAGCGAGGAGGATCCTGATCTCCCAGAGTCTCACCTCCGCTCCCCGGGGAAGCCGAAGAAACCCCGAAATACGTCGTAGAGGCTCATTCCGCGGCCAGCCGTAAAGCAAAACCGCCACGCCTCCCTTCGCGCTTCCGCCACTCTGCTGTGAAACGCCTCTTTCCTCCTCCCCCGTCTGCCCTTATATGGCGGCCGTAAAGCGAGCCAGGCTTCACGACGCTACCTCAAAACGACACCCTTGAGATTGAACTGACGTTCTCCTCTCCGGCGGCTCATAGACTTATTCGTGAGTTAGACTGATGCAATGCGCAAGTTTCCGAGTTCAATCCCAACGTCCCCCAAGGGACCTTGTAAATCAGTGGAGAATTTAGAGTTCCTTAAGAGCGATTGTTGACTGGCGCTGCCAGAGGGCACCAAATATTATTATTACATCGTACATTTTAGCCTCACAGAGGTTGATGTAAAAGCCTCCTTTGCCTGCAAGACTGCTGATAACTGGAGATCTCTCAATTTCCATTCAATCTTCAGTATATTTCAGGTTTATTGATTGTAAGCCGGCTGGCTGGCAGGTCCTCTCCTTTTTAACTATTGCACACCACCCAATTACTTAAAGACTTAAATGCAGGTTCACTTTTGTACAATAGTTAAGGGACACAAGGTTTTGTGGACAACAAATATTCCCTGGACAACAAATATTCAAGGCTGCCATAGAACAACTTTGGACCCAGATACCTCCTGGAATTCCTCCTCCAGTCCAAAGATCTACAGGCTAATGGTTCTAGAGAAGGGATAAAAAATAATAATTCTTCCAGTAGCACCATAGAGACCAACTAAGTTTGTTATTGGTAGACCACCGGTATGAAGTTCACGGCATGTAATGCTCTAAAAGAAAATATTATGAAAATGATATATAGGTGGTACATGACCCCAGTCAAGCTTGCAAAAATATATCATATGCCTGACAATAAATGTTGGAAGTGTAAAGAAATTTAAGGAACGTTCTTCCACCTTTGGTGGACTTGCCCTAGGGTTAAGGCCTTCTGGGAAATGATTTATAATGAGTTGAAAAAGGTATTTAAGTATACCTTCCCTAAGAAACCAGAGGCCTTCCTTTTGGGCATTGTTGGCCAGAGGGTGTTAAAGAAGGACCGAACATTCTTTATGTATGCAACAACAGCAGCAAGGATACTCATTGCTAAATATTGGAAAACCCAAGATTTGCCCACGTTGGAAGAATGGCAGACGCAACTGATAGACTATATGGAACTGGCAGAAATGACTGGCAGAATCCGAGACCTGGGAGAAGAAGTTGTGGAGGAGGATTGGAAGAAATATAAGGACTATCTACAAAAATATTGCAAACTGAATGAGTGCTAAGCAGGATGCAGGACTGAAAATAACTTGGCACCAGCAAGCTGTTTGAAAGGATTTTGAGAATATGTGAAATGTGAGAAAAAAGATGAACTTTGGATTAATATTGTGTTTAACTTAAGAACCTATGTTGTTGATAAAAATATTTAAAGCTAGAGACATAATATTGGGAAAGTACAAAATAAGATTTGAAACAAGGTGATAATTTGCTGTTTAAAACTTCACAATTGGGAACGCAGGAACGAGAGATGTGAGGAAGTCCAAAACTTGATGAAAGTATGGTATTAACCAATTGATTTTGTTGTTCTATTTTCTTTTTCTTTTTTCTTCTTCTCTGGGTGGTGTTTTAATCTTTCTACTATCTTGTGTCTTTTTTTCCCCTTATGGTACTTTGGTGACAGTTTTATGTGTATTTGATGATTATTAATGCTTAAAATCTTTAATAAATATTACATAAAAATAAATAATAAGTTTGTTATTGGTATATGCTTTCATGTGCACGCACACTTCTTAGGGTTAAACCAGAGAGCCTAGAACTTGCCGATCAGAAGGTCCGCGGTTCGAATCCCTGCCATGGGGTGAGCTCCCGTTGCCCGGTCCATGCTCCTGCCAACCTAGCAGTTCGAAAGCACGTCAAAGTGCAAGTAGATAAATAGGTACCGCTCCAGCGGGAAGGTAAACGGCTTTTCTGTGCGCTGCTCTGGTTCGCCAGAAGCGGCTTAGTCATGCTGGCCACATGACCTGGAAGCTGTACGCCGGCTCCCTCGGCCAGTAAAGTGAGATAAGTGCCGCAAATCCAGAGTCGGTCACGACTGGACCTAATGGTCAGGGGTCCCTTTACCTTTAGGGTGCTACTAGAAGGAATTTTTTAAAAATTTTGTTTCAACTATGGCAGACCAACACGGCTACCTACCTGTAACTAGAGAAGGGATATTTGGGGAGTGGTGATGCATGGAAAGGGCTCTCTTGGGGTGGGGTATTGTGGATACTGCTGGAATAATCCACCCCTCTTGGATAGCCGCTTATCACTGGTCTTTCTGGGGGTTGAGCAAAGCAGGATCTTCAGATTCTGCGCAACACTGCAATACCTCAAGAACCGCCTTTCCCCATAGCTGGAGGACCCTGTGCCCATCCTCCGAGTCCCTTCTTTGTGTGCCTCTTCCATGAGAGGACATCAACAACCAACGGGGGCTTTTCTGCAGTGGCTCCCCGCTTGTGGGATGCTCTCCCCAGGGCAGCTCACCTGGCACCTTCATTACATAACTTTGGGCACCAAGGAAAAAATATTCCTTCTCCCAGGCCTTTGGCTAACTAAGCAATTAATGGCTTGGGGTGTTTGTGTGCTGTTTTTCTTACTGTTTCTTTGTGTTTTTATATTGCAAAACACCCTGTGATCCTCAGATGAAAGACAGCATTGGAATTTATTAAATAAACTACGAGCCACTCAAGTTCAAAGTTATCCGCTAAATTGATATCATGTTTATGGATGTTCTGTATGGTTCCAACGAGTGAAGCACAGGTTAGTTCAAGTTCAAGAAAGCAGCTGCTCTCGACTTGACTGTCTTGCAGTCTGTAATTCTTCCAGTCCATGCAAATCCATCCCCAAGATTTTGGCCCCCATAAATCATAGAATCATAGAGTTGGAATAGACCACAAGGGCCATCGAGTCCAACCCCCTGCCAAGCAGGAAACGCCATCAGAGCACTCCTGACATATGGTTGTCAAGCCTCTGCTTAAAGAAGGAGACTCCACCACACTCCTTGGCAGCAAATTCCACTGTCGAACAGCTCTTACTGTCAGGAAGTTCTTCCTAATGTTTAGGTGGAATCTTCTTTCTTGTAGTTTGGATCCATTGCTCCGTGTCCGCTTCTCTGGAGCAGCAGAAAACAACCTTTCTCCCTCCTCTATATGACATCCTTTTATATATTTGAACATGGCTATCATATCACCCCTTAACCTCCTCTTCTCCAGGCTAAACATGCCCAGCTCCCTTAGCCGTTCCTAAGGCATCGTTTCCAGGCCTTTGACCATTTTGGTTGCCCTCCTCTGGACACGTTCCAGTTTGTCAGTGTCCTTCTTGAACTGTGGTGCCCAGAACTGGACACAGTACTCCAGGTGAGGTCTGACCAGAGCAGAATACAGTGGCACTATTACTTCCTTTGATCTAGATGCTATACTCCTATTGATGCAGCCCAGAATTGCATTGGCTTTTTTAGCTGCCGCGTCACACTGTTGGCTCATGTCAAGTTTGTGGTCAACCAAGACTCCTAGATCCTTTTCACATGTACTGCTCTCAAGCCAGGTATCACCATCCCAAGGATCCATTGCACAAAATTAGGGTACATACAAGCAATGCCAAACTAGTATGCAGCATTGATTCTGGAGTTCTCCAGTCTCGAGTCTGCAGGTGTTGCTGGGCTCTAAATCCTATAATCCAGAGTTTAGCCAATGGTCAGGGATAATAGGGTGTAGTCCCAACATCATGTTTGAAGGCCAATTATCTAATGGTGGTGGCTTTTGAGGACTGTAAAACTGAGTCCTTTTGGTATTGCTTTGTTTTTAGTTACTGATCCACAAAAGTCACTTGAAGTAGCTGAACAGAACAAGGACTTGTGTATAGAGTGGTACCTCGGGTTACATACGCTTCAGGTTACAGACTCTGCTAACCCAGAAATAGTACCTCAGGTTAAGAACTTTGCTTCAGGATAAGAACAGAAATCATGCTCCAGTGGTGCAGCAGCAGCAGCAGCAGCAGCAGCAGGAGGCCCCATTAGCTAAAGTGGTGCTCCAGGTTAAGAACAGTTTCAGGTTAAGAACGGGCCTCCGGAATGAATTAAGTACTTAACCCGAGGTACCACTGTTCATCCTTCTCTTGACTGTATTTGTACCTTGCCTGACATCACAGGGGGTGCAAGAGGCACATGAATGGCCAGCCCTTGCAGAAATCTGTTATCAGAGCCCAAATAGGTGAGGTGGAGGGAGGGAGGGAGAGAAGGCACCATGACCTGACCAGGGTGGGTGTGTGAGAGGCTTTCTCTGGTAGGCAAGAGACAGGGAAGGTGGAAGGATGGAGGAGGAGAGAGATTGAGGAGAGATATTATGACCCTATTGTGCATGGGTAGGCAAACTAAGGCCCAGGGGCCAGATCCAGCCCAATCACCTTCTAAATCCGGTCCGCAGACGGTAAGTAGAATGTGTCCTTTTACTTAAAACCTCTGGGTTGTTTGTGGGGCCTGCCTGGTGATTTTACAGGAGTAGAATGTGTGCTTTAATTTAAAATGCATCTCTGGGTTATTTGTGGGGCATAGGAATTCATTCATATTCTTTTCCAAAATCTAGTCCGGCCCCCAAGAAGGTCTGAGGGACAGTGGACCAGCCCCCTGCTGAAAAAGTTTGCTGACCCCTGCTATTTGCTGACCCCTGCTATTGTGGGTTGGGTAGAGAAACAGACAAACAGCAGTTTTGGGGAGATGGCTTCAGTGTGGAGAATGAAACAGGCCGGGGGGGGGGGGGCTGGCACTGCCTAGCAGGTACCCTCTAAGTGCGTGCGTGCGTGCATGCGTGCATGCATGCATGCATGCGCGCACGCACGCACGCACGCACACACACACAGTCAACCGCAAGGCCAGAGAACACGCAAGGCCCAGAGAACACAGTCAAACGCAAGGCCCAGAGAACAGAGTGGGGTTTTCGTTTTTATATACAAGACACATTTATCCATTAAATTTAGAACACAGTACAAAAAAAACACTTCAACTAATTAATCTTACAATGCGGTTCATATCAATTACTGATCTTATTCCTAATAATAAAGGGGAGCATTGTAGGAGGAGGAACGGGGAGAGAGAGAGAGAGAGAGAAAGAGAGAGAGAGAAAGAAAGAAAGAGAGGATTCCAGATGTTGACTCCTTTGGATCCGTCAGGCGGTACTTCTTCTTTTTTTCCTTCCTTTTTCTGGGCGGGTGGGTGGGGAGGGGCGGGAAGAGTAAAGGAGTAGAAAAACGAAACGAAACAAAAGGCCCCTACGGCTGAACAGCTCGTAATCTGAATGAATGCAGAGAGAGAGAGAGAGAGAGAAAGGAAAGAAAAAAGATACAAATTCTATATTACATACAATGGGGGGGGGGGGGGGGGGGGGGGAGGATGCTGAGCCCAAAGCCATGTTGGCCGGGGTCCGCCGGGGCTGTTGCAGGGCTGTGCTGAGGGCAGGGGAGCTCTTCTTTCCTTCTGGGGTCCTTCCTTCTTGGGTAGATCGCTGTCGTCCTTCCGTTTGTCTCTTGGTTGAAGTGTGTGGAGCCGCCTCTGAGCCTCCCCTCAATTGGCGCCCCAGTTGTAGCTGTTGTAGGCAGACTTGTTCGCCTGCGACTTCTGCGGGATGGAGGTGCCCTGGCTGCGCTGCCCAGTGCCGCTCTGTGCAGGGAGAAAAGGGGGGAAGAAGGGAGAGGGGCGGGGGAAAGAAGGTGAGCGAGGCTCGACTAGCAGCTAGCTCAGCTCCCCAGGTCTTATTTGGAGGCACGAAACAGGCTCCAGCAACCCATGAGCATGTGAAATGAGTAAATCAGCTCAAGAAAAGAGGTTGCTTCTCTTGCCAGCAACAGGAATGCTCTGGCTGCCTCTAGAGATCAATGTTTCCCCAACTTGGGTTTCCAGCTCTTTTCAGACTACAATTCCCACCATCCCTGACCGCTGGTCTTGCTATCTAGGGATGATTGGATTTGTAGTTCAACAACATCTGGGGACCCACAGGTTGAGAAAGGCTGCTCTAGATCAATGTTCCCCTAACTTGGGTTTCCAGCTCTTTTCAGACTACAGTTCCCATCATCCCTGACCGCTGGCCTTGCTAGCTAGGGATGATGGGAGTTGAAGTCCAAAAAAAAAGCTGCAGATCCACCTTTGGAAAACACTTGACCTAAACGCTGGACTGCAGCTCCCACCAGCCAGCAAAGGCAAATAAGTTAGGGATGATGGGAGTTGTAGTCCAGCAACATCTGGAGGACCCCACAAGTTCCTCGCAGCCCGGCTCCGGAGCAAGGCCAGGAAGGGCTTGGGGTTTTTTTTTTGATAGGGCCAAGTGCAGCACAGGGTGGGTGTGGAGAGATGCGCAAAATGACACGTTTTGGGTGGGAGTTGAAGCCAAGCATACTCCAGGAGACACACATGGGGATGACCTGTGTACGCAATTACAAATCTGCACCTGAGGACTGCCAATTCAGGGTTTGGAAAGAACCTTCTGCTGCCACTGCTGCCAAACAAGGGGAAGTGATAAACCTTTGCCGATTCCACGGCAAGTGACAACTTACCAGTAGATCCTCCCTCCCTCTACTCTAGAGGGAAGAGCCTGGATTGTGGCACCAATGGCCAAGGACCACAGCAAACTGCCACAAACGCTCCCTGCGATGTCCCAAATCCTACTGTGCCGTTGGTAGACTGGGAAAGCAAGGTACTCCAAATCTAGTTGCAAAATCTGACGTGGAGTGTTTTACGAACTGGCGGGGCAGGACACCAGCAGCTGCTATTAGTTATCAAAGCACAGCCAATAGTTTGGACAGCTCTGCCTGCTGAGCGTTAACGGCACCTGCAGCTTATCTCTGTGCTTGGCCGTTCAGATCTGAGGTGGGAGACCTAAGCTGGACAGCTTTTAATTTTATTTTATTCATCGAGCCGACTTGGATCCCGGTATTCTGTGGCGGGGAATCCACACTGCACACAACACAATTTGGTAGAGGGAGCAAGTGCTTCTTAATACAGCGCACGGTTAAAGCTCATCACCAGGGATAGCCAACGTGGTGCCCTTTAAATGCTGCAGGACTGCAATTCCCACCAGCATCCCAGAACTATGTTCAGGGATGATGGGAACTGCCAATCAGCATCATCTGGAGGGAACTTAGTTGTCCAGCCTCGTTCCTAGCGGAAAGAGCTGTTTGATGGTGGAACAGCTTGGAGCTTTTGTTGGAGGTTTCTAAGCAGAGGTTGTTTGGCCATCTGCCTGGAATTCCTTTAACTGTGGCTGTAGGGGGTTGGACTAGATGACCCTTGGAGTCCCTTCAAACTCTCCGATTCTGCTCATGACGTGCTGCCTCACTTCCAACACGTCCTACCTTTGCTCCGTTCTCCCTAGAGAGCCTGTGCAGGCCCCCCCCAGGACAGAGGGAGGAGCAGGGAAAGAAGATTTCTGTGGGTCCGTCACCCTGTCTGTGTTGTGTGTGTATGGTTGTGTTTTTATGCCTGCATCTGTCTGGGGCAGAGCTGGGGGAACTGTCAGCCTTTTCCAGGTTCTGCCGGACTCCCAGGAACCTCCGGTCAACAGGCAGGGAGGAACGATGGGAGGCTGGAGTCCGACACACACATGGGAGGAATGCAAGCTTCCCTCCAGCTCCCTAGCCTACGGCAAAGACTGACCACAGCCACCAGGGCGCAGCAGGATGGGCGCAAGCGACCACCCCCTTCCAAGAGGTTCGTTACCTGGTCTTCCTGCTGGCGTTGGAAGTACAAAATCGACTGTTTTGGGAAGGTGGAGGCAGGCCCAGGATATGGAAAATACAAGGAGACGTTATGACAGCCCCCCTGGACCCAAGTGTGCGAGGACGAGTCTGGGATGTGGCAGGAGGGGAGAAGTGGAGTGGGTAACGAACCAGCAGCTGGGGCGATCAAGACACCTGTTAGAAAAGTATCCCAGGGCCTTCCCTACTGCGTGTGCATGAGGTGTGTTGCTTTACGTCTCTGTGCGATGAGGGGGATGGAGATGGAGGAGGAGGAGGAGAAGAAGGAGGGACCTGGAGACAGGTGGTGGTTGCCCAAAGGAGGGTGGGTGTATTGGGACCCGCCCTTACCTGCCCGTCCTGCTGCAGGTGGTGGTGCAAGATCTGGGAGTGCGGCTGCTGATGAGGCGTCAGGATGTGCATGAACGGGGCCGGCGGATATGCTGCGGCGGTGGCAGGGTTGATGGGGCCGCCACTGCCCAGCGCCGACGGCAGGTTGAAGGAGGCCGTGGGGGTTCCGGTGTGGAATCCCTGCTTCTCAAACGACTGCTGCTGGGTACACATACACACAGAGGGGTGTTTAGGGACAGGAATTCTACCCCTATGTCGCTGGCAGGGAACCTGCGTCGCCACCCCACACCATAGCTGTCAACTTACAGATTTGAAAATAAGGGACCAGCAGCCTCGCAAATAAGGGATCAGCAGCCAAAATAAGGGATTTTAGTCAACCAGCAGCCAAACGAAGCCTCAAGTGGTGGTTCCCACAGCACAGCAACCCGGCAAAGGGGATGCAGCAAGGAAAACCACCGTCACTTCTCCACTGGGAAGTGCTGATCAAAGGTGAGTCCCCAGGCAATGCGGCAGATTTGATCAGCACAAGGCATGCAAGCTCCACCCCCCACGTTCTTAGACTCCTTATTGGGTGAGCAACGCAGCCATGCAACACAGTTGGAGCCTCCCTCCTCCCTGGCCGGCAGGGAGGGAGGGAGAGGAGCTGCTTCCTTTGAAACCCGGGAAATTTAAGGGACATCATCAATAAGGGACAGCAGCGGGGCACGGCGCTGGGATAAGGGACTTTCCCGCCAAATAAGGGACAGTTGACAGCTATGTCCCACACCCCGGTTCCTGATGTTGCTGGGTTCCCATCAGTCGCTGCAGCAGTCAGAGTGGCTCAACGGTCAGGGATGATGAGAGTCAGGAGTGCAGCAATATCTGGCCATCTGCAATGCGCTCCCTGTGGGGCTGCCCTTAAAAGTGACTCAAAAACGGCCCGAAATGCAGCTGTCAGATTACCCACTGGGGTTCCATTCAGATCACGCACAAGCCCTCTTTGAAAACAGGTTGCCAGTTCATTTCTGGGCCCAATTCTAGGTGCTCACGTTAAGTGTTTAAAGCCCTAAACCACTCAGGCCCCAAATATATGAAAGACCAGATCCTGCCCTACAGACCCTCTGGATGGGACCTGCTCGGTAGTTTTGCCTCAGTAGGCTCAGGGAAGGGCTGGCCAAGGTGTGGGACTCCTCTGTGGCAGCCCCAAAATTGTGGAACTCCTTCTGCACAGAGAAGCGCATGGCACCTTCGTTATACAGCTTCCGGTGAATGCTGAAGATGCATCTCTTTACCCATGGGCCTTTGACTCCCAAGATGTATACAGGCAACCCCTGATTTGTGTGGGGTTTGCGTTCTGGGTCACTGCGTGTTTGCGTGAAATCATGTGCAATTGAAACACTTCGTTCTGCCCCTGCTCCACTCTTTTAATGATGTCTTTTAGGATGTTTCTGGGTCATTTCTGGGTTTGGTGCTATGCGCATGAGCACAATCATGTACAAAATAATACAATCACAAAAAACAGGGGAGGGGGTCCTGAAAAATACAGGCAACCCGTTTTAGGAGTGACTAAAAAATACAGGCAACCACTTTTAGGCGCGACTAAATGTCGCACCTAAAATGAGTTGCCTGTATTTTTCAGGGCCCCCTCCCCTGTTTTTTGTGATTGTATTATTTTCGTTTCTCAGCAGGGGAAGGGGAGATTTTGGTGGGGAAACCGGGGCAGTTCCTTTGCTCCTACACTCTAACTGGATTACTGCAAGGCAGCCAAGCACCCAAACCTCATACAGCACACTCAGGAGCCACCTCCCACATTGCAGTACCAACCTGTGTTTTGGAGTAAACAGAACCAGAGATGTCCGGCACTCCTGTGTTACTGGATGTTACTGACACACCTGGAGAAGGGGGGGGGGGGACAAAGCGGTGTTAGCAGTTAGCTTGGTTGGTCGTATGCAAATCCCAAACTCCTTCCCTCCTGGCTCCCCTCCCTCCTTCCCAGAGCGATTTGAGGGTGAGAACAGCCTCCTAGCCATATCATGATGTTGCAAAGGCTTGCTTTGGTGTACATGTGCACACATCAGCTTGGATGCAGTGGCGAGATGCAAGAAGCAAAACAAGCCGAGTTTGTCTCCTGGCAAGAGGGGGCCACTGTGGGAGAGTGGCTCCCACGTCCGAGAAACTGGTCAGTTGTCTTCCCCGGAAGGAGCAGGTTCACAATCTGGCAGTGCTGCTCTGTCACTGGAATGCCCAGGTAGTCTCGGTGGCCAGGTGCTCATTTTACCATACTGATACAGACTAAGTTCCTTGGAGCATTAAAGGTAAAGGGACCCCTGACCATTAGATCCAGTCGCAGATGATTCTGGGGTTGCAGCGCTCATCTCGCTTTATTGGCCGAGGGAGCCGGTGTAGAGCTTCCGGGTCATGTGGCCAGCATGACTAAGCCGCTTCTGGCGAACCAGAGCAGTGCAAGGAAACACCATTTACCTTCCCGCCGGAGCGGTACCTATTTATCTACTCGCACTTTGAAGTGCTTTCGAACTGCTAGGTGGGCAGGAGCTGGGAGCGAACAAGAGGAGCTCACCCCATTGTGGGGATTTGAACCGCCGACCTTCTGATCAGCAAGTCCTAGGCTCTGTGGATTAACCCACAGCGCCACCTCAGAGCGTTAGGCCCTACCTAACGCCGTGTCTGTGTCTGCCTTCCTGATTAAGCAGTGCAGGGTCTGTTTCTGGGACCAAGACCAGGGTGGGTGTTCCCAGCTACCCCAACCGCAGCCTTTGGAAGCCTTGCAAGTTGCTGCAGGAGAGGGACTGTGAGCAACACAATGGAAAGGGTGTTTCTAGGACCAAGGTGAGACTGCAAAGCTCCCTTGTTATTTTTGCTGTTGCCATGAGGTCTAACGCTAACATAATCTTGTTTCAGTTATAGTAATGAAGTGCTGGGGTTTGTTTTTTGTATGCTTCTATATTTGCTGCTATGATGCCGTTATGAAATGGCTCTTGCAGTGGTTGATTTTGAGACATGCTCCTGTTTTCTTTGCTGTTAAACCTAATTGAGCACTATTCTTTTGGCGGGAAAGAGGCATGCAAATGAAACTAAAAATGAACGAATCTGATGGAATCTGTGGAGAAACGTGGGGCCATCAAGAGGACCAACCCAATGGAGCTATTTTTGAGGAGTCAAAGCAGGCATAGGCAAACTCCAGCCCCCCTGATGTTTAGAACTACAATTCCCATCATCCCTAGCTAACAGGACCAGTGGTCAGGGATGATGGGAATTGTAGTCCCAAAGCATCTGCAGGGCCAGAGTTTGCCTATGCCCGAGTCAAAGGATGGCCGTAGCATTTTATAACAGACTCAAATGTTATGAGCATGCAAAGCTGCCTTGTTTCAAGTCAGACCACGGGGTCCATCCAGCCCCAGATGATTTTGGTCCTCCAGAAGGCAACTCTCAGGAGCAAAAAAGCCTGGTGCTATTCTAGGCTGCATCAACAGACATCTAGTGTCCTGGATCAGGAGAAGTAATAGTCCCACTCTATTCAGGCCACACCTGGAGTCCAGCTCCGGGCAGCAGAATTTAATAAAGATGTTGGCAAGCTGCAACGTGTGCAGAGGAGGGTGACCAAGATGATCAAGGGTCTGGAAACCAAGCCTTGTGAGGAATGGTTGAAGGAGCTGGGTATGTTTAGCCTGGAAAAGAGAAGCTATGATAGCCATCTTCAAATATCTTCAGGGCTGTCCCATGGAAGATGGAGCAAGCTTGGTTTCTGCTGCTCTGGAGGGTAGGACTCGAACCAGTGGCTTCAAGTTACAAAGAAAGGAGATTCCAGCTAAACACCAGGAACTTTCTGACAGTGAGAGCTGTTCGACAGCGGAATGGTCTTCCTCAGAAGGGGGTGGGTTCTCCTTCCTTGGAGGTTTTTAAGCAGAGGTTGGATGGCCACCTGTCATGGTCGCTTGAGTAGAGATTCCCGCATTGCCAATGACCCTTGGGGTCCCTTCCAGTTCTATAATCCTATGATCCCTACCCATTGACCATCCTAGCTGGGGATGATTGGAACTGGTGTCCTGCAACATCTGGAAGTAACTAGGTTGGCTTTGGGCTCCATTTTTAAAAATGAACCACTCTGTTATATTTATAAAAAATATCTATACAGTGGTACCTCGGGTTACAGACGCTTCAGGTTACAGACTCCGCTAACCCAGAAATAGTACCTCGGGTTCAGAACTTTGCTTCAGGATGAGAACAGAAATCGTGCGGCGGCAGCAGGACACCCTATTAGCTAAAGTGGTGCTTCAGGTTAAGAACAGTTTCAGGCTAAGAACAGACCTCCAGAACGAATTAAGTTCTTAGCCCGAGGTACCACTGTATACTGCTTACAAATGTACCCAAAAACCATATATGAAAGTTAAAAGTCAGAAATCACAGTAACTCTTGCTGAAAGATGTTGGCTTGCATACTAAGCCTGGCGGAACCCAAGTTTCCAGCAGGCATTTAAACGTTGCAATGGAAGGGCCTGCCTGCGGAATTTCTAGTGGCAGGGCGTTCTGCAGGACTGCGCTGAAGACACCAAAGGTTTGGCGCCTTGCCATCGCCCAGTGAGCCTTGCCAAGGCAGAGAACCGCGGCAAATGATGCCCCTTGCAGACTATCTCACGCCCTCCCTCAGGGCTGCTTCAGCTCCTGTGGCCGCCCCACCTACTCACCGGTGCTGTATCCATGGGAGCCGTAGCCGCTGGGCTGCTGGAAGGGGGTGGCCGAGGCGTTCATGCTGACGTTGACGCTGTGCTGCTTGGAAGAAGTGGGAGCCACCTGGGGAAAGCAAAGGGCTGGGGAGTGAGCAGGGTGGGAGGAAGCGGCCGGGTCAGGCTCCACCCCAGCCCCACAGCTCCACAGCAGGCCGGCACTCACGGGGAACACAGCTGGCCCGTACTGGAAGGTGCTGGGCAGCCCCGGGACTCCGGTGTAGTAGGGCAGGCTGGTGTAGCTGTAGCCGGGAGGCAGGGCCGGGTTCAGGAACGTCTGCTGGGTGGTGTGGTGCGTCTGGGTCTGGTTCTGCTGAGGCTGGGCCAGGGTGGTGGCCGGAGCAGGGGAAGAGGCGTCACCGCGGCCAAACTTCGTAAGGTCACCTGGGGGGGGGAGGGGAGAGTGAGAATAATAATAATTTATTATTTATACCCTGCCCATCTGGCTGGGCTTCCCCAGCCACTCCGGGCAGCTTCCAACAAAATATTAAAATATCGTAATGCATGAAACATTAAAAGCTTCCCTAAACAGGGCTGCCTTCAGATGTCTTCTAAAAGTCCGGTAGTTGTTTTTCTCTTTGACATCTGGTGGGAAGGCGTTCCACAGGGCGGGTGCCACTGCCAATAAGGCCCTCTGCCTGGTTCCCTGTAACTTGGCTTCTCGCAGCAAGGGAACCGCTAGAAGGCCCTCGGAGCTGGACCTCACTCTTCAGGTATACTGGACCAAGGCCGTTTAGAGCTTTAAAGGTCAGCACCAACACTTTGAATTGTGCTCGGAAACGTACTGGGAGCTAGCGTAGGTCTTTCAAGACCAGTGTTATATGGTCTCGGCGTAGGGTCCCAATGGCAAAAGTGTGCATCTAGTTTGCCACCACCCTTCTCCAGCAACGTAGGGAGATTACGGCACATTACTGATAGGATACAGCTGCCTCTGCGTGTTGTCCACCACCTCGCTCCATTTTACAAACAAAATGATGTTTGTAAATACTTAGAATAAATATCCTGTATTTTTCAGCATATAAGACGATTTTTTTTTGCTAAAAAACCCACCCCTTTTAGTCCAAAATTGGGGGTCGTCTTCTACACGGATAGTGAATGCACAGGGGAACATCAAATGTCTGGGTTTTTGCCTTGGTTGGGCCAGAACGTGGTGTTCGGCAGGGTGATTGGGTCTTGGTTTGCCTGAAAAAAAGCTCAATGGCTTTGAGGGCGATTGCCCCCAGAAGGCTGAACAACTTTTCACCGCCACCGATTGCTCGGATTTTCACTTCTATGAAAAGTTGCCACTTTTATGGCAACCCTAAAATACCGAATTCCTAATTTTGGGGTTCGAAAAAATAGGGGCCGTCTTATACACAGAAAAATACGGTAAGTGGCAACCCACCCCCACAAGAAAAACCCACCCAAAGGACCTAGCTTGGTGCCAACAAGTTAGTGTTCTAGCAGGTATCTTCCTATATAAAGAAGAATGTCGTCATGCTCTGCAGTTCATGTCGCTCCCTTCCCCATTCCCTTTTCTTTCATGTGTCATGCCTTTTAGGGAAGGAACTGCATTGTTCCTTGGAGAGCCTCTTTGACTGATAGACAGGATGTGAATACTGGAAATAAGTTTGTTGAACAGAAACCTACAGAACTAGCCTGATTAGGACGACAACTGAACTGCCCTTCCCAGGTGGCTTAAATCCAACTCCCTTCCCCAACCGTCTCCTACCAGAGTAAGGATTGCTGCTCAAGCTGGCGTCTCTTCCAGTAAGCGGGGTGGTCTGTGTGGGGAACGGGATGCTGTAGTAGTCCTGGAAGAGAGGCAGAAGGTAAGAATGCTCATCTCGACTGGGGAGGAGGAGGAGGAGGAGGGGAACTGGCCTCCAGGGACCAGAATGCAACCCCAGCACACATTTGAAACACATGACTTCCCAAGAAATGTCGTCTGCTAAGGATGCCGGGGGCTGTAGCTCTGGGAGGGGAAAATTACAGTCCCCAGGATTCCTTGGGGGAAGCCTGGTGCTTTAAACGGGCACAGCGTGGATCTGCCCCAAGTAAAAAGGTTGGCGTCTTTGTGAAAAACAAGAGCTATATCCGAAGGGGCAAGCGAAGAAGAAGACCAAAAGCAGTACCTTTGTTCAAAAACTGGGCTTGTTTATTAGTTACTGGCAACGTACCACTCCCAGGTGTCACATAGCGTTTAGCGGATGTTACGGGGTGGCATACAAATGTCATTGACAAAGACAATTTATTTTCAGTTTATTTCAGGGGGTTTTTGCATTTAAGATTATTCCAGTCTGCTCCGTTATGAAAGTGTTACAAACATTGCAAGAGAAGAACAAAGGTGTCCTGCTACACAATGCAGAGCAGCCGGAGGCGGAATGTTTTCTAAGTAGCGATGATGGTGTTATTTTAGGAGGGCAGAGGGAGGGCTGAATTGAACTCACCAAGGGGAATCTCGTCTGAAGCATCTGTAGGTCGTCGTAGCCATAAACCTGCGGCTGCAAGAGAAGCAGCAGGTTAGGGAGAGGCCCGTGTCTCTCACAAGGGACATTCATTTTTGTATTGTGTTGTATTGGTTTGTTTGGATTCGCTTCCCATAAACCAGGATTATTTCAAAGGTCTTGGGTTGTTGTTTTTTTGTCAGAGTCAGATGTTGCAACACAAGCAGGTTGGAGGCTGCTTTGATTGCATCTGGTACTGACTCCAGGTTGATTTCCCATGCTCTGTCCCTCCTGCCATGCTATGGTCAAGAGCCAAGCAGGATCTACTGGCATGGAACTGTAAAGCGGCCCCTACTCACCGGGTAGGCGTGCAGCAGCCCTGGAGCCATGATGTACGGGTTCGGCAGCAATGGCGGCACTCCTGGAGGCAGGTTGGGTGGAGCCTTCCCTATGGGGAGAAAGCAGAGTTAACTACGGACATCCCAGGACCACTGCCCCCTCCTCTCCCACAGGCACTGAGAAGCAGGGAGACTTACAATTATGAGAGAGCGAGCATGCACAAACCAAAATTTAAAAAGTGTGTGACTGGCAATGTTAGATATGGAAGATATGTAAGGATAAAGCTCATAGCTGAGTGGGAGGAAACAAGCTTATGTGTGTGGAAGATGGCAAGTCCAAAGCCTGCTGTCCCTAGATGTTATTGGACTCCAGCTCCCATCAACCTCAGCCAGCATGGATAATGGGAGTTGTAGTGCAGCAACATCTGGCCACAAGTGTTCCACGCCTGTCCTCGACACATGTCCCAACCAATCAGGGACCATGTAAGTGCACTTGCAGAGGTGCAAAGCAGGGATGGGGACCCTGCGGCCCTCCAGATGTTGTGGGACTCCAGCTCCCGTCAACCCCAACCAACAGTATGGGATGATGGGAGTTGTGGTTTGGAAATACCTGGAGGGCAGAAAGTTCCCCATCCCTGGCTTAGGGGCATAGGAAGCTGACTTCGGCCAGTTTAATAATAATAATAATAATAATAAAAATTATTTATACCCCACCCATCTGGCTGGGCTTACCCAGCCATTCTGGGCGGCATCAACCAAATATTAGAATACAGTAATGCATCAAACATTAAAAGCTTCCCTAAACAGGGCTGCCTCCAGATGTCTTCTAAAAGTCTGGTAGTTGTTGTTCTCTTTGACATCTGGTGGGAGGGCGTTCCACAGGACGGGTGCCACTACCGAGAAGGCCCTTTGCGTGGTTCCCTGTAATTTGGCTTCTTGCAGTGAGGGAACCACCAGAAGGCCCTCGGCGCTGGACCTCAGTGTCCGGGCAGAATGGGGGTGGAGACGCTCCTTCAGATATACTGGACCGAGGCTTTTGGTATATTCAGCTCAGTACTGTTAGCATTGGACTTCCTTCATCAGTAGAGGAAAGGACTACATGACTTTGGAGGTCTATACCAACTCTGTGATCCTACAGTCTGTGCCAGGGGCACCTCCAAGCATTGCTGGACCCAGCTCCCCTCAGCCAGTGAGTGTGACCGATGCCCAGGGGTGATGGGACCTGCAAGTACAGCAGTAACCTTATCCAGTCCTGCTCTAAACTAAACTAGTCACTAGTCACAGGGACTAGACATAGCTGAAAAGGAGGGATTGGAGGGACAACGCAATGAAGGCGCACCCATGCTTCAGAACGTGTGGCACAGAGAGTGCTCACAGTGTTCTCCCCACTTCTTGCTTTATTACAGGGCTGGGGCAAAACTGTGACACCCCTCCCGCCGAGGTTGTTCGACTACAACACCCATCAGCCCCACATAGGAGGCCAATGGTCAACGGTTCATAGGAACTGTAGTGCAGCAACAACTGGACTCTTATAAGAGAGCAGAAAATGCGAGAACCAACCAACCAACCATATAAGCACAGCTCTGCTGGCACTTTCCATTGTTAAAATCGCCCCTTTATATGTGTACCTCCTCTATGAGGTCTAGAGGGTGGAAATATGAGAACGGGCCTTTTCTGCTGTGGCTCCCTGTTTGTGGAATGTTCTCCCCTGAGTAAAGGTAAGGGTAAAGGGACCCCTGACCATTAGGTTCAGTCGTGGCCAACTCTGGGGTTGCGGTGCTCATCTCGCTTTATTGGCCGAGGGAGCCGGCGTACAGCTTCCGGGTCATGTGGCCAGCATGACTAAGCCGCTGCTGGCGAAACAGAACAGCGCATGGAAACGCCGTTTACCTTCCTGCCAGAGAAGGTATTTATCTACTTTACCTATTTATCTACTTGCACTGCGTGCTTTCAAACTGCTAGGTTGGCAGGAGCAGGGACCGAGCAACGGAAGCTCACCCCGTCGCAGGGATTCGAACCACCGACCTTTTGATCAGCAAGTCTTAGGCTCAGTGGTTTAACCCACAGCGCCACCCTCGTCCCCTCTCCCCAGGGAGGCTCACCTAAACACCTTCGTTACGTATCTTTTGGCGCCAGGTGAAAACATTTCTCTTCAACCAGGCTGATTATTATTCTACAGCTTTTTAAAAATGTGTGTGTGTGATCTGTTATCGTTTTATTATGTACAGTTGTACCTTGGTTTTTGAATGCCTTGTGATTCAAACGTTTTGGCTCCTGAACGCCACACAAACCTGGAAGTGACTGTTCTGGTCTGCGAAATTTTTTTGGAAGCCAAACATCTGCCACGGCTTCCGATTGAGTGCAGGAAGCTCCTGCAGCCAATCAGAAGTCACACCTTGGTTTTCAAACATTTTTGGAATTCGAACGGACTTCCGGAACGGATTCAGTTTGAGAACCAAGGTACGACTGTATTCTCATTCTATACTTTTCTGCTGTAAACTGCCTTGGGCTCTTTGGATTAAGGGCGGTGTACTCGTTTTATAAATAATAGTAATATTATTTGAATGACGGTCACGTCAGCTCCGGCAAACACACACTCTCTCTCTCTGCTCAAAGCAGACAAGAGAGGCTTAAGGGAGCTCAAAGCTCACCATTTGGCTAGCTGCTAAAGAGACTGCATTTGCCTTGCCTTACAGAGACACTGTCTAAAGAGGGAAGAGCAGAAATGTATATATGAATCAACAGCCGCAGGAACAGAATGTAAAGCAATGTTTAAAAAAGGAGCAGCCCTGCTCTCTGCTTTCTCATGCACACATGTGCATTTTAGCCGCCAGCCAAGCCTAGAGCCTTGAGGAAGCACCTGACGTCGTGGCAACAGAGCTGCGGGTCGTGGCGGTCACCGTGGAGTTGCCGCTTAGGCTCAGGCCCAGGCTGCTGACGCTACTCAGGCTCGAGGAGGCGCTGACCACGGGGGGCGCAGCCGAGACGGTGCTGGAGGAGGTGGAGAAAGTGCTTGCGGAAGAATGGAGCCCGGCGTCGCTCTCCACACTGGTGTGCTGCAAAAAAACCAGGAGGGGAAGGAGGGGAAGGAAGTCAGGATCTGAAAGACGGGGGCTGATGTGTCCGTGCGGAAAAGTCGCATGGCGCAGCAGCAAGGCGCATGTCAGAGCACTGCAGTTCAGCCAGCCACGGGTTCTAGGCTGGATGCATCTGGTTGCGGCTCAGGGGTTTGCTTTCGCACGCTCACCGCCCTCCTGGATAGCTACGGGGCAAGCTAGGCAGGATGTTGGGGGGCATGCACTTTGCAGGCCTCAAACTTAGATGGGAAGCCAAACACAACAGAGACAAGAGATTTACAACCGTACAGATCTACAAACACCAGCAGACAACCTTGCATCTTCAGCTGTTCCTGCTCCTGCATAGCCAAGTCAGGGATGATGGGATCTGAAACTCACCAGTGTCTGGAGGGTCACAGGTTCCCCATCCCTGGTTTTAAAAAACAAAGCCTTACAACCCCTTTAGCTCTCGCAGCAGAACAGGAACAAAGGCAGAGGCGATATGCTTGTTGACAGACTGTTTCATTTCAGAATACAGTTATGGGAGCATCTATTTTTAGTATTTCCTCCTCCACACAAAACGCCCCATAGACACACAAGGCGAGTATGTCAGGGAGAATAATATGGAGGGAAACAAAATATTCATTCCCTCCCACAGCATGTAATCCATATACATCACACAGGGCTCAAACTGAATGGGGGGGGGGCAGAGAGAAACAAGGGGCGAGTTCCACTACATATATTTCTGGGGGCCAAAGAGCAATTGGGGAATAAACCACTAATCTTCCCCAAGCAGTTCTGTCTGCCACATGACAAATAGTTCAACTTCCTGGCCTATGGCCTAGGACCCTCGTACTTACGGGACTTCCTCTCCCGGTATGCCCCACAGAGAGCCTCAAGGTCCATAAATAGCAACACTCTAGTGGTCCCGGGCCCTAAGGAAGTCAGATTAGCCTCAACCAGAGCCAGGGCCTTTTCAACTCCGGCTCCGGCCTGGTGGAACGCTCTGCCTCATGAGACCAGGGCCCTGCAGGATCTGATTTCTTTCTGCAGGGCCTGTAAGACAGAGTTGTTCCGCCTGGCCTTTGGCTTGGAATCAACTTGATTCCCTCCCCCTCTTTCTTTTTCCTTTTTCCTTTCTCCTCCTGTGATGAGGCTGCATTTTAATATTTTAATGTTTCAATATTTTAATGTTGTATTTTAATTTTGTTTTTAAGTTGTATTCATTCAACTTGTTTTTATTATTGCTCGTTAGCCACCCTGAGCCCGGCCTTGGCTGGGGAGGGCGGGGTATAAATAAAAAAATTATTATTATTATTATTATTACTTTCCTGAGGTTTATCTAGCATCATTATTTAGCCTCAGTCATATGCTGAAGCCACACCTTTTTACCCAAGCTCAGAATCACGTTTTGTGACCCACTTAGAAACTGTCAAGTTACCTGATGACTTCTGTGTATGGTTTGTTGGTTTTACTTTGCCTGAAAGGGTATTGTTCTGTTGTAATCTACACTGGCACATAATCTAACCAACAACAAAATAAGAAGAGTCCTGCAGGATCAGGCCTAGACCCATCTAGTCCAGCATCCTGGTCTCAGAGTGGCCAAGTGCCCAAGCAATTGTGCCGATGGGAGGCCCACTCCGCTCACACATGGTTCCCAGGAACTGGTATTCAGAGACATGATGCCTCTGCCGATGGGAGGCACAACAACTTCCTCTTGGAAATCAGAGAGGGATTCTAGTATAACCTCACATAAATTCAACCAGCGGAGCTCTCCTATGTGCATAAATGAGCTCTTGCCCTTAAAGAGGGAGCAGCCGAAGCAGAAGCAATACCATGCGTGTGAACCAGACAAGGGTACCTGGAAAACAGATTGCTGTTGGGTCTTGGGAAGACAGACATGAACTGGCACTCCAAGCCCGCTAATAGGCACCTCCGGCACCAAAACCTTACTCTCCCCTCTCATTCCCTCTACTCACCAAGAGAGTGGAAGTTGACGTGCGGCCAGCAGAAGTCGACGAGGAGAGGCTGTTCTGAGGGGTGGGTAACGTGCTGTGGGGAGAGAGGGAAGGGAATGCTGGTCAGCCCACAGCCAAATGGCTGGCAATGCCCTGTGCCTGGCCTTTTCCATTTAACCTGACCTTTACAGAGGCTTTGGTGCTATTCCATTGGTTCCCCCCCTTTTTAAAAAAAAAAAAATAATTAAATTTATATGCTGCCCTCCATCCAAAGATCTGGGGGCAATTTGCTTCATTTCCGTAGTTGTTTTAAAAACAGCTTGTTTTTAAATGGAATAAAACTGAACACACGACACGCAATGCAGTGGTTGTTTTCTTAGGCGCAAAATACAGATCCTCAACTTTACTGCAAAAGGAGGTTGCTAGCCCTCATGACTGAGCTTGAGAAAGCTGCCTTATGCAGAGTCCAGCCGTTGGGCCCAATTCCAGGGGTGGGGAACAGAAGACATTCATCTCCTCACCCCCTACCCCGACATCTGCCATGGCACCAGGTGACTCAACTTCAAAGGAAAGCACACTATTGGGGGGCGGGATTGGGGTCAGTTCTGAGGCCCCCCTGCTGCTACCTGCTGTGTTGCGTGGTGGCCGTGCTGGGGAGCTCCTCCGTGTGGTTCAGGCTACTGAGCACCGAAGAGTGCTGGGTGGCCGTGGTGAGCAAGGATGCTGCGGACACAGTGTCGTTGAGAGGGGTCGCGATGCTGGGGGCAGAGGGGGAGTCCGATTTCACAGCGGGGCCTGCAGAACCTAGAGGAGTGGGGCAGGTTTGAAATAACGAGAGGAACGCAGAGTTAAGGGGCAGATCGCCCAAGCAAGACTTCTTCCCGCACTTCCCCTTGCAAAATTTGAAGCAGCATAGAAAGCAACATTAAAAGGGCTAAAAACCAAGATACAATGACTGTTTTCTAATTTATGATAATTTAGAATTTTAATGGATTTTCATGTAATGCTTGATACTTCCAGCTGATGAAGGTGAATACATCGAAACAGGGCCCTGTTCTGGTTTCTGATCCATAACTGACTTCTGACTTCTGCTCAGTGATTGAAACTAAGACCTTCAGGTCGAATCTGACTATGGACTAACATGAACATATCTCTACTCATAAACTCTGATCTCTAATTCTGTAACGAATTATTGTGTTATACATATCCTTATGAGTTTGAGTTTGTAATCCTTATCAGAATACGTACTTGGGAATGGATTAGTTTTTGTTACAATTGAGTGTTGATTTGCGAGTAGGGACTACTCCCACTACTGAAACTTATATTGGCCAGAGTTCTTGGCGTGCTTTTTTCAAGATATAATACACGTCAAGTCCAGCCCAGCGCCCTGTTCTCAAAGGCGCCAACCAGACGTCTGCTAGGGGGCGCCTGCAAACGGGAGCAGAGTGTGCCGCAGGTTCGCCAACCCTGCTTGCTGCACAAATTCTTTGCGAGCTCAGCTCGTTTCTCCCCCCCCCCCAACCGCAGGCATGCTGGGGAGGCACTGACCTTCGGCTGTCTGCGTGGTCTGCAGCTGCGTGGGCGGCACCGAGCTGAAGCCGTTCTGAGAAGAGAAAGAGAGAGGGAAAGAGAAGTCAGCTGCCGTTGATACAGAAACACACGTTAGGTGCACAGATCAAGCATCGCCCCCACCCCAGCCAAGTACCCTGCTCTCAAACACCTCCCTATTTTAAAAGACTAGGATCCGTTAAATGTTTCTAGTAGCAATGCTCATCATAGACAGTGGTCAAGCTATGAATTACTTGATGCTTTGAATGGGAGACCCAAAGGCATCCACTATTCCCCATATTCTTTCTAGGCCAGGGGTGGGGAAGCTGCAGCCATCCAGATGTTGCTTGGACTACAACTCCCATCATCCTTGACTGTCAGTCCTGATGGGAGTTGTAGCCCCAGCAACGTCTGGGAGGATGGCAGTTTTTTGTCAGCCGTGGCCTGGGTATTCCTTCTTTCCCCAAAGAAGAGCGCTGACAACCGTCCGCCAGATGCCTCTGAGAAGACAAAAAGTGGGAGATGAAGGCTACTGCCTCTGCCCCACACAAACTGGCAAGAGGATCAGGGATAGACTGTCCGTAAAAATGGAGGGTTTCCTCTAAACATTGGAAGACCTCGCCTCTGTGAATTTGCTTAACCTTCTTTCAGCGTTCTCGAAACTTGCGAGGCAATTTCACATTCTGCGAAGGTTTTATCCTAGTCCAAGAGAGACCACTTCTGGTGACAGAGTTTTCCACAGGCTGCCATGCTGATCATCATCGCTGTCGTGTTGTTAATAAGGCCCCATCTTAACAGAGCACTCGGGGACAAAGCTTACCTTGGCCTGGGTCAAGTCTTTTTGGGGCGAAGAGGAAATGGAGTTTGGGTACCGCCGGGTCTGAGTGGATCTCTGCTCGTACAGTGGTCCCTGAGCGCTGTTCTGGGAGGTATATGTTGCTGTAGGCATGGTGCCGCTCTGGTAACCCGGCTCCTGGCTCTTATTGGACGAAATCGTGGACAGAGACTCGCTGCAGGTGAAGAAGGGTCAGGAGATTTCAGCACGCAAACTGCCAATGGGCTCCTGCCAGTGGCTTGCAAGAGGCGGCTGCCACCAACTAAGCCTCCTAGAGCATGGGTCGGCAAACGAAGACCCAGGGCCCGGATCCAGCCCTATTACCTTCTTGATCCAGCCTGCGGACGGTCTGGGAGTCGCCGCATGGATCGGTGTGGGGATTCTGATCGTTCAGGCTGCGCCATTCCCCTCCCACACGCAACCGCCGCGGCGACTCCTCCCTCCCTCCTCCTGGCTTCTCCCCGCCCTGCCTAGAGGAGGAAGAGGGCTGGGCTTTGTTGAGCTGTTGGCTGAGTGCCATTTTAAGCAGCCCCTCTCCAGAGGCAGCCCTTTCGCGCTGCTCATCGTCCCTCCGGCCCTGCCGCTCGCAAGGCACAGGTAAGTAGCCACTGGGGCTAGTCTGGTGCTGTGGAGAAGGGAGGGGGGAGTCGGTGGGGGGATTTCCCCCCTTCAAAATATAGTCTGGCCGCCCACAAGGTCTGAGGGACAGTGGACTGGCCCCCTGTAGAAAAAGATTGCTGACCCCTGTACCAGAGCAAAACATATACAAGGAGGCTTAGTTTGGTCAGAATTGAGTCCACACTTCCAGAGTTAACACTAAACACATCGCTCCTGGAAAAAGAGCCACCATAGATGCTAGAGGGCCATGAAAATTTGTGTCCTGGGTTTTTTAGATTTATCTACCCATGTACTAGGGACGCGGGTGGCGCTGTGGTCTAAACTACTGAGCCTAGGGCTTGCTGATCAGAAGGTCGGCGGTTTGAATCCCCACGACGGGGTGAGCTCCCGTTGCTCGGTCCCTGCTCCTGCCCACCTAAGCAGTTCAAAAGCACGTCAAAGTGCAAGTAGATAAATAGGTACCACTCCGGCAGGAAGGTAAACAGAGTTTCCGTGCGTTGCTCTGGTTCGCCAGAAATGGCTTAGTCATGCTGGCCACATGACCCGGAAGCTGTCCACAGACAAACACCAGCTCCATTGGCCTACAGAGCAAGATGAGCATGCAACCCCAGAGTTGTCCGCGACTGGACTTTACCTTTACCTTTCACCCATGTACTATCTGAAACCAAAGGGTCTCATTGGTTGCCAGATGTGAAATTTACTGGCACTATTTTCATCTCTCTTACCCCACTAAAGGGGTCTTTTTGCAGCCCAACACATAGAGACACCACTGAGGATTGTGCCTGGGACCTTCTGCTTGCCAAGCTGTCTCCCACTTAAGCTAAGACCCTTCCCCCAAATACAATGTCAACAGGCTCGTCTCACCTTGCAGTACTCGTGTACAGGGTGCTCGGAGGCTGGCTGACGGAGGCGCTTGTCGCGGGGGCAGGCTCGTACTCCGAGAGGACAGGCTCCGAACCAAACTGCAACGCCCCGAACTGCAAGTTGAGCCCCGAGATATCCGCAGAGCCGGGCATCTCCACTGCCAGAGCGGGAATCTGAGGGAGGAGAGGTGGCCTGGTGAGCTGCCGACATGCAACCTGAGAGAGGCGTTCCCGCTCTCAAACTGGCAAACCCTGAAGAGCGGAGGCTGCCAAGGCTTTCCACTTCCTTCTGTGGCAGAGGGTGTGCCTGGGTTTCAACGTCGCCTTTAGAGGCTCAGGGTTGTTGCATTTTTAAAATTATCACCAGCATCGCTTAATTGCTAAAAGCGTGCCACGCTTCCAAGCTGCAACAACAAAAAACTAGTTTTAAAAGTAACAGGGTGTACAAAGAACTAAAAGCAACGAACGGCTGTATTATCAGCGTTCTACTTAGTAGTACAGTATATCAAGAAACACCCCCCCTGTTTTCCCATGGATATATTAGGGTTTTGATTCAATTGCATCCTCCTAATCTAATCATATTGAGCCGCTGTGAGATATACGGGGATAGGGTGGTATACAAATTTAATCAATAAAATAACAAATAATCTAATGATTTTCACCACTGCCCATTTTTCTCATTCCTTTCTAAGATGGCAGGTGGTGCATTTCCCCCACCTCCGTAAGCCGCGAGGTCTTGAACAACAGAATCACGGAGCTAGAAGGGACCCCAACCCCCTGCAATGTAGGAAGATTAAGAAACTTAAGAGTCTCATGCAGATGCTGGGGGTTGAATCAGAGACCTTGTGCACCTAAAGCAGCTGCTCTACAACTGAGATTCCACCCTTCCCCAGTACACATCATCATCATCATCATCATCATTTATTTATACCCCGCCCATCTGGCTGGGTTTCCCCAGCCACTCTGGGCGGCTCCCAACAGAATATTAAAAACATGATGAAACATCAAACATCAAAAACGAAACAAGGCTGCCTTCAGATGTCTTCTAAGATAGTTGCTTATCTCCTCGACATCTGATGGGAGGACGTTCCATGGGGGGGAGACACTACTGAGAAGGCCCTCTGCCTGGTTCCTAGTACCCTCACTTCTCGCAGGGAGGGAACCAGCAAAAGGCCCTCGGTGCTGGACCTGTGTCTGGGCAGAATGATATGCGGTGGAGACACTCCTTCAGGTACACTGGGATGAGGCCATCTACAGATTCAGACCACTGGGTCCACCCAGCTCATTAGGCTAGCCTCTGACGCTCCACTCCTGAGCCACGGGCCCCTTCCCGCTCACCTGCCAAGTTCACTGGGCCCTTTGAGGGGCTGCCTCAAGCCTAAGCCCCGCGCCGTGCAGGATGGGAAATTCCTGTGTACCTTTGATGTCAAGGACGCTTTCTTCTTCTGCTGCTTCATCTTCTGCTGGGCTGGCTGGGGGCTGGAGGACTGGTTGTCCGAGGAGCCCGGAGACATCTGGGGGACGGGGTTGGTTTTGCTGGCCAGGGGGGACGAAGGAGGCGGCGGGGCTGTGACGGACGCTGTCACCACAGGCTGCTTGTCCTGCAGGAACACTTCCATCATGGCGGAGGTGGGCGGGAAGGCCTGGCGCTTGGCAAACGGGCTGTGCACAGCGGATTCCGACGGGTTCTTCAAATCTGCGTGCCAGAGACGGAAGGAGGGTGGTCAAGCCCGGGACAGGAAACTCCTAGTTCCTCCTCCTTACAAAGCACCTGTGTATTAACCTATGACCTTTGCCCCACCCACACCAACCTCTGGCTGCAGGTGGTTCCCTATGAGGGCATGCAGCCCCCAGGCTGAAAAGTTCCCCCAACCCTGGTTTTAGACGCAGCCGGATCTGCAATAAAAACCTTGTTTGTTTGATCACCACAGGCGGTCAGTCAGCTACCACAGACGCAGGACTGAATTTGCTGATGATGCCAAGACTTGCTATAGCATACGCTGTCCCCCCTTTATAGCTATGAGGGAGCCAGAAAGGGTCTACTGGTATGCAGCTCGTGTACAGGCTGCTCGGAGGCGCTTGTCGCGAGGGCAGGCTCGTACTCCGAGAGGACACTAAGGCAGGAGGAATGTGCAGATTTAAATTTAAATCAGGATTTAAAAATCAGTGAGAAAATAAAGCTCTCCGTCAGTAGTACAGATCTGACCACTAAACCCATGTTGATTTAGGGTATTACTTTTACCAGGAATACTTGTTTTTATTTTTAAAAATGGCTTTTTAAAAAAAACCACAACTAATTTCATAGCACACTTTAGCAGGCATTTTGAGGTAGTTTTAATGGTGAATTTTAACTGATCTTGTACTTGGTATGGTTTTTCTTTTTAATGTTTACATACACCCATTAGAAATTCTGAATTATTACATAATTGTACAGATACCCGAAATAATGTTACAGAATCTGCTGCTAAATGAAGAAATGTCTATAGGCTGTTTGCTGTATGCAACACTAATCCTACTCAAAGCAGACCCACTGCATAATAATGGAGATATTGGTCTCTTCTGCGTATGATTTTAGTTGGCAGCAATCCTAGGTTTGTAGGGAAGCGTGCAAATACTCCATTTTTAATAATGTTTTTATTTTCAAGGTACAGAAGCTAAATTTTGAGAAAACAATTGTTACAACAGTAAACAACAAATAATTTGTCCTGATGAAATTACAATTTTTTTGATGCCAGGTATAAAGTTTCATTTGATAGTCTAAGAGATCACACTGCATTTCCCCCATGAGTGCTAGGTAGATTCCTGCCACAGTCTGAACAATTTATGTATTCAATAAACATTTGCCATCTGTTATAAAAGGAATGTGGGACGCGGGTGGCGCTGTGGGTAAAAGCCTCAGCGCCTAGGGCTTGCTGATCGAAAGGTCGCCGGTTCGAATCCCCGCGGCGGGGTGCGCTCCCGTTGTTCGGTCCCAGCGCCTGCCAACCTAGCAGTTCGAAAGCACCCTCGGGTGCAAGTAGATAAATAGGGACCGCTTACTAGCGGGAAGGTAAACGGCGTTTCCGTGTGCGGCTCTGGCTCGCCAGAGCAGCTTCGTCACGCTGGCCACGTGACCCGGAAGTGTCTGCGGACAGTGCTGGCTCCCGGCCTATAGAGTGAGATGAGCGCACAACCCTAGAGTCTGTCAAGACTGGCCCGTACGGGCAGGGGTACCTTTACCTTTATAAAAGGAATGTGGATTGTGTTTGCCCGTTGTCGCTCTCACCTGGCATGTTAGTTTCTCAGCCAATGCTGACTCTGTCAAACCAAGAATCAATGTTCAACCCAACACTGGTTTTCCAACACCTGGCTATCTCCATATGGGCCGCAGTCAACAGAAAGGCTAAGAGGTGATTCTTTAGGATAATCATGAGCAGATGGGATCCTAAGCCCAAGCCGTGCTAGCACAGGGGACATTTCAATTGCTTCCTCAATTTACACTAGAATATGGCAATCTATTGTACACAAAAATGCCGTGGGCAATGGGACCTAGATGTGCAAACACCAAATGAAAAATGGAATGGCTTTCTGGTCTGGGAGACCGCTGAAATCAGTTTCTGCAAAAATATTCTTAAACAATATTTTTTAAATCTTTTTTTAAAAATTCCACCCTGGTCTCTAAGCTCAGTTCAAAGGCTCTGACAAACCGTACCACCAGAGGAGCGGGGCCAGAGTGTCTTAGTGGTTAGGAGCGCCAGACTAGGACCTGGGAAACACAAGGGTTCAAATCCCCGCTCAACCATTAAACTTGCTGGCTGGGACCTTGGGCCAGTCACTGCCTCTCGGCCTCACCAAACTCACAGAGTTGTTGCGGGGATTAAATGGGGGGGCGGGGCAGCGTGCAGCTCCTTGGAGGTAAAAGAAAGATGGGGTATAACCAAAGCATTGCTTAGATCCCCTAATCCCTTCCAGTGGTTTGAGACTGCCTGCCTGGCTTTTTAAAAAATAAAAGAAAAAAGAAAGAAAGATGGGATATAAATGCAAAATAAGTAAGTGTTCTTCACAGATTCAATTCTGGCTGCTAGAGTGGCCGGATACGGAGGTAGGTACACAGTAGTACCTTGAACGTAATCCGTTCCGGGAGTCTGTTCGACTCCCAAAACCGTTCGAAAACCAAGGTGCGGCTTCCGATTGGCTGCAGGAGCTTCCTGCGCTCATGCGGAAGCCGCGTCGGACGTTCTGAAAAACGTCCGCAAACTGGAAGACTTACTTCTGGGTTTGCGGTGTTCGGGACCTGATTTGTTCGACAACTAAGCTGTTCGAGAACCAAGGTACCACTGTACTGAGAAGCAGTTATTAACTCAACAAAAGATCCTCAAGCGGATTCAGGATTTGGGGGCATTCAGTGTAGCCCTGCCAGGGCTGTAACAGTGAACTGTGCATTCCAACACTCTCCCCATTCACAAGAGCCCTCCAGCTGGCCCCTTCCACCTTACCGTACTGCACGAGAGACGAGGAGTGGCTCGTGGTGCCACTGTCCCAGGACGTGGCCGCGCTGCTGCTCCCGGATGGCTGAGGATGCTGAGCTGCCAGCTGAGCCAACGCCTGGGCAGTCTTGAACTGCTCCAGGAACTGCGAGCCGGTGGTGGTGGTGGCGGCAGCTGAGGCGGAGACTGCGGTGCCTCCGCCGCCGCTTTTGGCCTCACCGACGTCGCTGAACCCCTTCCCCAGCATGCCGACCTGAAACGGCAGGAAGGGAAGGGCGGCTGAAGCAGGCACATGGCGGCTTTGGCTGGGCAAAACAACACAGCAGCCCCAGATGGGGACCAGGAGGCTGAACTCTTCTAAATACAACACGTGCACGACCGCGGGGTTCAGAGGCTTGTCCTTTTCCTTACCATGCCGTGGTGCGGGAAGGTGTTCCCCGAACTGGGCTGGGATATAGGAGCCTGCTTGGAATTGCTGAACACCAGCGGCTGGCTGAGGGCAGGTGCCTGCGAGGAATCCAGGTTGGGCGACTCGTTCTCCAGAGAAGAAGGGGTCTTTCCTAGCAGCACAGCAAGGTCGATTCTAGGAAGGAGGCAGAAGCGTCACCGTGAGCGAGGGGTTGGGTGAGTGGCCTGGCCGGCCCACCACTGCTCCTGCACCAAAATGGATGCCCCATGCCAGGGCTAAAGCTAACAAAATGAATTTCAATAGGATCAAATGTCAGGTTCTGCACTTAGGGCAGGAGGAACCAGCTGCATAATGTAGATGGGGACCCTGGGTTTCCAGTAGTACATGTGAAAAGGGTCTAGGGGTCTTAGTAGACCACAAACTGAGCATGAGTTAACAGCAGCAAAATAAGCCAATGCTATTCTGGGGTGCATCGACAAAAGTACAGCGGCACCTTCGGTTGCAAACGGGATCTGTTCCGGAGGCCCATTGGCAACATGAAAACAACACAACTCACAGCAGTGCGTCTGTGCACGCGCAGATTGCGATTCGCTGCTTCTGCGCATGCATGTGATGCCATTTTGCGCACCTACGCAAGTGGCGAAACCCAGAAGTAACCCTTTCCGGTACTTCCGGGTCGCCATGGGACGTAACCTGAAAGAACGTGACGTGAAGCGGACATAACATGAGGCATGACTGTATAGTGTGCAAATCCAGGAGGGTAATAGTACTGCTCTATTCTGCCCTGGTCAGACCACACCTGGGGTTCTGTGTTCAGTTATGGGCACCACAGTTTAAGAAGGATGTTGACACGCCGGAACGTGTGCAGAGAAGGGCAATCAAGATGACGAAGGGCCTGAAAACCAAGCCTTATGAGAAACAGTTGAAGGAACTAGGTGTTTTGCCTGGGGGGGAAAATATATCTCAAGGGCTGTCACTTGCAGGATGGAGCAACCTTGCTTTCTCCTGCTCCGGAGGGTATGACCCGAAGCAAAGGATTCAAGTTGCAAGAAAGGAGATTCCAACTAAACATCAGGAAGAACTTTCCAATGGCAAGAACTGTGGAATGGGCTCTCTCTCTCGGGAGGTGGCGGAGTCACCTCCTTCCTTGGAGGTTTTTAGCAGAGGCTGGATGGCCACCTGTCACGTATGATCTAGCGGAGATCCCTGCATTGAAGGGGGTTGGACTAGATGACCCCTGGGGTTCCTCCCAACTCTACAATTCTATGTGATCTGCTTGTGCACAGAATTAATGTGCAGTGTAGAATCAGGCAGGGTTGGCAGAGGTTCTTGGGCATACCAGCAAGCTGCTGAGGTGGCTGGATGCATCTGTGCCAACATGACACCCTCCAGATGTTTTGGACTACATTTCCCAGCAGCCCGTGTTAACGCAGCCTTTGGCGGAGGCTGCTTTAGTCTCTGATCTGGCATCCACGGTGGATTAGCTCGTGTTCAGTGCATGCTACGGTATGGTCCTGGGAAGCAAATGCACACAGAAACCGGGGCACAAAAGACCTTACACCTCGGGGAGAAATTTGTGGGTTTTGTGTTGGGTTTTTGTTTTTTCAGGCAGAGGGAAGCCCCTTCTGGGGGCCACACGTAGAGCTTGGGGAGGGCCAGAGACGAATGTGGACAGAGCAAGGAATGTGAATTTTCCCTCTGTGCAGCAGCCTAGTTTGTGCACATGCACCCCTCTCTCTATCCTCCATCCTGGGAAGCAAAAACAGCTTTATCAGAGCTCAAGGACACATTCCAGCCAGACAAAAAACTCCCAAGAAGAGTGCAAAGGAGGACTGTTGGTGAGGAATGTGCCTCTGGATGCTGTGCAATCTGGGGGGGGGGGGGCGGTGTGGAAGAGTCCCAAGGGCCAGATGGAGAAGACTCAAGAACTGCATTGGTAGGAGCCAGCGCAACAATCAGTAGGAGTCAATGGGGGGGCGGGGGCGAGAAAACCCAGAACAACGCATGGGGAGGTGAGAGAAGCAGTAAGATTGTTCTATCTGGCAAGCAGAACTGCTTCCATTGATGGAAAGATTGTAATAACACACCTCTGAATTCTTCCCAGGGTGGCCTGACACAGCCCTGCCTGACCTCTGGTCATACAGTGGTACCTCGGGTTACATACGCTTCAGGTTACAGACTCCACTAACCCAGAAATAGTGCTTCAGGTTAAGAACTTTGCTACAGGATGAGAACAGAAATTGTGCTCCGGCGGCACGGCAGCAGCAGGAGGCCCCATTAGCTAAAGTGGTGCTTCAGGTTAAGAACACTTGCAGGTTAAGTACAGACCTCTGCAATGAATTAAGTACTTAACCTGAGGTCCCACTGTACTGGCCAGGGCTGAAGTGAGTTGGAGAGTCCATCAACATCTAGAGGACTACAGTCCTGTCCGCCACATCCTGGATAGGCAATGGTTGTTTGCTTTCTTCCCCTGCTCTCTCCCCCAGCCCCGCTGCCAAAAAGAAACTCATTTCTAAACTAAAACCCAGCTACTGTGGCAGGAGCAAATTGACCACCTCTGTCCAGCCGTGATGGTCACATTTTCCGCAGGCAGAGGCACAGAGGAGACGTTGGAGGCAGTGAAGATCTTGGTCTCTGAAAGCTGGGGAAGGAAAGGAGAGGCAGGAAAGTTAGGGTGATCCCAAGTTACAGGAGGCAAAGCGCACACAGAAAGGGGAGCGACGCAAGAGCTGGGGTGTACCTACATCTTCATTCCAGTCCTCGGTCCCCCATTCCTCCGTCGCCGTCCTCCACGCACCTGGCAAAGAACAAAACAGAGAGGGGGTTTGGTACAAGCAGATCCTGGGTGCTTCCCGGGAAAAGGGGGTGATTTTCAAGAAGCATTGCAAGCAGCTAAGCAGGTTGGTGCCCCTCGCCCAGACAGACACAAGCTTGGGGTGGGGGGAGAGGAGGAAAAATATGGGCACACCACGCAAGCTCCCCCATCCACTGATCACCAAAGCAAAGAGGCTGGACCCTGGAATCACTGTGGGGAAAAGAGATGTCTTCCTTGACCCCGTCCTGAAACTCTCTTCCCTTAGGAACAAATGGTGATGGACAGCCCTACTGATATTCTACATGCCCAGTTCCACTGCTCTCTTGCAATCAAACGTGGCATCTCTCGACCCTGCCCATTCCTCCTCCTGCCACTGCCCCTCCCTAAAGTCCTGCAAAAGCCCAATTTTCCCAGAAGATCGAAGCCACCGGCTTAGGATCCGTACAAAATGGTCAAGTCAACGGAAGGTTCCGTTTGTGCATACATGTGTGTTCATACAGATTTATAAACTGCTTAATTACAACAGTGTCTAAGCAGTGTATAAATAACTCAATACTACACGATGCTCGTGCGTCCTGCAAGAGACTGGCTCGGATGTCTCCCCCCTGCAAAAATTTGCTTTCAGCCCTATGAAAGCGAAGGCAGGTCTTTTACCGTCTCAAAGAGGCAGGTTGGGTAAATGGTTAAGAAAAAGCTGAATCAAGCCAAGATACATTTCTTTCCCGTGTTTTAAGGTTACTTTTAGCAAATAAAAAAGCCCCCCCCCCCCCCCCGCTGCTGTTCAGGTCACTTCCCTGTTCCTTGAAATCTTCATTTATTGACTATGGGCATTTAAAAACATAGCGCCATTAGCCGAAAGTGCAAGGGAAAAGATATGAGGACTTGAAACTGGGGGAAAAAGAAAACTCTGCAAGGCACTACAGCTGGGTGTTGGACCAGGGAGACTTGAAGCACCCCCCCAAGCCACGCTTATCAGGCATGAAGCTCGTCGAGAGACCTTGGAGCAGTCCCACACTTTCTCTCTCTCAGTCTAATCCAGGTGCGTAACCCCCAGGGCTTCTCAACTCCCATCAGCTCCAGCCAGCAAGGCCAAGGGCCAGAGATGATGCAAGCTGGGAGTCCTGCCTCCCACGTCCCCCCTTCTCCCCACTCTGCTCTGGGGTTTCTTCCAGCCCCCCCAAAAAAGAAGTAGAACAAGGGGGCGTGCCAGGAGAAATTCTGCTGGGCCAGCTTGAGAGGTTTTACTCGCACAAGACCTTCGCTAGATTCAACACCCTGTCAGCATTCGCCAAATCTGCAGAAGTCTGCACCCACTTGGTCCCTGGGTGGCTAGCAAACCCGACTTGTGTAGCAGGACTGCCTCCCCTCCGTAGTCCATTCCCCCCCACTCTGCACCCGCAAGTCAGGCTATCAATGAGTTTTTTAGAAGTTGCAGAAGGGGATTAACTCAGGATTTCTTCATGGTCAAGGGGCACCTAACCTGTCTTCAGTGATCCCAAGTCTGCGCTCTTGCTTACGAACATAAGAAATGGCCTCACAGGATCAGACCAAGGCCTCGCCCAACTTTCTCTGCAATAAATCTCAGTCGCCTGCCAGCAACTCACCAGGAGATTGTAAGAACCCACCAGTGTTAACTACCCACCAGTTGGAACTGCAAACGAACCACCTGTAGATCTTGAGGAAGGCGTTGCAGCAGAAATTGCCTCACCATTGGCTCCTCAGAAGGCCAATTAGATGGAACCTCTGTGTTTAGAGGCAGTGTATCTGTGGATGCCAGATACTGGGAGACTGTCACCTTCAGTCCCGCTTGTGAGAGCCCAACAGAGGCACCTAGCTGGTCCCCACCCCCCAAAAAACCCAGAAATATAGATGGACTCCTTGGTCTGAACTGACAAGGCCATTCTGAGCTTATGTCCCAAGGATACTTGGCCTTCGAATCAAGATGCAAGAGCTTTAAAGAGCCAGGAGAGGGGAACCACAACAGGGGCAGCCACAGGCGGTGGAGGGTGCAATCAAAACAGCCAGGAAAGCAAACTCATCTCCCCACACCCCCCAAACACAGAAAAACACAACACATGGAAGCCCAAAGCCCGCCTCCCCTTAAAAACACAGAGGTGTGGGGGAAGGCGGGGTGAGGTGGGGTGTCAGTGTTAGTAAAAGCACAAGCAAGAACATACACATATTCATTAAATCAAACCAAACCGAGACGGAAAGAGATGGAGGAGGGCAGGGGTTGTGGAGTGGGAGGAACGAGACAATGACATATCCACAGATATATTCCAACTTATAAATAAAGAGATCCCGGGCAATTAGTGCACCTGGATTTCTCGTACCAGGAGCAGTGTCAAATTTTCGGGGATAATTTGACCCCTCACCCCTAATGTAATCAACTCCTGAAAAGAAACAGAGAAAAAAAAGAAACAGAAACAGAAAAAAGAACGGGGTAAAAACAGTGAAAACGGTTTTGTATTCTAAGAAATGAGAAAAGCGAGGCGATTCTGCCGCTGCCACCCCCTTCACCATCCCAATACTACTCTGCCGCCCACCATACCTGTGGATATTGTTAAAATTAAAAAATATATACTTAATACTACAAACTAATCATGGGAGTATGAAATGAGGTGTGCGTTCTGTAGACACTGTGGACAAGTAAACCCTCCTTGGGGGCCAATGAAAAGGGTCGCCCCCTTCCAGCGAGAACTTTTAACAGTCCCCCCTTCTTAGCTCAGGACACACAAAGAACAGCGGGATCTACTTCCAAGAGAAAAGTGAAGACACTGCACTTCTCTCCCCGCTTCTACATTTCTACTGCGCATCCAGGTAAGGGAACCTTCCCGCCAAAACCTCAAGTTGTCTTTTTGTCCAAGCAGAAAGACATTGTTGTCTTCTTCTATGGAGGAAGGCCAGAGCTCAGAGGCAAGATCCAAGGTTCAATCCCCAAGGGCGTTTCCAGGTAGGACTGGCAGAAAGGCCCCCCTCTGCCTGAAACCCTGGGAGGGGGGTGCCTGCCGGTCAGTACTGAGCTAGATGGACCAGGATTTCCCAAACTTGGGTCTCCCTACTGTTTTGGGGCTACAATTCCCATCATCCCTGACCACTGATCCTGCTAGCTAGGGATGATGGGAGCCCAAAAACAGCTGGAGACCCAAGTTTGGGGAGCTCTGGTCTAAGCCATTAGAAGGCAGCTTCCTGCATTCAAAACTTTAGTTCCCTGAAGTTATGCTGTTGCTGAAAGAGATGGAAAGGGTGTGCAATGGAGTGGTGATTGGAGATTATTTCTCTTCCCTCTCAAAAGCTTTGGGAAACCTTCGTTAAAATCATAGGCTGGCGGACCCAACTCACCCCTGCCCAGTGGAGGTTAACCACCACACCCTAAAGACCAGGAGTAGCTGATGGGATGCACTCAGATGATGCTGAGACTCCCAGCTCCCACCAGCCCCAGCCAGTGTGGCTAAAGCTCAGGGAAGATGAGAGCCGGGAGTCCAGAGGCTTGCAGGGTACCACAGGCTCTCCAACCCTGCACTAGGACTTGCCAGGGACACCCTCAAACTCCAGTGCAACTTTCCCCACAGGTTTTGCAATCGAAAATACGAAAACTGATCCGAAGCGCTTAACGTGGATTGTAACTGCAACCCAAAGCAGTTTTAAACAGAAATAAAACCAGCCTTTTTTTTTTTTACAGCATCAAGCACAAGTAAAATGGCTGGGTTTAAGGGCATGATGGGGCAACTGGATAGGCGTTAAGTGGCTCTAGGTGGCAGAATTGGGCGACTTCAACCACACAGGAGCATGGCAGGTCATGTGCTGGGAATGGTGGTTCTCTCCCCACACCCCCAGTCTCCATTTAAAACAGTGTTTTTCAAACTTGGGTCCCCAGCTGTTGTTGGGCTACAGTCCCCATCATCCCTGACCACTGGTCCTGCTAGCTAGGGATGATGGGAGTTGGGTTCTCAGCTGTTATTGGACTACAGCTTTGAGCTGTGTTGACATAAAGGGATCTCTGGGGAAGATGTCTGCCTGCAATACCCAGAGCGCTGTTGCCAACCAGCCTAGTCAATACTGGGATGGCTGGACCAACAAGCTGACTTGATAAAATGCAACCCTTTATGTTGAAGAAAGGCAAGCTGTCTTGAAGGGGACCCACTTGTTGGCCTTTTTACTGACAGGAGCTGAACTCTGGCCCCCAAACTGCGTCAGCACAAAGTGCCCAGGTCACTTACTCGTGCCGTCGTCTGGCTCAAAGCTCCCGGTGCTGTTCCATGTATTGCTGTTACTGTTCCCGTAGCCTTCTTCCGTGCTCGTGGGCTCGGCGTAGTCCGCGGGGTTGAAAGTTCTGGAAGACAGGGTGGGTGAGGAAAGGGGAATTTGACCGTACATCTCAAGGGCACGTCTGTCCTGCTTTGACCCTTTAGTCTCTTCCCTCCCCCTATCCAGGCCACAGGTGTGTGTCATCTGGTCACAGATAAACTCCCTAGCTCTGCCCACCCCACCCAAGAATCGAGATAAGACAAAGGCTGCGAAGCTTACCCCATGCCTTGGGCTGAAAACCTTCCTCCCCGCCTTCCAGATCCACCTGCAACAAAAAAAGACAGGCAGCTTTAAACCTTACTGGACCCGGGATGCAACTCTAGGTAAACTAAACCAGATTTTTAAAAGTCTTCTATCTTCACCCATCTCTTATTTCCACCACCAATTTCACTCCTTTGAACCAAGGATGGGACTACAACTTCCATCATGCATCGCTGATATCGGTCGGGGATGATGTAAGTCAGCCCCCCAAGAACTTTGGGGGGTGGAGACAGAGGGCCCCCAGCCTTGCTTTAAAGCAAAACAAAAATGAGTCTACTGATACAACCACCCACCTTGTAGGTACCAAATTGAGACTGAGAACTGGACTAGTGCCAGAGTTCAAATCCACAATGAAGGTGGGACAACTTGGGATATTCTAGATGTGGAGAACCTGCGAACCTCCAGTTATTGGGCTCCCAACTCTGACCATCTGCAGCAGGCATTGAGGGGCCAGGGTTGAGGGGCACTGTGGCCCCCAGAAGGTTCCCTATGGGGGAATGAAACTTCAAGTCTGAAAAAGCTTCCCCTGCCTGGTTTTAGGTGCAGTCGCATTAGGAATTGAACACCTTGTTTGTTTGATCACCGGAGGTGGCCAGTCAGCTATCACAGCTGTAGGACTGAGTTGGCCAACGATGCCAAGACTTGCTGTAGCATACGCTGTCCCCCCTTTATAGCTATGAAGGAGCCAGAAAGGGTCTACTGGTATGCAGCCCACCGTACAGCAGGAGGGATGGATTCAAAGGCACTTTAAATCAGGATTTATTTATTCTTTGTCTGTCCTGAGTCTTGCGACGTTCGTTTGATGACCCTGAATTCTAGTGCTAGGAGAGGAAAACCTCTCTAGATCAACTTCCTCCACACCATACTTAATTCTATACACCACTCAATCACCTGATTTTATGGTCTTACAAAAAGTGCATCTGATCCATCCTGTTCTCAAACGGACAAGCTAAGTAAAGGAAGCCTGAAAGTCTCACTTTCCACACTTGATTCCCAGAAACTGGTTATCAAGAGACACCCTGCCTCCGACAGTATGGGGAGAAAACAGCCATCGTGCCTAGTAGCCGCTGGCAGCAGTCTCCTCCATGGTAATTTCCAGTCCTCTTTGTAAAAGCTATCCAGGGTACTGAGCCGCCTCTCTCACCTCTGCCTCGCCCGCGGCCTCGTCGCCCTCTCTCTGTGCCTCTTCCAGTGGGTCCGGCTGTCTTGCCACTGTCCAGTCCATTCTCCTGGCCCCGAACTGGAAGACACAAAACCACACTAGTAAGTTTCCAGTGTGTTGAGTGCATTGGGGGTGGGGGCCAGGGGCGCAAGGCTCGAGTGCAGTGCTGAATGAATGAAGGATTCTTGAGCGACCTGCAGAGAAGCTGGCAGAAGCTGAATTGGCCAAGGGTTTGCACCCTCTCGGAAGTTCAACCTCTTGCCAGGGGAGAGGTGGGCGGTGACAATCCACACATGATCCCCTTCCTCTACTACAGGAGAAGCAACCCACGCCACTCTGTTCCAGTTTTCCCAGCCCTGCCCTGCAATAGGCTCGGGTCTAAATTTTACAGACTCAGCGCCCTCAATTTCCCTTGAGGGCCTTTAGAACGAACAATCTGCTTTTAAAGGAATGGAGATACGTGGTCTTCAGATGAAAATAAAAGACAACCCATAGGTTGCAAAACAGATGTTGTAAAGGGGGTTGGGTGGTCTTTTTTGTTTTAAAGAAGATACAAACACCCAAACAAAACACATCTTCACCGTTGGCTTGTGAAACGGCATTTGTATAAAACAGGTCTCCATTTTAAAAAACAAAAAACCATATGGATCCCAATTACCCAAAACAGCTGGATATTTGAAACATTTTGTTGACTCCCAAGCAGAGCGAACTATTAAAAAATAAAGAAAGTGTGGAGCAGGAATTAAAAATGTGACTTATTTTTCCAGCTCTGTGCACGGCAAATGCCAGGTACGACAGGGAAGACATAACTGCCCCCACGCTGCACATCTCTGGCCCTGAGGTTTTAACCATCTGCTACCTTTCCTCTCGTCTCGTTGCCCCACCCCACACCGGCAGCTACCCCGCACAAAGTCACGACTCGTACACTCTCTTCCGCGGCTCGTCCCTCGGCCCCTTCTTGGCAATCCACCTCGTCGCCGGCTGAAGTCCCGCTCCCTCTCTCGGTTCTCTTTGCTTTCTTCGCTGGGTTCCGTCTGCCCGCTGTCTTTCTGTCCTGAAACCCCCTTCTTCTTCCCAACCATCTCCCAGGAGTGCTGCGAAGGGAGAGGCAAGATTTATTCCCACTCTCCATGCACGGAACACACGTTCAATTTCACAGATGCATGCAAGAAACATTCTACAGGTTTCACTGAAGTTGGTCACGGTCATTTTATTTAAAAAAAAACCACAATATTATTTTTCAAAAAATATTATTTTTCAAAAAGCACCGTACAGAAGAGATGCGGATATTCTTGTGCTGACCCCTATAAAACAGTGTACCGGGTGTGTTCATACATTTTAGATTAGTTGCAAAGATGGTATTGTAAAACTAGACTTGTACCCGGTTATTGTTTTTAAAAGTTTATAAAGTTTTATTTTGGAAAATAAAAATTTCATTGAAAAAAAAGAAAGAAAAGCCTGCTAAATATCAACTAGAGTTAAAATTCCAGTTCAGTACTGGACATTTTTTGAGGGGGAGGTGGGGGCAGAAAGCATAATTGCATCAACCAGGTTTCATTTTTTCACATTTCTAAAATGAGAATTCATAGAAGGAATCAACACTGGAGTGAAGACAACAGAATATTTTGCCAACTAGAAGCAGTATGCAGAGGGGGTCGTGAATGTCAGGAGAGGAGAACCGCAAGATCTGGGCCTGGGCCGATGACCAGGTGAGTCTTCTCAGGTTGGGGCTAGGAAACCTGTTTCTTCCCAAGGGCCGCATTTCCACCTGGGGTACCTTCCAAGGGCCACATGCCAGGGTTAGACAAAAGTGGGTGAGCAATAAATGTACAAACCCACCCCTCTCTGTCACCCATACAGATGAGAGGCATTATCAGAGCTCAAGGACACATTCCAGCCACCCACAAATGCTTGGGATGCCAAGCAGGGCTAGGGAGCGGTGTGGCCTGGGAAGTGTTCCAAGGGCTAAGCCATGGGTAGGGAAACTAAGGTCCGGGGGCCGGATCCGGCCCAATCGCCTTCTAAATTTGACCCGCAGACGGTCCGGGAATCAGTGTGTGTTTACACGAGTAGAATGTGTGCTTTTAATTAAAATGCATCTCTGGGTTATTTGTGGGGCATAGGAATTTGTTGAACCCCCCAAAAATATAGTCCGGCCCCCCACAAGGACCGGCCCCCTGCTGAAAAAGTTTGCTGACCCCTGGACTAAGCTGAGAGGCCTGGAGTGGGGCATGCACCCCCTTGGGCTGCTGTTCTCCCTGCCTGCCTTAGACCCACACTTAACTTTAATTTAAACCACAGAATCCTACACAGATTTTATAGTGCCCCATGACCTGACTTTTCAACATCTGCCCTCTGCAGATCTGCCTCACTCTGTCAGCTTTTCTCCTGGGTCTCTCTCTCTCTCCTTTCAAACTCCTATCAGCTGCAGTCAATGCAGCCAGTCATGAGGGATGATGGGAATTGTAGTCTAGCACAGATAGGAGACTGTGAACTGCCTCATCTTCTGAGACATGGGGTCTATACATGGGCTGCCCTTCTCCCCTCCCCAATGCTACTCCCTTTGGCCAACAGAGAATAAAAAAGGCCTTTGCAACCCGCAACGCCACTCTGCTAACCGAGCCTGCAAAGCCGCAGATTTACCGTGTCCGGGTTGCCTTCCAACAGCACGTTGATGGCTCTGTTGACATCCCCATTGCAGTCGTGCAAGGCGATGACACACTCATCCTGGTTCTTGCCCGTGATGTCGATCAGCTGCCGAGGGAGAAGCAACAAAGGATAAGGCCATCCGTCGACTCGGCTGGGACCTGTCACCAGTCACGGGACTTCAAACCCCTGAACCCAAGTGCCTCCCTCAAGCTATCTAAAGCAGCCATGAGTGTGTCCACCGTGTTCCTCTCTCCCAGGAGACATCAAAGACAGCTGGCAGGGCAAGGAGTTAAAAGGCACACTCTCCTTGGAGAAAGAGTCTTCCCCTCTCCTCACATCCTCCAGCATCCCAAAAAACTTACTTGTTTCACTTTCTCCTCAAAGTCAGCATCGTTGTGGTCGGATATCATCTGTGCAAGTCGGATTTGCTCTGCAGTGGCCTGTGGAGACAGGGGCCAGAGGTGGAAGTGTTAGAATGAAACAGGGCAGAGAGACAACAAGTTAGCCCTGTAAGTGGGGCGTCTGGCCGGGGGCAGGGAAGCTGCCTGAGTAAAGAATGAGCTTGACACTGCCATTCGCTCTGCCCTCAGATCTGAATTGGGTACTTCCAAGGCCAGGCAGCCACAGACATCAGTGAGGGAGGAGGGCAAAGCAACAAAGCTCCCACTATGAAGTTACGAGGGAAGAGCTGTGTAAAGCCCTGCCCTACTGGCTTAGATATTAATCACCTGCTCAGAGCTGATAGGGGGGGATTTTCTCATACAGACACAACTATCTAACTACGTTATTCAGAACTGTAACTTTAAGAATTTGCACCCGAGCTTGCTTCTTCTCTCACTAACCTTTGTCTTAAGATATTGTAAACCCAAGGAGCAGGGACTGGTTTGTGTAAGCCGCTCTGCTTTTTGGCTAAGAGGCTGAGTACAAATACACTAGGGACTAACACACTCGGACCAAGACTGAGAGGTTTTAGTCCTCAGTTAAGGGTGAGGATCCAGAGTGCAGTCTAAAGTAGGGATGAGATGTATTTAAATTCTCTCCCATCGTGTCTTTTCTGATCTCTGTTAAACAAGGATAAAGGCGTGTTGTGGTTATCAACGTAAGAGCTCAAATCCTCTATGTTCACCTCTCTTATTAATCTGGTATTAATTTTCTATTTCTTATACATATCAATAGCACAACATGCTTGCATGGAATGCAGATTAATGGAAAAGCAGAGGTTCTGGAACAGAAAGGATAAGACATTGTCCCCTTTTGCAATCTCTCTTCCCCTCTTTGAAAAAAACCCAAACGTTTGAAACCTGTAATAAAAATGAATGATAGGCAACTGGTTGGGCTTATCAATGGGGGAGGTTTCAAAAGCTTTTCACTGCCCAGGCAACCAGATGTTTTAGCCAGATAACCCACAGGTTCAGCATCAGTGGCCGGGAAATTAGTCCTTTCACCTGCCGCACGTATCAAGAAAGTTTGAACACTGTTTTCTCTTTAAAAAGGTAGAAGCGTAAGAAGGGTCTCCCCTTCTCCTTCCGATTCTTCCTGTGTTTGCCCACAAAGCCAGAACTTTGCCTCAGCTGCTAAGCATGCAAGCTAAGAGCAGCCCGAAAGGGTGCGGAGGAGTTTTCCTTTGTCTCGTGGGAAAGACGTTAGGCCAGTGTGCTCTTAGTCACAACGGAAAAAAGGAAAAGGTGAGGGAGCCAAGAGGACTCCTCCCCTCCCAAAGCCAACTGGTTTCCATGGACACCCTGGCCTGCTCTGCCCTCACCTGTGGCCTCTGTTTGTGCTGTGCCTGGTTCTGCGTCTGCTCCCAGCTTCCCCGGGCTCGGTTAGTGCCCACCGATGTCATCATTTACAGTATATACAAATAACAGTATTTACAAGGTAGAACTCTGTGGAGTGGAGAGAAGAAGAAAAAAAGGTTTTTTTAAGGAAACGAGCAAGCAGATGGCCCGGCCACATTTTGCCAACACATCCCCTTTTGTGATTAACATGGAAGAACCAACTCCTGATCCCTTAAGTCAGGCATGTCCAACAGGTAGATCATGATCTACCGGTAGATCACACCCAGTGGCAGATCACTGGCTCCCCCCAAAGAAGCTCAACACCTTTGACCTGAACTGCCAGATCACTGCCAGTTTTTAACTCTGTGAGTAGATCACAGCCTCTTGGGAGTTGGCCACCCCTGCCTTAAGTCAAGGGGTCAAGTATTCTTTCTCCCAGTTCTGCCCCACATCCTGGTACAAACTGCCTTCTTAAAACCATCAGCTTGCGAGGACTCGCATATCCCAGGTGCAGAGTCCACTCCTCAAATCCCTCAGACTCACGCCAGTTCTCAAAGGGGAGAGTTCCCAGCTTGTTCTCAGCTTTGGGTGAAAAAGCCTTTGATAAAACCCATCTCCTCAAGGAAAGTTTCCATGACCAATGGAAAGTTACAGGTTGGTGTTGCAACAAAAAAGAAAAGAAAAAGGGAACTTTGACAAGTTGGCATCTCAGAGCAGGGCAGCGACATTCTCAGGCTGAGCTGCATCCAGCAACCCTCAGAGCTGGTAACCAGGGAGTCGTCTTCGCAAGATCAGAGTTTGAAGCAGGGTCTTTCCTGGTCCTCAGGCTCAGATTCTGGCCCCAAAACCACACCAGTTTTCAACAAGAATCACAGCAGTTTTCAACAAGAATGAAGCAAAGTTTTATAAAGTGGCAAGACGAGGTCCTCATAAATCTGCGCTGCCCTGCCTAAAAACAGTGGCACAAGCACTCTGGAAATTTGCACTCTGGAAGATACATTGAACCAAGAACGCCTACGAACGCAAGGGATCAAAGAAAGCATGCATTTCATAAAACCCACACCTAATAAATTTGAGAGGAGGACCATAGCTCAGAGGCACCAGCTTCAATCTCCAGGTCATGCTGGGGAAAGGCTCCCTTGCCTGAAACCCTGGAGAGCTGCTGCCTGTCAGTGTAGACACTACTGATCTGGATGAGCTAATAACCTGACTTCCCAAGTTCGTTAGTAGGCTATTATTCACAGTGGCCAATGCTGACCAAATCCGATACAAAGAAATCCAACTAAACGATGGGTTCTATTAGAAATGACAATTCCCCCCCCCCATGAGTTAACAAGACACTGTGGCCAGTGGGGGGGGGGAACAGGTTTTTTCATCAGTCTCCCCTTCCTTCTGTTTTTAAAAAAACACTTGGGAGAGTAAAGAGGCCCTGGTACTCCATGGGCTGAAGCGTGGCCAGAGTTTATACTAGGTGATTGCAGGGGAAGAGAAACAACAGAACTAAATATTGATATTTTTTTCTTGCAGTAGGGAAGAAGACGAAGAAACTTTTGCAGTTCAAGGGCCACATTCCCTCACAGACAACCTTCCAGGGGCCACATTTGCAGGGCCAGAGGAAGATATGGGCAGAGTAACACATGCAACTGTTAACATTATATCAGGGACGGGGAGATGTTTTGACCCCTAGATGCTACTGAATTACAATTCCCTAACCACAGGTGTGGGGACGTGGGTGGAGCTGTGGGTTAAACCACAGAGCCTAGGACTTGCTGATCAGAAGGTCGGCGGTTCGAATCCCCGCCACGGGGTGAGCTCCCGTTGCTCAGTCCCTGCTCCTGCCAACCTAGCAGTTCGAAAGCATGTCAAAGTGCAAGTAGATAAATAGGTACCACTCTGGCGGGAAGGTAAACTGCGTTTCCATGTGCTGCTCTGGTTCGCCAGAAGCGGCTTAATGCTGGCGACATGACCCGGAAGCTGTATGCCGGCTCCCTTGGCCAATAAAGCAAGATGAGCGCCGTAACCCCAGAGTCGTCCGCAACTGGACCTAATGGTCAGGGGTCCCGTTACCTTTTTAACCACAGGTGTGCTGACTGGGACTGATGAGAACCGAAGTCTAACAACCTCTGGAGGGCCAAAGGTGTTAGACAGTAGGCAACAGTCCAACCACACAAGAACCAGAGATCTCTACACACCGTTCTATATTCAGCTAGGCAAGAAGCATTGCCACAGTTAAATGGTACATTCCAACCAGGGAAAAGCCCTTGAATAGGGAGCAGAGCAGTGGCAGGGTCTTGGAAGCGTCCCAAGGGCCACATCCATGCCCCGGGATTGAGGTTTTCCATCCATGCAATAGGGGTACTGTGCTTCCAACAGAGATTGCGGGAGAGCAGGACAGAGAGAGAAGGAAACCATTTCTCTCACACCAATGCAAGAACAAAGTTCTATGGGGCCACCAGAAAGGAAAGCATGCTTGAAAAATAGGCTTTCTCCAACAACTACCTACTGTTCCTTAGGGAATTCTGGCATCTACATGCAGAATGACCACGAAAACACAGCAATTATTCCCAGGCGATGGGAGTCGTGGGCAAGCGGATCACGTGGGTCTTGGGATCCATAGTGGCGCATGCTGGGGGCAACTGAGCACAGGAGTGGCAGACAAAGTTACAAAGTGGTCTGGAACAAGGGACAAAAACTCCCATTGGTGGGTCCGTGCTACCTGTACACTCTTATCTCATGTATGAACTACAGCCACAGGTGCTAGATTCAGTCCCCAGCAAACAAGGTTTAAGGATCCCAGGTAGCAGGTAGAGCCAGTCTGACCAAACTCAGATATATAAGCTAATCGCCAAATGGCGATTAAACCTAGGTTGCGGTCACCACAATGGCATGTCTAGATTTGTTATTATTCTTAATTTCATTTCTATACTGTTCTAGATCTTAAAGAAAAAAAGCCAAAGCAACATTTGACAACACATTAAAACGTCAAATAAAACAATCCAGATTATAACAAATTCAATCTTCAAAGAAAATATTTCAGATCCTTTTGTAAGTGACATTTTGCTTTCCCCGTATTTATTTACCTACTTAATTTATGGAGCTGCCCCGTAGCAGAAGGACTCTAGGAAGCCAGTGTGGTGTAGTGGTTAGAGTATTGGACTAGTACTTTGGAGATCAGGGTTCAATCCCCACTCAGCCATAAAGCTCACTGGGTGACCTTGAGTCAGTTGCAACCTCTTAACCTACCTCACAGGGCCATTGTAGGGATTAACTGAGGAGGGGGAGGTGAACCACGGACTCCTTGGAGAAAAGGGTGGGATCTAAATGCCACAAATAAGCTCTTCTGCTTACGTGATTAAGAAAACTGGAAGGGCCAGCCAGATGGAGATGTCAGTTGCCAGCCCAGCACCCAGAGACCTCCATGTGGTTGCAATTGGACCGGCACCAGTCGCAAAACGCACCTGGCGCCTGGCTAATTTCTAGCACTGAGCTTGTCTGTTAGAGGAAGTCAGGCAGCAGGCAGGAAAGGCCTTGGAGGCCTGCTGCCCTTAAGTGTGGTAGACAGACGAAAGTGGAACACTCTGTCACAAGAGACCAGGGCCCTGCGGGACTTGACATCTTTCCGCAGGGCCTGCAAGACAGAGCTGTTCCACCAGGCCTTTGGCCAGGGCACAGCCTGACCCCCCTCCTTTGGTAATCCTCACAGAACTCTAGCCCAATGGTTGCCAGTGGCTTGAATTAATTAATTTTATAATGAATGATTTTAGAATGTTGTTTATGCTGTACTTTTGTACTGTTTTATTGTTGTTAGCCGCCCTGAGCCCAGCTTCGGCTGGGGAGGGCGGGATATAAATAATTTATTATTATTATTATTATTACTCCACATGGGAGGGTTTTGCACCACCCTGTCTTTGCCTCGAACAGTAAAATGTCTTGGTAAAGACCCCTCTCTGACCGAGACCCTGGAGAGTTGCTACCAGTCAAGAACAGACTATTCTGAACTAAATGAACCAATGGTCTGACTCGAAATAAGTCAACTTCCCTTGCAGGGAGGAAAAGCTATAGCTCAGTGAAGTGAGGTCAGGCTGCAGCTAAACAACTGCTTTTCAGCAGTGAGCTAAGCAGCTCTGCATACAGAACACAGACGTTTAACCCTCTGTTCTGCAGGATGGCTTCAGGACAGAGTGGCCCCCCTCCAAACCCTCACAGCTTCAACAAAGTTGAAAACCTCGCTGAAGACAAACCTCTTAAGCCCAACAGCCTGTAATAATAATAATTTATTATTTATACCCCGCCCATCTGGCTGGGCCTCCCCAGCCACTCTGGGCGGCTATAGTCATGATTTGTGTTAAAATAAGCTGGCTTTTGTAGTTCAGAGTCTGTTTTACTTGAATTTTGCTTTTTAAAAAAACAAAGATGGGAGAACATTAAGAACAATTAGCATGAACCTGTTCCGCATGCAATATGCCATAACAGAGTTTTATTTTTAGACCTTTCCAAAAAGGTTGGGAACGACGTCACTGCCCAAGACCTTGGGGAGCTGCTGCCAGTCAGAGCAGCCCTGATGGATCTCAGCAAATGTCTAGCATCCATTCCAGCAGCCTACTCCACATAACCAGACAGATATGTCCCAAGACGGCCACAAAAACAGGACGGAAAAGTGAGAGCAACAGGGATCCAGAGACAGACAGTTTCCAAATTAGCCATCATGATAGGCCTCTCCCTCTTCCATCAATCTGTCTCATCGCCTTCTAAAGTTATCCAAACCAGCAGCCTTCATCAAATTCTACTGTGCTGAATCCTACAAATTAATGCTGCTTCAATTAGTTAATGTATAATGCAGCTTCAAAATACTCAGATGACATTGAGGTGGCTCTCTTCCCCTACACTCCTTTTCGGTCCCTATAAATTACAAGGCCTTCCAAGGGAAGCACTGTGGGGCTATTTATGCTCAGGTCCTGACCATAAATACCTCCCTGAGTTGGCATAAAAAGGAGCCTCAGTGCACTTCCTGTATTACAACGCCAGCAGCTTCCATCTCGTGGGTGGAATAAACTTCCTGTTTATACGTGTGTAGGCCTTCGAGTCAATGACAGAAATCTATAGTTATCCATTGCTTTCATACAAGAAGTTTCATTCCCACACAAGCCTGGGGGCTTAGAGGGGTCTATTCAGGTGCCCTCAGTACCCACAGCTGGGAATTTGGAGAGAATCCAACTAGATTTCTCAGTCCCTACAGATCACTGCACCATCAAGAATAAGAGTTAAACAGCGTAATCACACCAGATTGGACACCCCAGAAACTCACTGATAAGCTGGAGAAGATTTTGCAGAGAGAGAGAAAAGAAACTCAGAAAGAACACAGAAAGGTCCAGATAAGTTGTGTGCAGGGGAAAGCCTGAAAATACTGATATAGAGAGCTAAAGAAAATAAAGGGAGATGAAGGATGTGATGTGATGAGTTTCTTTAAAGGAGAACAGCCACTATTATCTGAGATCACAGTTTGGGCCAGGATGAAAAGCTGTTGGTTTCAGTTCACTCAGGATAATTAAACATTAGAAACAATATTTATACAATACTCAAAGCCTTTCAGCCACACTACTTCAACTAACTTTAAAATAATTAGTAAGATTGGTCAGTGCTAGGATTCCTATTATTACTATTCAGTACGAATCGATAAGGCAGTGTTGCTCTCCCAATGGAAATTTATTCCTAAATATCTGACACCCCATAATATCAAAGATAATCAAGAGCACTGCTGATGTTCAGCCCATAGCTTGAATGCTTAATCATTACACTAAGAAAAAGTTCCTCAGATGCCTCAAAGCCCTGCTTCACATCCTTTTCCTGCAGAAGACCCCAGGTTTAACCCCAGGTAGGGCCAGGAGACCCCTGTTGGAAACTACAGAGAGCTACTGCTACCCAGAGTGGAGACAATACTGAGCTAGCTGGACTAAAGGACTGAGTAGCTTTCTGTGTTCCAAACAAAGTCTCCCAGAGCAATATGCAGTCTTCTTTTTATAAGTTTGAAGAAAAGGCTGCCATGGGTCTGACAGACCTTTTAGTGATGAATACCCTTACGTTAAAGAAGAGATCTGGTCCCACAAAGCATCTTCTGGGACTCCAAGATTCTAAGAACAAAGCAACAAGAAAGATGGTTATTGTTTTTCTGGAGAGAATAGATACTGGGAAAGGCTGCTTACAGGGTGTTTAGGCTTCTGGCAACCTGAGCAGGCAAACTTCACAGCTATAGACGGAAAAACACAGGTACACACAAAAACCAAAGCAACTTTCCCTTTAGCAAAACATTTTTTTGTACCTAAGGGTGCACTTTTCTGTGACTTAGCCCCACTGAAGTCAGTGAGATGTGGTTTGGAGTCATAGGACTGGACTGCACAGAGATCACAATGAAAACACACTTTACAAAAAGCTATACACCTTAACCCTGAAACTTGTTTTGTGTCTACAGCAGTATATATATATTTAGTTGTAAATATGATTTATTCATCAGTAGTAGTGGTAGTAATAACACCTAAAAAGGATCTTGTCTGCTGGACTCTATTTTCTCAATATGAAAAAGTTTAGAGTATTATTTTGGTTAGTTACAAGAACTGCCTTAGGAGAGACATAATGGAAAAATTGTTGACTTTCATTGTGTGATGCCTGAGCCCTTAAACTCCTAAAGCATGGATGGAGAACCTTTGGCCCTGCAGAGGTGCAGTTCCCATCATCCCTCAACCATTGGGCATGCTGAGGCTGATGGGAGCTGAAGTCCAACAACTTGTTCTAAAGAGCAAGGGAGGGAAAAGGAATATTAGCACAAATCCCAAGCCTCAGAAAGGAGAAACAAATAAATAAACAACAAAGCAGTCACTCACTGGTTCTGTTCCTTGTCCGTGAGACAAAAATTAACAGCAGCCTAGGTTATAGAGGGATTGCTCCAAGGATTAAACTGTTCCATCTACTGTCTTTTAAAACCACAGAAGCTGCAAACTTAAACCCACTTACCTGGGAGCAAGCCTCATTGACCTCATCACTCCTCAAGTAGGCATGGTTAGGATTGAAATGTACATTATTAAGAATCACTTTCTGAGAAGCAAGAACTTAGGTAGAAGAAGCCAGGCAGAAGAGAAGATGCTGAATAGCAAGAACAGCAGAACCACGTGTGTTTGTGCTGTGTTGATGCAAGTTCTCTGGCACAAAAAGAGGGCCTTTTGAAGGATGGGAGGCAGAAGCAGTATGATAAGCAAGGACTGGCCATGGAGCTGCAGGCAGTCAGCTTTCTCAAAGGCACCAAATCTCAACTGAAATGGCCATGTGGAAAGTGGAGGCCCTAGAAATGGTACTGGTCACTTGGAGCAGATGGCCTGGCCGGAGGGGGCAGTGATGAGAGAAGAGTGACGGAGATCAACACAAACTCCCAAGGTTTGAGGAAAAATGAGCTAGCTGTCCTGCAATACAAGCAGAAACACCATTACGCAAACCCCACTGAGTGGCATTGAATCCTCAGGAGAATGGTGGTAGTTAGCTTTTAAAGGCAGGACAAGAAGAAGCTCTGCAGTATTTGAAAGTCTCTTTTCGTAAACACCACACCCTTTGGATTGAAAGCTTCCGGCACCAAGGGAATCCTGGTTCTTTCAGTGCTCCATCTGTCTGCCTGGCACCAGAGGTCTTCGCAAAGTGTCCTAGACAAAGTTGCAAGAGTAATCTGATAAGGATGTTCAGCACCAATGCAACACAGGCTTCGGAGACCTGGATTCGAAACACCGTTCGGTCACAATGTTCACCAAGGCCAGTTATGCTGTTTCATCCTCAAGCAAAAACAGGGAGGGTTAGATAGAGGAAGGTAACATATCCTGAATTCTTTAAAGGAAGGGCAGTATCCAAAAATATTTTTAAAATCCAAGGACGCAGCCAGGAGTTTAAGGAACAGTCCAGAAAATTATTTAGCATAATAAAGGGGGAAGTTTTATAGCCAGTTAACAGTTTATTCAGAAGTTAAGTACCACTTGCATGAGGTAACTTTATAGTAAGGGATGCACTAGCAGCTCAAACTTAAAAAGTAATAAGGTGAGAAGAGTCTTGCAAGATCTGGAAAAAGGCCCATCTAGTCCTTGTTCTCAAAGTGGCAAACTAAACACTTCTGAGAAGCCCACAAGATGGGCATCAGCACAAGAGCATTGATTTTTAGGAAACTGGTATTCAGAGGCCTTTGTTAAGGGTGGACATAATAGAGCTATGATGATTTGTAGCCACGAATGAGACTCATCTTCTGAAGTTCCAGCAGCACCGGTCCTCAGGAAACCAACATTCAGAGGCCTTTGATATGGGACGAAATATATATCCATGACGACTTGTAGCCACTGATAAGAATCATTCGCCGTAGTCCCGCTTTGTACAATGGAGTTTACCTCTTTACTTCAGTGCCCAAAGGACTGCAGCTAGAAGGAGCCCGACCTAGCTTCAGAGTTACTCACACTGCTGCAAACTTGGCACAAGCTGCTGTTTCTCTCCACCACCACCCCCCCCCACAAAAAAAGAAAGAAGAAAGAGGAGACTGAGGAACTTTCTCTCCTCCCCTGACTTTTTTTATTTTTAAATCGTTTCCACGTGCAGGTTTTTAAGGGCTACTTGGGGAATGTTTACAGATCCGCGGGCGGTGGGGACGGAAAAGAGAAGTCGTCTAACTCTCACAGTTCCCCACCGCCACCAGCCAGATTTACCAGCTTTTTACATCCTGGTGGGGAGCGGGGGGAGAGAAAAACAAGCGGTCTTGGGGGGAACGAACAATGGATCCGGCTTTCTAGAGAGGAAAAGAAAAGTCTCCCCCACCTCGATCGCAGGAAGCTCCCCCCAGGCCTGGTTGTCCGGGAAGAAGGATCAGCTTGCAGTCAAGGGTGGGGTTGTGTTTGCGGTAAAGGATTTAGAGTGGTGGTTGGGGGGGGGGGGAGGAGAGAGTTGGAAAGAAAGACTCCTCTCTCTTTTCCCCGGTCCACGGAGCTCTCTGGAAGCGGAAACAGCCCAGAGGGCCTCAAGGTGGGGCGAGGAAGAGAAGGAGGAATGTTTTAAAAATAGTGATGAGAGTAAAAACCATAGTAAGAAGAAGCGGGGTAGTTTACCTACCCAGAGGTTGTGGGGAAAGGATCGACCTCGAAGAAGTTTGAGCGGGGGGGGGATCGGTCCCGACTGGTTCAGCCCGACTCAGCCCCTCCCTGGCCCAGCCTGGCGCGCTACGCAAGTCCCCGGCTTCGCTCTGGCCGACTAGGCCGCGGTGGCGCTCGGGACCGGAACTCTCCCCTCCTCACGCCCCCTTCCCCCGCCCTCGCCCCCTCCCTCCCTCGGAAGGCCCAGCAGCTCCACCGCCTCCTGGAACAATTCCTGCCGGCCGGACTTTCCCCCTTCTACTCACCCTCCACGGAAAGCTCCTTTTTTGAAGCCCAGGGGAGGGGAAGAAAAAAAATCCCCTCACAAAATATATATATACATATATAAGTATGTATTAAAGACGGAATTTATTATTATGATATGGTGGGGTGGGGGGGAAGGGGCGGGGCCGGCGCTTAAAGGGCCCGCGCGCAATTCCCGGCGCGGCCGCCAACTTTACCTGAGTCTCCACCGCCTCCTCCGCCGCCGCCGCCGCCGCCACACACACTGACAACTAACCCAACGCGGCCGCGGGGCCGCCCCTCTGCCCCCACCACGTGACGCGCGCGCGCGGGGATTGGAGGGAGGGCCGCGGCGCGGCTTCGGCCCGCGTCACGTGACGGGCGGCGGCGAGGGAGGCCGGGCCACGCCCCCTTTGCTTGCTGTCCGTCAAGAGTCCGCCCGCCCGCTCTTCGGCTTTATCCCGGCGCGCTTTCGCATTCTTACCCCGCCCCTCGCAGCCTCTCCCCACCCCCCGAACGTTTCCAATGGCCCCGCCTTCTTAAAGGAACCACGTGACGCCTCCCTGCCAGAACTCACATGGCCAAGAATCCAAATGGGGAGGTGGGTCTGTAGGATAGGGGCCGTTATCGTCAGCGGCCACTTCCGGGTCCCGTTGGACACGGTGGGCTTCGTAGAACTATGTTTTACTCAAGAGTAGACCCTTGTTGAAACTCATGAGCCGAAGTTGTTTGTTTATTTATTTATGTGAAGAGGCTGCACCCTAATGTTTTAATGTTGTATTTTAATTTTTTTAAAATTGTATTTTAATCAACATGTTTTTTTATTATTGGTTGTTAGCCGCCCTGAGCCCGGTCTTGGCTGGGAGGGCGGGGTATAAATAAAAAATTATTATTATTATTTATTATTGAATGTACTGTATTATTATACTAGTCATGTGTATTGACTCCAGTGGGTCAGCTTTGAGTAGGACTAAGCACTGGGTGCAACTCAGTGTCAGACAATCAGATGGGCGGGGTACAAATAATAAAATTGTTGTTGTTGTTAATAAAACTGTTGTTGTTTTAGACCTTTTTTTGAAGAGGCGGCGGAGAGAGGACTTCAGCTAGGAACCTTGTGTAGCGTAGCAGTATAGTTTAGTTAACTATCTTTGTTTCTTAAGTTTTGCTGCTTTTGTGTTTTCTTCCTAGTTTATTAACTGCACAACCAAGAAAGTTTTCTGATATTTTACATATTTCTATCAATTATAAAACAATCAAAGCGACTGAACATTAAGGCATGGGTTAGGGGGAAACTAGCAGTACAGTGGGTTGTTGTTGTTGTTTAGTCGCGTCCGCCTCTTCGTGACCCCCTGGACCAGAGCATGCCAGGCACAGTCCTGTCTTCCACTGCCTCCCACAGTTTGGTCAAACTCATGTTCGTAGCTTCGAGAACACTATCCAACCACCTCGTCCTCTGTTGTCCCCTTCGCCTTGTGCCCTCCATCTTTCCCAACATCAGGGTCTTTTCCAGGGAGTCTTCTCTTCTCCTGAGGTGGCCCAAGTATTGGAGTCTTAGCTTCAGGATCTGTCCTTCCAGTGAGCACTCAGGGCTGATTTCCTTCAGAATGGAGAGTTTTGATCTTCTTGCAGTCCATGGGACTCTCAACAGTCTCCTCCAGCACCGTAATTCAAAAGCATTCCCATCATCCCTGACCACTGGCCCTGCTGGATGTGAGACTGACAACAACCGGAGGGCCGCCAATTGCCCCCTCGTAAATTAGAGAATGGGCCCTATCTCGCGCACAGATCTCCCTTTCTGTTACAAAAATCCTGTGTACCTACTGACCCTATCCCTTTCTCTCTGAGTTGGTCCTGCACGTGGCGACGTCCCATTGGGAACCGGAAATGCCGCTCACATTCCACCCAGTGGGTTACCCCAGCCCTTCACTCGCCCCCTGTAACCTCCCCCACTAGCCGGGCCACGTGACCCTCACATTCCCAGCCCCCTCCCCAAAACCCGCTTCCCTCAGTCCAGCATTTGCTATTATTCCGCCCCCCTCAACACACACTCTCTTTTCTGTCTCCTCCCCTATATGTTATCGCCTCCTTCCGGTCACCTGACCCGACGCGCCTCTTCTCCCGCCCTCCGGAAACCATAGAGTCTGAAGTCTGAAGCGGGAGGTGTTGGGGACCGCGTCACGTGACGGGGGCGCAGGCCGGCTTCGGCGCCCGCCATGTTGTGTGGCCCTTTCGGGCGGCCGGGCCAGGCCAGGCGCCAGGGCCGGGGATGGCGGCGTCCTCGACCTCCTCCTCGTCCTCCTCCTCCTCCTCCTCCCCCCCTCCCCAGTCCAGCAACTGGCTCTCCGGGGTGAACGTGGTGCTGATCATGGCCTACGGGAGCCTGGTGAGGACAAACGCCGGGCGGGAAAGGCGGCCGGAGCGAACGCGGCTGAGAAGAGCGGCGAAGGAAAGGCGGCCCCTCTCGGGGCGCTGAAGGGAGGGAGGGGAGGCGAGGCGCTGGGGGGTCCCGTGAAGGGCGCGCGTGGATGGGGGGGGGAGACCGCAGCGTCGCAGTGGCAACACGCGCCTCCCCTCCTTTCCCCGGGTCTCTCTTTTTGCCATTCACGCCTTTGGCCCCGTCGCTATTTCGGTTATCCCTTCATGTTCTCCCGTTTCGCCCTCACAACAACCCTGCGAGGTAGGAGCTCCCAGATTTGCCCCTGTGAGGTAGAAGCTCCCAGATTTGCCCCTGTGAGGTAGGAGCTCCCAGATTTGCCCCTGCAAGGTAGGAGCTCCCAGATTTGCCCCTGTGAGGTAGAAGCTCCCAGATTTGCCCCTGTGAGGTAGGAGCTCCCAGATTTGCCCCTGCGAGGTAGGAGCTCCCAGATTTGCCCCTGTGAGGTAGGAGCTCCCAGATTTGCCCCTGCAAGGTAGGAGCTCCCAGATTTGCCCCTGCGAGGTAGGAGCTCCCAGATTTGCCCCTGCGAGGTAGAAGCTCCCAGATTTGCCCCTGCGAGGTAGGAGCTCCCAGATTTGCCCCTGCAAGGTAGGAGCTCCCAGATTTGCCCCTGCGAGGTAGGAGCTCCCAGATTTGCCCCTGCGAGGTAGGAGCTCCCAGATTTGCCCCTGCGAGGTAGGAGCTCCCAGATTTGCCCCTGCGAGGTAGGAGCTCCCAGATTTGCCCCTGCGAGGTAGGAGCTCCCAGATTTGCCCCTGCGAGGTAGGAGCTCCCAGATTTGCCCCTGTGAGGTAGGAGCTCCCAGATTTGCCCCTGCGAGGTAGGAGCTCCCAGATTTGCCCCTGCGAGGTAGGAGCTCCCAGATTTGCCCCTGTGAGGTAGGAGCTCCCAGATTTGCCCCTGCGAGGTAGGAGCTCCCAGATTTGCCCCTGCGAGGTAGAAGCTCCCAGATTTGCCCCTGTGAGGTAGGAGCTCCCAGATTTGCCCCTGCGAGGTAGGAGCTCCCAGATTTGCCCCTGTGAGGTAGGAGCTCCCAGATTTGCCCCTGCGAGGTAGGAGCTCCCAGATTTGCCCCTGTGAGGTAGGAGCTCCCAGATTTGCCCTCACAAAACCCTGCAAGGTAAGAGCTCCCAGATTTGCCCCCCCCCCCCAATCCTGCGAGGTAAAGGGACCCCTGACCATTAGGTCCAGTCGTGACCGACTTTGGGGTTTCAGCGCTCATCTCGCTTTATTGGCCAAGGAAGCCGGCGTACAGCTTCCGGGTCATGTGGCCAGCAGGACTAAGCCGCTTCTGGCAAACCAGAGCAGCGCACGGAAACGCCATTTACCCTCCCTCTGGAGTGGTACCTATTTATCTACTTGCACTTTGACGTGCTTTTGAACTGCTAGGTTGGCAGGAGCAGGGACTGAGCAACGGGAGCTCACCCAGTCGCGGGGATTCAAACTGCTAACCTTCCGATCGGCAAGTCCTAGGCTCTGTGGTTTAACCCACAGCACCACCCGCGTCCCAGATTTCCCCTCACAACAACTCTGTGAGGTAGGAGCTCCCAGATTTGCCCCCACGACAACCCTGCGAGATAGCAGCAGCTGGAACAGCCTGCAAAGAAGCCGCGGCGTTTTGAGAAAGCTTCACAAATTCTGCAGCAGCATCAGTTTCCCCCTCACACATACCAACACGAAAGCTTGTGCTCAGTTACTAGAGAGCATGAGACTTTTAATCTCAGGGTCGTGGGTTCGAGCCCCACGTTGGGCAGAAGATTCCTGCATTGCACCGGGTTGGACTAGATCACCCTCGGGTTTCTTTCCAACTCTAGGATTCTGCACTGGAGCGACCTTTGTTATCCCTCTCCAGTGCTACACGGACACCTTGATGTCTTTCATTTCATATGTGGGGCAGGTTGGACGCATTGCAGGTCCCTCTTAGGTTGATGCCACCTGCGGAAAAAGATGGAAGTGGGCCTCTTTCGGGCAGCAGAATTCCAGCTTTTTGGAGCTACAATGTCAAAACTCTTCCAGTTTCACATTCCACACAAAGGGATCCTTCTGCAGATTCAAAACTCTCACTGAATCCTTTCCATTTTTGCTTTCTTTTTCCTTGAATGGGTCTTGACTGCCTAGAATCATCCCTGCAGGGAAACCAGCCTTTCCAGTGCTCAGTACTGTGGTGCCTTCTCACGTCTCTGGCATGATGCCCAGGTTGGCAGCAGCCCACAATTGTGTTGGCCTCTTGTGCCGCAGCAACACTTTGCTGGCTCGTGTGCAATGTATTCGCACTATGGATACTTTATAAGCATGGAGGAAGTAAATCCCTGTGGGCAGATTATGGGAAGGGGTCAGGATTGCTTCAGGTCTGTGATAGCGTTTCAGCATTTTTTCTGTCTTTTCCCCCAGGTCTTTGTGCTACTCTTCATATTTGTCAAGAGGCAGATCATGCGCTTCGCCATGAAGTCCCGCCGTGGCCCCCATGTGCCAGTTGGGCAGCACGCACCAAAGGTTTGTTGGCAGGCAACCCTGTTTTAGGGTTAGAAGGACTGGGGAACCTTGGGGTCTAGGAGCTGTATGCTGCCCTCCAGGCCTCTCTCCTTGTCCCTTGGGATTCTCTTCCGACACAAGACTCAGACCAGATAAAATAAAGTGCTTCTTTGTGCAGCACATAGATCAACAATTGCACTCGCTCCACAGGAGGCAGGGAGGGCCACCAACCTGGATGGCTTTCAAAGAGACACATTCATGGAGGATAAAGCTGTTGGTGGCTCTCCCTCCATGGTCAGAGACAGAAATGCTTCTGAATACCAGTTGCTGGAAACCACAGGAGCTGCATTAGAAACTGAGATATGAAAGCTAGGAGCTCAATGGCACCTTAAACCTAGGTTACGGGCGCAACAATGGAATGTCTAGGCA